GAGAAGGAGGAGGAAGAAGAAGAAATAATAACTAGGCCATATTAGTTAAATCTGGACAGAAAACTGGGGTGGGCTAAAGGAGGATCCCAACATTACATTTTAATTTACATTTTATTACATGTGTCTATTCTGATGAGTGTGCATTCATTTCACGCTACACATGAGGTTTAGGGGAAGCAGAATAATCACGAGCAACAGTGATGATAGCATCAGAACGAAGAGCACTGAGACAGAGTCACCCTCTTGGTTACAAATGTTAAACAGCCACAATCACTAGAGTGCTGCAGTGCTGAGGGAAGGATAGACTAATGCAAAGATGGAGTTCATAAAAAGTGTCATTGTGTTTAGAACTCTAATTGAGTTAGTGACTTCATAAAACAAGAGGTGGGGTGCAGTGGCCAATGCTTGTCAACCCAGGTACTCAGGAGGCTGAGGCAGGAGGGTCACGGGTTGAAAGCTGCTGGGGCAATTTAAGGAGACCCTGTCTCAAAATTTAAAAAAAATAAAAAGGGCTGGAGGTGTAGTTCAGTGGCAGAGTGCCCCTGGATTTTATCTCTAGTAGAGCAAAATCAAAGAAAATACTTAAGTAAAATAAAGATATAATGTGCCCAGGGCAATAGTTAGCTGTATAGAAAAATATATATATTTAACTAACTAAAAAAAAATATAAAATAAAACCTATTTAGAAGATTCTTGCAGCACACCATATTCCAAAATAATTTCCAAATGGATTGAAAAGTTTAAAAAATAAGAATATGGATCAGATGGGCTGGGGCTCAGTGGCAGAGCACTTGCCTAGTGTGTGTGAGGCACTGCATTTGATCCTTAGCACAGAATACAAAAAATAAATAAAATAAAGGCATGCTGTCCATCTACAACTAAAAAAAAAAAAAGTGTTTTGATCAGATGCCCTGGTCAGTAACTTCCAAAATCATGGAAAAATAAAATATCGATAATTTGAATTTATAAAAATGTTAAATGTTTTTGTGTTCTAAAAGTCATAAATCAAAAGAAAAACATTTTCAATAAAAGTAAAATATAAAAAGTTAATATGTAAAAAGCTCATCCAAGTGGTTAAAAAGCAAATACATGGATAATTCACAAAAGAATAGAAACAATTGAAAACCATAAAAATATTCCATAAAAAAATGTTCTGCCTTTTGAATCAGGAATTCTTTTTAGTTCTGGGGATGAAACCCAGGGCTTCAGATATACTAGACAAACACTATACTACTGAACCACATCCCAGCCCCGCAAGGCAACATTTTTAATGCCAGGGGAAGTGGAATAAGAGATGCATGTTCAAGGCAGCCACTTGCACTGGTGATAGGGCAGTGTGAACAGAGACCCCTAAAATGTATTTAAAAAGAAGATCCTATGGAATGCCAGGTAGTTTTGTGAGCAGAAGTGCCCATATTACTTGTTCTAGCAGAATTAAGGCAACAACCTCTACATCCAATGATAGGTATACCAAATGAGAAATCACAATGGCAAAAATGATAAGGTCATTAAAAATGATAGTTTCTACACTTACAGGGTAGGAGAAAATAAATGAATATAAGTTCTTATTTATGGTATTCACAAAAATATTTTAGTGGAAAAACTAAATAAAACATATGACTTGTATTTGGTGTTATTTAGTTCTTCATTTATTATTCTACATTTTCCAAATTTCTTCTCATGGTCACATTTTGATTTTGTAACAGGGAAAACAAAAACAAAAGCCCTCCCCTGGAGCCCTCAAGCTGGACTGTAAGCTCCTGGTCGCAGTCTTAGATTTGGTGCTGCCGTCTGTCCCCCTTCTCCACCCTGTTCCCTGGCATTGAGGTCATACCAGACTGCTGAGATTCCCTCACAGCAGGTCACCACCTCCTGCCTAGGGTACCTGTGAATGTCCTTCCCCACCCCTTTGCCTGCAGGCCCCAGCCCTGTGTTTACCCAGGACAGCCCCTTCTGCTTTGTGCTATCGCAGCACCCATGCATTCCTTCCTCCCGGCACTAGTGGCATTAGATGGTGGTGCAGGTAACCAGCTATCTGAGCTTGCCCTTCCCTAACCCCTAATCCTTGCTCCCACAGGTCCAAGGATTTGAAAGATGGTAACAAGTTATTCAAAACTATTTCAGCTACAGGGCTTCAGAGAGCCAGTGAAGACCTGCTCCTCTAGGTTGCCAACTGGAGGGATACCACCATAATTAGTGAGTACTGTATAGTGGTTTTACTTATTTCTACCTTTAGTACTCACTTGAAAGTTGTTTCAATACTGATTTTTAATACTGCATTCTAACTGGGCATGGTGCAAACTGTCATCCCAGCAACTCAGGAGGCTGAGGTAGGATCACAAGTGCAAGGTCAGCCTCAGCAACTTAGTTGAGACCTTGTCTCCGAATAAAAAAAAAGGGGGGGGGGCTCAGTGATAAAACACCTCTGGGTTCAATCCCCAGTGTATGTGTGTATACTTGTGTGTACACACACACACACACACACACACACATACACACACACACTGCTGCATCTGCCCATCTCAGGCTCACACTCAAATCCTCCTGCCCTGCTGTCATGGTTTACATCTGGAGTGGCCCCCAAAGGCACTAGCCTCCTGTCTGAATGGAATGAGGGGAGGTGGTGAAACCATAAGAGGGACATAGTTGAAGGGTCCTTGGAGGTATGTCCTTTGGGACTGTATCTTTTTCCCAGCCCCTTCTTCTCTCTCTTGGAAACTGCTTGCCAGCCTCCTCCATAGGCTGAGTGGCTTTTCTCTGCCACACCCTTCTGCCAAGATATTCTGCTTCACCTTAGACCCAAGACAATGGAACTGGCTGAATATGGAGTGAAACCTCTGAAACTGTCAGCAGAAGTAAATCTTTGTTTTTCTCAGATATTTTGTCACAGCTAAAACACCTGCTCTTTTAATATTTTACATAGAACTTATCACCTTCCAACATTTATGTGTCTATATATGAAGTCTGAGGTCTGCACCTTGCCTCTCTATTACCACAGGGCAGGTTTTACTTATGTATATAAAGTGCCCTGCACATACATAATATACCTGTAAAAGTGCCTGGCATATAGATAATAGATGCTCAGTGAGTATTTACTAAATGAATGGATCTGACAAATCACGGGCAATTTCTCTTTTGGGGTTATCTCATAATTCTTTATTCACAAAATGAAAATGATAGGTTATTAAGAAGGCATTACTACCTTTCTTAAGGATTAAAATATATCCTTTGTGATAACCAATTATTACTCTCTTGACAATGGGTTCCCCCCCCCCCCCACACACACACCCTGTACTGGCACTTGAACTCAGATGTATTTTACCACCAAGCTACATCCCCAGCCCTTTTAAATTTTGAGACAGGCTCTTGCTAAATTGTGTAGGGCCTCACTAATTCGCTGAGGCTGATCTCAAACTTGCTATCTTTCTGCCTCCTGCCTCAGCTGGGAGTTGTGACAACTAGATAACTTCTTTTTTAAAAAAAATATTTTTATTTTGTAGTTGTAGTTGGATACAATACCTTTTTTTTATTTTTATGTGGTGGTGAGGATCGAACCCAGGGCCGCACACGTGCTAAGCGAGCCACAACCCTAGCCCCCCATGCTCTTGACAACTTCTAACTGAAATGTAGAAAGCATATCAACATAGCTTCTAAAACAGAAAATTCTCTTTGTGCAATACTGGAAACTGAACTCAGAGCCTTGGACTTGCTAGGCAAGCACTTTACTACTGAGCCAGATCCTAGCCCTGAAAGTTCTATCAGGATATGTGAAGACAATACACATTCTCCTTCCTTACTGCAATATGCACATGATGCCTGGGAGAGGGAAGGCTGATCTTGGTGACATTTTCCCAAGTCACAATGATCAGTCTTTGAATTTCATCTGTTTCCTACAGGAAGGAAAGTGTTCCTTTCTGTCTTCAGGGAAACTGCCCAGAAACAGTAGTTTGTTTCTGCTCAAATTTGCATCCAATACTGCGGTAGCCAGCCTGAGAAGGCGCCCAACAATCCTCTCCTCTTGGTATTCACTCCGCATTGCCTGGGGGCTGCTCTGTGCAATCAACAGGCAGGAGCGGCAGTCATTCAAGGGTTCACAGTGCAGGTGCCAGTCAGTCACCCAGGACGGGTCTCTCCAACCAGTGCCCGTCCTTCAGGTGACTTCAGGGCCAGCTGACATCTGCCCACAACTTTTTAAGATCCTGAACGAGGACTTAGCTCCCAAATTCCCGACCTACAGAAATTGAGATAGCAAAGGATTACAGCTGTTCTTAGAATTTTGGATTTGTAACAGATAATTAAAAAAAATACACAAATCTCTTTTTAAAAAATTATTTTTGGCCTCAAGAGTTTATTTAAGTATAGACAGTGTATAAACTCTTTAGACCCGTAGCTTCTACACGACCATTAAACCAAGCACAAAGCGCAACAATGTTTAAGAACAACCAAATACAAAGTAACTGCAAGAGAGGGCTGCTCTGCAGAAACTAACAGGCCCCGCAGCGACCCTCGGGCTCTGACCGCGCGGAGACCCGCTGAGCCGCGGGGGAGGCCGCCAGAGCATACGCGGCCCGCACACGCCCGGCCCCCGCACTTCCGTCCCGCCCGCCGGGTGCCAGCCTGGGCGGCGCCCTGGGCTCCACCGCGAGGGCCCGCGCGGCCCGACGTTCCCGCCCTGCGGTTCTGGAGGACGGACCCCGCTACCGCGCGCGGGGCCGGCCCCCACACTCTCCACTGCGGGCGGGCGGGCGCGCCGGCGAGGCTTCGGCCCGGCGCGAAAGGCATGCGCATGCTCCGTTCGCGCGGGACCCTGGGAGCAGTGGTTTCCGGGGCGCGGGGCCCCGGGCGCGCCCCCTGCCTGCGGCCCGCGCGGGACTCCAGCTCCCGGCCGGCGCGCGCGGGGCGGGGCCTGTGGGGCCGATGGGCGGGACCTCGGCGCCGATGGGCGGGGCTGCGCGGGGCGGGGCCTCGGCGCCGTGCGCCGCTGCCCGCGGTCGGAGGCTGGCGAGACGCGGGCCGGAGTCGCCCCCGGGGCCGGGCGCGCGCGGGGCCCTCGCTGTCGGCCGGGACGCGGGGGAGCCCTGCGCGCGGCGGGGCGCGAGGGGGAGCGGCTGGGCGGCCAATGCGAAACTGGCTGGTGCTGCTGTGCCCGTGCGTGCTCGGGGCCGCGCTGCACCTCTGGCTGCGGCTGCGCTCCGCGCCGCCCGCCCGCGCCCCCGGGGCCGGCGCGGCAGGTGAGGCGCGGGGCCGGGGCCGGGATCTTGCGCGGAGCGTGGCCGTCTGGCGCCGGGGCGGCAGGCCTGACGGAAGCCCGCGCTGGGTGGGCGTGCTGTGCGCTCTGGGCCACGGCGGGGTCGAGTGGGACGGGCGCGGCTCGCGTGCCGCGGGCCCCGGAGCGTGGGGCGGGTTGGCGCGGTGCACGTGCGGGCACCCGTCCTGGCCGTGCGCGGCCGCCGCGGGAGCGCACCCAGGTGCAGAGGTGTCCAGCTCCCCTGCACCTCTCCAGCTTCCCCTACCGTACCTCCTTAAGGGCTTGCCGAGGACTGTACCCAGAGCTGGAAAGCAAGCTATTTTTAAAGATGAGGTAATACCTATTTTGTTTTTTAACTATGTTGGGATTGTTTTCTTACCTCCTCTTCTCAAAACAGCTGTTTTTTTTTTTTTTTGTTTTCTTTTTTTTTAATCGGAAAGTTTTAAAAACTGGAATATTTGCTGTTTGGCAGATATCTCTTGAGCCTTAACAAAATATTTAGCAATCCTCAAAACTGGCTCACTGTCATATGAGATTATGTTGGAGTTATTTTACTTTCCTATTTGACAAACCACCAGCTTTTTGAAAAGGCTATTTATGTGACCTGAATAGATGAAATATTATTTAAGTGATATGACGGAAGTACAGTATTACAGTGCTGTTAGCCTATTAACAAGTTGGGGGTTTGTTTTTTTTTCTAGACCGAGTTGATAAGAAATTGCCATACATTTGAAGTGCTTGGTAACATCTGTAGGGTTGGTGTTTTATCAATTTCCTTTTCAATCAGTGAGTCCTACTAAAATCTACTTGCAGGGCACCCTTAGAATATTTTTTACCTTAACAGTCTTTTGGGGTTCAGTAAAGCAAACAAAAACCTTGCCTTCATGCTTCCATCTTTGTGGGCCTGCAATCAGTTTCTTAGTTGGAGACAGGCTTTTCCTGTTTGCTTGGTGTGTGACTGGTGCCTGTCACCCTGTTAGACCAGGCTAGATTAAGTAAACAGGTGAACTGTGGGAAGGGACAGGGCAATGAGTGAGGAGATCAATACTGGTTGTAGAAATTAACTCTGACTTTGAGTGGGTATTGGGCATCTGGTCAGATAATAAATAGGATATTGTAATCTAAAACCTGACAGACTCTTAACTTTTTTCCCTTAAGCACTTTCAAAACAAAACAGGACAAGGTTTGTGATTGCCAAGATTTCCCACAGCTGCTTTCTCTGTTGTGCTTCTCCATGTTTAAACTAAAACATTTGGGAATTTTTGCATTTTGATCCTACTCTTTAAACCTAGACAGAAAACCCCAGGATTTTGCTAAATATTCTTCCCACAATTTAGCATATTAAGATTTACTTCTGTTCTCTCTTCTTCCTCTTTGTCCACCTTCGATCCAGTCAAGTCGAGACAGTATTTTCTGGGAGATTTACCTCCCCAGAATATTAAGAAAGGCCTTCTGGCTGGCAGTTGGCTCAGCAAACATTGCAGCTTTCTCTGGGCCAGCTCCTGTTTTAGGTGCAGAATTAAGCAGTAATCAAGATAAAGGGCTTGCCCTTATGCATTTATTAATTGGAAGACAGGGGATGAGAAAATAATTATAAATCTCATGGGACAGTGACAAATATGTTTCAACAGGGAGTCACCGAAGGCCACTGAAGAGGAGACAGTTGAGCAGGGACCTGAGTGAAGTGAGTTGTGTTCGTGCCAGGATCTGTTCTACTGTGGGGATTGCCTTCAACAGCTGAGACCTGCAGGGAAGCAGCTGTTAAGGGGAAGCAGGCCTCCTTGTGAGCTCCATGCATCTGGAGGATCCTGCAGGATGAAGGAGATAGCCATCAGGCCAGGCATGCAGAGGAGGGTATTCCTGATCCCAGCATACTGGTTTTGGGTAATGCCTTAGTAAGGATTGTTTAACAGTTAATTTAGAAGAATGATGTGATTTAAAAGAAAAAAGGGGTTTGGGGGGGCCTTCCCTGTGTAGGCTATTTGGAAAGAAGGAAACCAAAGAAAGGAAAGGAACACATTTACTGAGTGAATACCTGCAGTGCAAGGTGTGCTGGATGCCTGGTGTGCTGAGAAATCTGTGGGGACCTAGGGCAAGTAGGTCATAAACCAATTGCTGCTTGCTTTGCAAGTTTGCCTAGGCCTAGTTCTTCTAAAATTACCCCTGTATGCTGTGTGCTAATTGTGTCTCTGTACTTCAGTTTCTTTGTTTCGAAAATAATGATACAGGGTTGTTTTGAAGACTCAATGAATCCCAGGACAGGGCCTAAGTCACAGCACTCCATGGCGTTGAGAGAGGAGTGGTAGTGCGCATGGTGGTAGCTGAAGTCTGTGTTAGCAGGCTGTTTGGGGAGGTACCTCTGAGGCTGGCAAGAGCACACTGTAATAGTGTACATGGTGACTCCTTCTCAGTAGGTCTGGGAGGAGCTTGTTGTGGTTTTTTTCATTTTCAAGATTTTCATCTTTGGTGATTGATATTGTCCAAGAACATGCAATGTGAGAGTGGAATTTTGTTTGATTTTTTTTTTTTTCTTGGTTTTTGAGCTTATTTTGAACAGTCAGTTTGAGGTCAGCCTCCCTAGGTTTTTGGATGTGTACTCCCTAGATTTTTGGATGTGCAGTCAGTGCAGAGCCTAGCAGGTAGCTAAACTTTCAGAATGTATTACAGTGTTTAAGAAAAGAAATGGTCACTATCCTGGGGAGCTTCCCTGGGGATATGAATTATTCCTGACATTGTGAAGAACTTGCTTGCTGCTGTCTGTACCTTTAAGCATAGAGAATACAGGAGGTGCTCAGTAATTTGAATGAACGAATCAAGAGAATAAAACTGGGGGGGGGGGAATGAATGAGTAGGTCATCCATCTGCTTTCATGCCACAATGACTTTATGATTTAAAATAGTTTCTTCTAAAAGTGAAACAAGTTCTTTGTAGGAAAATGAAATTATTTTTAAAAAGGAAAGGAAAATCTAGACCATTTTTAAAAACATCTAATACATTTTTTAACATTTTTTATTTTAATTATACATGACAGTAGAATGCGTCTATGCACTTTGATGTATTATACATAGGTGGGATATAATTTCTCATTTTTCTGAGTGTACATGTTACAGAATCATATTGGTCATATATACATACAGTAATAATGTCTGTTTCATTCTACTATCTTTCTTATCCCCACATCCCCTCCCCTCCCCTCCTACCCAATCTAAGGTAACACTGTTCTTCCCTAATGCCCCTGCCTTATTGTGAATTAGCATCTGCATATTAAAGAAACCATTTGGCCTTTGCTTTTGTAGGATTGGTTATTTCACTTAGCATGATATTCTCTAACTTCAATCATTAATGCCATAATTTTACTCTTCTTTAAAGCTGAATAATATTCCACTGAGTATATATATCACATTTTCTTTATCCATTCATATATTGAGGGACACCTAGGTTTCTGGTACATGTTTGGGGGAAATTATTTAATATGCTTTAAAATTTCATTGATGTATAATACACATTCTTTTCATGTATCTGTGCAGCTTAATTTATTTGCACAAGTTCAAAATCCCCAGCTAATCAGCACTCAAATTTAAAAAAAATCACCACTGAAGCACCCTTCCTGCTTTCCTCCATCTCTGCCTAGTAGAAACCACCACCCTGACATAACGACAGAGCTTTGCCTGCTTTTGTGCTGTATATAAATGGAACTGAACAGAATGTACATAGTTTTTACAGACTGTTTCTCTTGGTATGATGTAGGATAGTATCTCTGATCGACTACAGGATTTTACTGTCTCTGTGGTATTCTGTCACAGATACACCATGATTTATTTGATGGGTTCCTTGCTTGTGCACTGTGGGCTTGCAGTTTTCACTATTGGCGAGTGGCGCTGTGGTGAGCAGATATTTGTGTCAGTGACTGTGTCTTAAGAGTTCTCAGGATGGAATTGCTGGACAAAGGTTATTCCCTTCCAAGGTTTGCATATTGCCAAAGTGCCCTGCAGAAGGCAGCACCAGATTACACGTCCACAGCAGTGAAGGAGAGGGTCCGTTTCCTTGAAGTCCCTGCCATCATTTAGTTCATATCACTTAAAACATTTGTCAGTTTGAATGTAAAGGAAAAGTGGTGTTTTACTGCTCTAATTCAAGTTGAAGGTTTTTTCCACGGGTTGTTGACTATTTGCCTTCTTTCGTGAATGATCTTTATGTCCTTTTGTCTCATGTTTTTCTTAGTTTTCATTTTTGTCCCTGTTTTCAGGCACCAGAGTCAAACTTGGTGCTGTGAGGTTATAGCACATAGCAGGGTAGAGAGAGCACAGAGTTGGACTGGTAAAGGGAGCTGCCGCACATTCCTGCCCAGTGCTCATGAAGCATCCACTTGGGGTGTGGACCTGTAACACTCAGCAGTCTGTCCTGCTGTTGCTGTTGCTTTTGATGGTATGTGGGAGAAGAGGCCCGTGTTTCTCAAGTCTGACTTCCTTGTATCTGGAAGCAGAAGTTCTCTAAAAGACCAGAATATGCCCTCCCCCTGCCGCCACCGGAGTGGAAAAAGGCACGTGAAGCAGAGCAGTTGAAGAGAAGCAGCAGGGATATTAGAGCAGGAGGACTGACGGAGGCAGAGAGGTAGAGTAGGACCCAAAAGTAGTTTCCAACCACAATCCCATGGGATTGTCACATGCCATGTGTTTATCTTTGGATGTGTTTATTTACTTATTTTTAGAAAAACCTTGCAGTAATATGGAGAAATCAGGGAGAATAATTCATGTACCTTTGTACTGGTCCAGGTGAAAGATACCACTGAGGCAGCAGCTAGAATTAATGCCAAGACAGCGATAAATTTGAGGCATTTTTTATGAAGATTTTGATTCATTAAGAACAGGTTAGGGCTGGGGATGTGGCTCAAGCAGTAGCGCGCTTGCCTGGCATGCGGGCGGCCTGAGTTCAATCCTCAGTACCACATACAAAACAAAGATGTTGTGTCCGCCGAAAACTAAAAAATAAATATTAAAATTCTCTCTCTCTCTCTCTAAAAAAAAAAAACAGGTTAGCTGGGTATGGTGGCACATGCCTGTAATTGTTGTGACTTGGTGGCCCAGACAGGAGTTATAAGATTGAGGCTAGCCTCAGGAACTTAGAACCTTAGCAAGACATTGTCTCGAAATACTAATTATTTATTTTTTTTATTTTAATGTTTATTTTTGTAGCTGTAGAAGGACAGAACGCCTTTATTTTATTTGTTTATTTTTATGTGGTGTTAAGGATCGAACCCAGTGCCTCATGCATGATAGGCAAGTGCTCTGCTCAGCCCCAGCCTGAAATACTAATTATTTTGATTATCACCAAAACTAATAGCTGTTTGGCGTTCAGATGGATAGTTCAGTTATTTTGAAATTTTGCTTTTGTGAAACACTTTTGTTTTCTGATGGCATCAGATAAATGAGACATTTAGGTTAAGTGTAATTTTTACCTTTCTACAGCTTTAAATCTTTTGAGATGACATTTTGAAAGACTGAACTAGAGCATCTAAATACTTTTTTGTTCAAGTTTTCTGTCATTAAGAAATGAGACAAAGCTGAGCATGGTGGTGCATGCCTGTGATCCCAGTGACATGGGAGGCTGAGGCAGGAGGATCACAAGTTCAAGGCCAGCTTGGGCATCTTAGTGAGATCGTCTCAAAATAAAAAGTGCTGGTGGATATAGCTGAGCAGTAGAGCACCCTGGGTTTAGTCCCTAGTACTGGAAGGAAAACAAAGAAACTGAGGCCGAGGGATGTAAATAACTTCTTGCTGAGGTCACATAGCACATTGGCAGTGGAATCCATGTCCGACTTGACTGGTGATGACATTTGCCTACCTCCTGTCACTCGAAAGTCCTTACTGTTTTTCTGTATGCAGGGGGTGGTAGGAATGACAAAATTTTCACGTATGCATTTCAGTTCTCCAAGTTCAGATTCATTTACTTTCAGTAACAGGTACAGCTTTCACCACATAGTTATATATCTGAGAGAAAAATGTTTCTGGGCCATGAATTTAAAAAAAAAAAAATGTGTTAAACAGCACGTTCAGTGATTCACCTATCACTGATTCCCCATTTTAACTGGTGATGTGGATAAGATCAAATAAGCTACATGGGGCTATGCAGACACCGAACAGAACAGAGACAAGGGCTAGACTCAGGTCGCCTGGGAGTAAATGTCAGCCCCATGCTGACTAGCTTTTGACTTGGGGCAGGTCCTGAGTTCTCTGTACCTGCTTCCTCATTTTGTCAGTCAGTACCTACCAGCCGGGTTGTGAGCATTAAGTGAACTTCTGTGTGTAATCATTTACCACATATCAGGATTTAGTGAATAGGACTGTTAATAAGCAAGCTTAATCCATGAAAGTTTGGGTTTATTTTAAAGATATTTCTGTACTTAGAAAAGAATTAATTTTGGTACAAATGTAATAACAAGTATCTGTTCCTTTTAGAAGTGAAGTCTTTTGTAAACATATATTATCTGTTATTTTATATAGAAAATTAGGTAAGCATTTCCTGTATTCCTATTGTAATAATATAATAGCCTTAACATTTTCCTAGAATAATCTTACCCTGATTTTATTATTTTAGTTGGACCTTTGAAAAAGCATCAAGGTGTTTTTTGTTGTGTTTTGGGCTGAAAACCTGGATCCTGTAAAGCACCGCATTTATTGTAGTAAAGATTCCTGGCCAAAAAAAAAAAAAAAAAAGATTCCTGGCCTCATAGTTTATTTCTGCCAATATTCTGGGTCAGTTCCCAGCACTGGAGAAAGGTGACGTGGATCGTATCAGAGCTGTATATAAGCTGGTAGCTCTCAAACTGTTTCGATGAGAAACAAGAAGGGAGCCTGCATCCGCTTTCTAAAGTCAAGTTTTAGAGTTTGCATGTAATCTTGCCCAGTAGAACTATGACAGTGAAAGATGAACCATTTATGACTTGTTACATGATTTTTTTTTTAACTAAAAATGTTGTTTCCCCTCTTTTTTTGTTTTTGTTTTTGTTTTTTGGCAGGGCTGAGGATTGAACCCGGGGCCTTGCCCATGCTAGGCAAGTGCTCTCCGCTGAGCCCCATCCCCAGCTCCTTTATTCTTTAGAATAATTTGTATATAATGAAAGTTTTGCTAGGTAGACTTCATTGACATAAGTAAGGGTTCTGATACTTTGCAGTATGGAAGTCCTTTGACTTCATCCCACAAACTTAATAACTAATATCAGTGCAGGACTTCACCTGTCGAAGCACTTTTCTTCTGGCATTTGCTGTTGAGGGCCTCTTCTGTGCTTGGAGCCAACCCAGGATCTTGGTACACATTAAATTTTACTAGAGCTTTATGGGAAGTGTTGTTATATCCATTTGTAGTCAAGGAAACAGAGACTCAGGAAGTTAAAAGAACTTTCAGCTGATTGTGGCAGAACCAGGATTCTGTGGCCTGATTGACTTGTTGCCTGTTATTGTTTGACACATTGCCTTTTCCCTTACCACAAGCATCTTACCTGTTTTGAAAAACTTCCATGCTTGCATGAGTGCAGATATCCCCATTCAAAAGATTGAAAGACGGAAGGTAGTACTCACCTCTGGATGGGGGCTTATGGGTAATTAAAGACGTGTTTTTCTTTGTATTTATTGCACACCTAAAGACATTTCTTTTGTAATAAACTGCTCCTGTTATACACTGAACTTACAGCAACTGAGACATAACTTATTTCTGGTTTCTCATTGTTTATTTATAGATTCCCAGGCCTTCTTTCATCAGTGGAAGTCCAGTCACTATGATGTGGTGGTGGGTGTGTTGTCAGCTCGAAGTAACCGTGAGCTCCGGGATGCTATAAGAAACACCTGGCTGAAGCACTCGCTGCGTCACCCAGCCCTGAGTCAGCGGTAGGTGTTCTGCAAGCTCCTTGCCTGCTTTGAGGGTGTTAAGACCCTGTCTGCAGGAGCTGGAGATGCTGATTGAAATAGGAGGCCACCTTGCTTCTCTTACACATTGTTGGGCCCCAGAAGTGGATTTGACCAGTTTGAAGCTGATGGGCTCTTGGAGGAGAGTGTGTCTGTTGGTTATGCACCATGGTTTCATTTTGGCTCTAACCTCATGTAGCAATCCCAAACATTTCCACTCTAGAGTGCTTTTCCCTGACTGCCCAGAGGTGGACGCCTGGGGTGTGGCGAGCGCCATGCACATGCCCTTTCCTGACTGCCCTGGCCACACTGTGCTTCTCAGCCCCCCTCTTGCGGCCAGGAGGTGGCTCAGCCATTGGTTAGGAGCATGGGGCCCTGTCTGTTCTCCTTGTAGTGAGGGAGCTGCAGAAAGGAAGCTTAGAAGCCAGGCCCCAGCAATGCGCAGACACTTGGGCCATGAGCAGAAGGGGCCTCTTGGGAGCTGAGCTAGCACTTTTGAGTAGCACTGCAAGTGAATTGCGGATGTGAGTTTTCTTGTCAATGGCCATGAGCTTTTGGGGAATCTCCTGTCCTCCTCACGCAGCTTTCATTCCTTTCCAAGACAGGTTTCCTTAGTCATGATCCCAACGATGGTAGAATCGTTGTCCAGCAAGCAAAAGCCTAGGATTGTCACCACTGTCAGACCACCTCCAGAATACATACTTCCTGTAGCCTTTCCCACCTTGGAAAATAGGGACTCCACCAGCTGCTCAGACCAAAATCCAGTTTCACCACGGCTTCCTTGCTTTCACGGGCCACATCCCATCCCTTGGTGCTGCTTTAGGTCAGATCTGGAATGGGCTTCTTCCACCTTCGCTGCTCCATCCTCACCTGATTGTGCAGGAGCCCCTTCCGTGGATTTCTTGCTTCTACCTTTGGCCCTGTACATTCTGTTTTCCATACAGCAGCCAGCATGCTCCTTTTAAAATTAGTCAAATGATGGTGGTTTATACCCCTGCCCGACTTCCTTTTCTTGCTTAGAATGAAATCCCCAGTGTCCAGTGGCCTCTGTTCCCCTGTGCCACCATCTACTCTGCACTCTGTGCCCCTGCTGTCCCCTGTCGAGACCTTGCTTCCACTAGAAGTTCTCCCCGCCGTAGGCTCATGCATGGGTGTGGGGCTCCCTGTTAAATAGCAACCCCTTCCTGCCCGCCTCTTATTCCCTTCTGGTGGTATTGCCACATTCACCACCCACCGGTGTGCTGCTGTACTTAGATGTGCATCTGCACATCACCAGAGTCGCTGTGTTTAGACGCTGTGTTTACACATCATTTGTCTCCCTGACTTCTGTGTCTTACTGGCTCCTGGCGTGGCCTGGAGCAAGGCACTCAACACTTGAATGAACAACTCAGAACTAAATGTAATGACAGAATTTACAGTCAGATGCTTGCCAGTAGTTCATTCACCTTTGTAGCAGTTCTTGCTTTAAATTTAGTAAGCTGGGTAGCTTGTTTTATGAAAATGATGTCTGTCTATATACAAATAGGTACTAGCTAAAAGCACCTTTCTGGGGAATAATTACATGAATTCAATAAAAGCATTTAAGATAGCTTAAAGACCACTTTTGGTGAATGCATGCAGTAATTGAGTGCATTTGTCCATGCCTGTTTTGTTCCCATGCTGTGCCGGCCATGTGTGGGTTTCTGCCTTCAGTGGTCTTCAGAGTGTGTGCATGTCTGGGGCCTGGTGCACTTTCCTTGCCCTTCTCTGGAGCCAAACTCAGCACTAGACACCTTGAGGCCCTTCTTCAATTCTAGGCCTTTGTAGTGAAAATGTCATTTGTCGATTTGACATGTTTGTCAAGTGTCCTTTGTAAGCAGGCGGTGCTCTGTGTGGTGGAACACAGATGTAGGTGCAGGATAGCCCAGGTGTTTGGAGGGCTCGCGATTTGGAAGGACCTGGACGTGATGGTGTTGCAAGGTGTTTCATGGGCAATACTGTAAATAGGTATAAGATGGCCTAGGGTGTTTGGGGCTGAGGGGGTTGATGAGGGCAAGTGTTAGAAAGCCAGGGAAGGAAGGAGGGACCCAGAGAGGTTGTGCAGAGGGATGGGGTGGGGTTCCTGTGCTTGCAGGAGTAGACAGAGGCCCGAGCAAGCAGAGCAGGTATGTGGAGGCTGAGGGAGCTGGACCTGTTCATTTAGAGCTGCTGAGGGGCGAATTTACCTGGTCAGAGAAAGATGGACTGGGGTGACTGCTAGCTTTTGTCAAAGTACCAAGTGAGAAGAATGGTTTGCATGGGAAAGAAGCTCAGTGCGGTATGCTGAGTTGGGAGCAGGGTGTCCTGAGAAGTGTTTGTTGCCTGGCTGTCTGGAAGAAAGTGCTTCTATATAAATGTGTGTTCATTGTAAATTTCCCAGATACAAAGGATGTGCACCACTTAATCGACAGATAATAGAATATATAGCACTCAGTGAATTCCACGTGGTCAGTCGGTTCTCACAGAATGCTTTTGTTGTTTGCTTGACTCTTTTTTTTTTTCAATATTTATTTTTTAGTTGTAGTTGGACACAATGCCTTTATTTCACTTATTTATTTTTATGTGGTGCTGAGGTTCAAACCCGGGGTCCTGCACATGCCAGGCGAGCGCTCTACCACTGAGCCACAACCCCAGCCCCGTTTGCTTGACTCTTATGTCTTAGCCAACTTGTGGTTACAATTGACAACTCTTTTAAGTCGAAGAGTAAGACTGAGGGGCTGGGGCTGTAGCTCAGTAGTAGAACACTTGCCTTGCACATGTGAGGTGCTGGGTTCCATCCTCAGCACCACATAAAAATAAATAAATAAAAAGGTATTGTGTCCATCTACAACTATAAATATATATATATATATATATATATATATATATATATATGTATATGTATGTATATATAAAAAATAAGACTTATATATAAAAATAAGACTGAAGTGCCAGTTAAGATATGTCAGAGTTTGCTGGGTGCTGTGGTACATAGCTATAATCCCCGCAGTTTGGGAGGCTGAGGCAAGAGGATTGCAGTTCAAGGCCAGCCTCAGCAGCTTAGTGAAGCCCTGTCTCAGAATGGAAAAATGAAAAGGGCTGGGGGATGTGGCTTAGTGGTTTAAGCATCCCTGGGTTCAATCCCTAGTGTCCAAAAAAAAAAAGAAAGATATATCAGAACTTGACTGTCAGACAATGAAATCAGTGATGGCTTGGCTGAATCAGATCATAGTCTTGAACACTGGGAGGGTGTTTCCTCAATTTTGGGGTCCCATCCACAGTGTAACAGCTATGGGTACTTCACATTAAGTTTAATTTGCATTATTAACATTTTTTCCACACTTTCTTGAATGGAGACAATCAAGAAAACAATGTGTTGAGTGCTTCTTTGTGTTTTTGCCAGTTTCCATGGTGGAAGTATTTCTGCCATAGCAAATCGCACACCACTAAAGTGACATTCCTGAATGCAGAATTGGAGAATGATGTGTATAACATGTCTTTTATCACATCTCCATCATACAGCTGTAGATACAAATAACCTCAAATGCACAATAGTAAAATATAGTAAAATCAGAGAATGGTGAATCTGAACATTTCCTTGTTTTTGATATATTTAAATGGTAAGATGTGTAATTCTAATTTTTAATAAAGGCTGTGCTTAATCATCATTTCACAGCATTCCTGTGAGAGATGGCACTAGCCAGTTCAGGACGCACCTGCCAGTGGGTTGTGCGGGTAAAGGTGGCTGACTTATGGATCTTTTACTTAGAGGATGAGTCCAAACTAGAGATACTAGTTTGAGTCATTCCCAGGCTAGTTTACCCTTGGGGGTAAGTGACACTGTCCAGAGGGAGGGAGTGGAAAGAGTGAACAGACTGAGAAGAGCTCCAGGAGTGCAGCTCGGGCCACATTCACTACGTTTGAGTATGGAGAAGAGCCGGTTACAGGCTTCCCGGTGGGTGAGGTCTAGGAGCGGCGGGAGCCTCCCCTTGGGGAGACTGAGCTCGAGCAGCAGGAGTACCTGCCAGAGCAGAAGAAAGCAAAAAAGGAAAATTGTGGCCTCAGAGGTTTTTGAGACGCTGCTTCAGGGTAGTTTGCTTCTGCGTGGCTTGCCTGTTTGCTCCTGCTTGCTGTTAGTGCTGTCAGTGCGGCTCGCAGCAGAGGGCTGAGAGTGCACGTGCTGTGGTCAGCACTGTGCCGTTTGTGTGTTCCCCCATTTTGCTTGACTAGAAGACTGTAGAGTATTCTTCAGGGATATTCAGATGCTTCTGGAAATTCCTTATGCTTAGAATCTTGAATTACTGAATTTTGAACTTTGGAAACTGCTGATTTCACCAGTTAATTTATAACAGTGTTGATGCAAATACCGTAGTCTTGTAGAGATTAATCCTCATGAACACTTGCATCTCAAAGTAGAAGTTCTGGAATGGGTGAGGAAGCGGGCACGGGTGTGGTCAAGGTCACTGACGTGTGGATACCCACGTGTCTCTCAGGGTGCTTGTGAAGTTCATCATAGGTGCTCGGGGCTGTGACGTGCCTGTGGAGGACCGAGAGGACCCCTATTCTTGCAGACTGCTTAACATCTCCAACCCAGGTAGGTCGTCTTCCTCCAAGCTGCATCCACAGCTCAGGTATTGAGTAAAAGTTGCTAAGTGGCATGGAGTCTGTTTTTTTGGGGGGTTGTTACTGGGTATTGAACTTGGGGACACTTGACCCCCACATCCCCATCCTATTTTGTATTTTATTTAGAGACAGGGTGTCGATGTCAGAGACCCTGGGTTCGACAGCCCAGTTTGAGGAAGTGCTAACTCTTCTTTCAGCATTTCCTGTGTTTGTTTATTAGTACTTTCTGTTGTGTTCAGCTGTGACTCTAAGGGAGGTTCAACTTTTCCCAGTATTCAGTGGGCTGAGTTGACTTCTGGCATTTTGAGGTTTGTCCAGCCTTTACAGTGACCCATAGGTCGCTTTTTAGAGACAGTGCTAGTGTACTGGTCAGAGCGTGGCTCTGTGGCTGGCTCTGCCCTACTCAGGCTGTGTGGCCTTCTGTGCCTTCCCTTCGTCCCCTGTACATGGCTGCAAGGAGGGCGCAGGCTGCTGAAGTGTCTGGAGGGCTCCTGGGATGGGAAGCAGGACACGCTGCCCCCACGGGGTGTCTGAAGATGTGCGTGTGCCGGGGAGTGGCACAGCATAGACAGTGCTCTGTATTATTTCATTTTAAAGAGCCTGCCTTTTTATGAGGTTGGGTTTTAGTTGGCTTTTTAAGTACATTGGGCCGTGTTATTTGTGTCTGGTGTTATAAAACGGGGTTTCTTACTTAAGATGTCTAATGAATTAACGTTAATTAATGTTGATATTGTAAGCAGAACATTGTATGTAACTGTGTTCTGGGGAGAGGATCCTTTAGCTTTCACTGGAAGCCCAAAGGGTTTTGAACTCCTTAAAATGCTGTATTGGTGATGATGTGGTAGCCTACGGCAAGTTACCCTTGAAAACCAAAACCAGACCGCAACCAGGAAAACCCTTACATTTAAGCTAACTGGAACTTCATTCTGAAGGGCTGTTATTCAGTAATAGCGAAGGAATGGACCTTTGCATTAATAGAAAATTTCAATGGGTTACACTTTTTTTTAAATATATAAAATCTAAGTTAATGTTGAATCTAACTTTATCCTTTTGACTACCCTGAAAGCATTTATAGTTATTTCAGTGCCTTAGAAGGTCATGCTGGGCATTAATTATGACACTGTGGTGTGTAGAAGGTTTGATTAGTAGCATTATCAAAGCAACGGGGTTTCCTGTGTCTAGGGAGCTAGAGTGCAAGGCATGTTTAAGACAGAAAATATGACTGTTGTGATATGTTTGACCAGTTGCTCTTAACAGATATGCTTCTACTTTTTTTAAATATTTATTTTTTGGTTAGACACAATACCTTTATTTTGTTTATTTATTTTTATGTGGTGTTGAGGGTCGAACCCAGGGCCTCACGCATGCTAGGTGAGTGCTCTACCACTGAGCCACAACCCCAGCCCATGCTTCTACTTTTGATGTTCTTTATTTCTTGCATATACAAAAGAGTGTTTTTGTTGTCCAGTGTGTTTGGAGTCTGGACTCTTGACAGTGCTTGCCCAACTCCTGACTGAAGTCTGTCCGCTTTTCCTTCCTGCTCATGACTAGGAGCCATCACTTCCCTTTAGTCACATTTTATTGAAGATCCAAGTGTAAAATAGCTCCTAGAAACTCTGAGGTTAGAATCTAAATGATCTGCAGGTGTGTGGAAAGAAATTATAAGGTTTTAAAATTTATAAATTTATTTTAACTTTTTTTTTTTTTTTGTGGTGCTTAGGGTCAAACCCAGGGCCTTGTACATGTTAGGCAAGAGCTCTCCACTGGGGCTGGGGGTGTGGCTCAAGCGGTAGCGCGCTCGCCTGGCATGCGTGCGGCCCGGGTTCGATCCTCAGCACCACATACAAACAAAGATGTTGTGTCCGCCAAATACTAAAAAAAGAGCTCTCCACTGACCTACAGCCCCAGCCCTAATACCATTTTTATTTATCTGAAAATAAATAAATAATCTTTATTTAAAAAAACAAGTAATTAATCTTTATTAATTAGAGCTACAAAAAATGTGCATACTGTACACCTCTAAAAGACAGTGAGAACTTTGTTATGATAACTTTAAATAAACATAAGCTTTATATCATTTCTTAAAGTAGCTCTGATGTTCTTGTCCATATTGGTGGTTTCACATGATCTCTGGTGATTCTCTCCTAGTACCTGGGGAGGTAAACTGGGAAGGACTGGGTGCCTATCAGCCATCTGGAAGAGGGGAAGGAGCACGGGCTTTGGAGTCCTTGCAGCTGGGTTTGGTGCCTCCTCTTCCACTTTCTGCGGCTCTTGGTAGATCGCTTAAGGTCTCTTCACTTCAGTTTGTGGACCTGCGAGCTGGAAAAGGCCCCTACCCAGAGCCTGTGAAGGTGCCTGGGATGGGTGGTGGGGGGCGGGAGTCAGACGCCAGCCTCGGTGCGATGGAGATTTCTCTCATCTGTGGTAGTAAGCAAGCATTCTTAAATTGGCTGACAAGAAGCAGCGTTTGGGGGATTTGCCTATCAAGACCAGACTTCATGACTGCAGTCAGTGCATTTTTGTTACTTCTATTCATCCAGTTCTTCTGGTTGACCTGAATTTAGTATTCTCCTGTGGTTTTCAGGTATGTCTGCACCATGTGTGCAAAACCCTGTTAAGGCTGTGCTGATAATTGAATGACTTACCTAAATTTGGCTGAAAACTTCATTTTTTTTTTTTTTGGACACAGTACTTTTATTTTTTTATTTTTATGTGGTGCTGAGGATCGAACCCAGTGCCTCATGTGCTAAAGCAAGTGCTCTACCGTTGAGTCATAACCCCAGCCCTGAAAGCTTATTCTTAAATTTCAAAATAGGTTTTTTTCAAGGAGCAGCCTTGATTTTCAAATATTGAAAAAAAAAAATGCCATTTGTGAAAAATCATATAAGTAGTTACCTATATTTTGCTGTTAAGTCCACTTCTTTGTTATTTTTTATTTTTTTGGATACTGGGACTTGAACCCAGGGGCACCTCACCTCTGAGCTATATCCTCAGCCCCTTGCTAGTTGCCTAGGGCCTCGCTATGTTCTCAGGCTGGCCTCAAACTTGTGATCCTCCTGCTTCAGCCTCCATGGAGTTGCTGAAATTACAGACTCCATTAGTTCTTGTTGGTGAAGGAAAAGTTCATATCTGTTTGTGTAAAACCCCTGTTCTCGTTACTTCCATAGTTTTGAATCAGGAAATCGAGGCATTCAGCCTTTCTGAGGAGGGTTCATCAGGACTCTCCGAGGCCCGGGTCGTCAGCGTGAGCTTCCGAGTGCTCCACCCGATTGTCATTACCAGCCTGGGAGTGTTCTATGAAGCCAGCGACGAGGGTTTCCAGAGAAACATCACGGTCAAGCTCTACCAGGCGGAACAGGAGGTATGCGCCTTGTTCAGAAGCCTAGCTCTTGCTCTTGGCGAACAGCAGGTGGGAGGGCAGGCAGCTCTCTCTGGAGGGAGGCTCTCTTTTCTTGCCTCTCAAATTGAATACATGGTACTGCAGTACATTATAAATGCTGGTTTGGGAGAGATTACCTATGAATAAATGTGTTAAATCTAGAAAACATAAGTAACTAGACTAGATTAGAAGTTTTCCTAAAACTCAAGGATTTCAAAATCTAGTCATGGAGGGGGCTGGGGAGATAGCTCAGTTGGTAGAGGGCTTGCCTTGTTTGCACAAGGCCCTGGGTTCAATCCCCTTCCCCTCCAAAAAAAATCTAGTCATGGATATAAAAAGTTTGGGACTCTTAGAATACATGTGAGTGTTACTATGTCTTCCAGCCCTTAAAATCTGTAATACAAGGTTAATAGCTGCTTGAGATCTTTTTTGTAATGAAGATGTATGGGAGATGTGCGTTTACAAGAACTGAGGTCACTCTGTTCCTGAATTTGGGGAAATCTGATTTGAAGAAGCAGAGGATGGCATGGTATCTAAGAGGACCTGTTTCTGGGTCTTAAATGTATAGAAAACTAGACAATTATGCAGTGAGCACTCATAGCCACCGGTCATGGTCTGCAGTAATCCACATCTTGCTGTTTATCACCTATGTTCATCCATCTTTCAAAAATGTCTTTCAGAGTAGGTTTCAGGATGGGTGTGCTTCACCCCTGAACGTCAGCATGCTGCCATTCACTAAACTTTAATGTTTGTTGATAGTTTTTAAAAATTTGCATAAAGTGCAACGTGCAGATTTTTAAACTGCATAGACCTGCTTAACCCAAACTCCTCTCAAAGTACATCCCCTAGAAATTTCCCTGTGTTCCCTCTGGGTCTATTCATCCCCCCATCCCCCATCCTCCAGGGGCTGCTGCTGTTGGGACTGTTTGCCAGGCACTGGCCTCGCCTGTCCTAGGACTTGGGCAGAGTGGAACTGCGCTGCAGTGCTCTGCCGAATTCCTTTTGCTCGTTTTCCAACTCATTGGTTCCACCCTGTGACTGAGTTTTCCTTCCATCTTCTGTTAGCGGGTTGTGCTGCAGCGGGGTGCTTGCCTGTCTGTTCCTGCCGGTGGGCACCCGGGATGTGTCCGAGAGTTTTCTCCTTTACTCTGTGTGAAGAATCACAGTCAAAGAGTTTTTTTCATTTTGCTGTGTGTGTGTGTGTGTGTGTGTGTGGTGTTGCTGGGGATTGAACCCAGGGCCTGTGCAAGGACTCCACCACCTAGGCCATATCCCCAGCCCCAACTGAGCCATATCCCAGCCCTATTTCTTTTTTTTTTTTAAGCTGTCCTGCTGTGTTTTGTTCTGTCTCCCCTGTTGTTCTTGTTTTTCCTTTTCTGCCTTCTGTGGGTTGACCGAATATTTTTTAGAATGCTGTTTTTAACTTCTATTCTTCCTTTAGCTTCAGCTCTTGTCCCATTGTCTTGTGTGAGGTTGTGCAAGGATCACAGTATGTATTCCAGTCTTCTGTTCCTGTCCTTCCCCTTCAGGTCCAAGGCAGAGAGTTTCCCTTGTCCCCCATGGCTGTTTCCTGTCATTGCCCGTGGGTTTCCTGTATGTGCGCTCTCAGTCTCACAATACTTGTTACAGTTTAAACATCCAGTGCATGTTAAGGGAATATAGAGGAAAATACTCTTTGACACTTGCCCACGTATTCACCATTTCTGATGCTCTGTATTCCTCCATGAGTGTCCAGTTTCTATCTGATATCATTGTCTTCAACCCAAATAATAACCTTCAGTGTTTCTTACACACAGGTTTACTAGTGATAAATTTACTTTTCATTTTTCTGAAAATATCCTTGTTATACTTTTATTCTTTTTTTCTGCTTTATTACTGTGGAATAATTTCTGGATATGGAATTTTGCAGGGTTTTTTTCTCTCTAGTATTTTAAAGATGCATCCCCGTGTTTTTGGCCACAGTTGTGCTAGGGAGAACGCACCATCCTTCATGTTGTTGTTTGTGTGTGGATGTGCGCAGTGTGGTGTGTGCGTTTGGGGCTGCCTTTAAGGTTCTTTGTATTTTGTTGTGAGCAATCTGGATGTGTTGTGCCTTGGAGTGACTTTTCTCTCTGTTTGTTCCTTGAGTTGCTGAGGCTGGCCTCCTGAGTCACTGGGATTGCAGATGTGGCCCCTGTACCCGCCTCTGTGTGTACATGACACTTCTTTTGGTATCGTCCCCTTTGTGAACCACTGTTCATTTTTCCAGTGGTTTCGTGTTTTTCAGAGTTAGGTAATTTTTTAAAGTTCTTTTTTTTTTTTTTAAATATTTTAAGTTTTAGTTGGACACATTATCTTTATTTCACTTATTTATTTTTATGTGGTGCTGAGGATCGAGCACTCTACCACTGAGCCACAATCCCAGCCTCAAAGTTAGGTAATTTTTGTTGATCTACATTCAAGTTCCCTTACTCTTTTATCATCTCAATTATGCAATTAAGCCTATCCAATGAATTTTTTATTTTAGATTTGTTTTAGATATACTTTTCTTCAATTTTCATTTGAAAACTATCTCTTGTAGTTTCTGTTTCTCTAAACTTCTTGTGTGCTCATTACTTTGAGCACATTTCTCCCTGGCAGACACTTGACTGCAGTTATAAAGGCGTCATCCTTGACTGCTTGTCTGTGAATCACCTTCTGTCTCGAGTGCAGTGACCTTTTCTGTTTCATCTTCTGTCTAGTAACTTCAGCTTGTGGCCCAGATGCTGGAGCAAGTTGCTGTGAGAGCTTGGGTCCCGCCGTCTTCCTAGGAGAGTGCTGGATTCCTGTTCTGTTTCAGCAGTTGCACTGGCCAGATTCAGGCTCTGCGTGGCTTCCCTTGACAAGGACAGCAGCTGAAATCTCTGTTCAGTTCTCTGGACCTGAGGGGGGCTGCTCCAGTGCCCTCACACTGTGCTTCCTGAGCAGCCACAGATTTGGGCAGAATCCACAGGAAGACCGTGGCTCTCCCTCTGTGGCCCCTTCCTTGCAGGGGTTTCCTCTTCACTGTTTAGCTGATGTGTCTGTGCCAACTCCACCCTCTTAATTCTTCAGCCAGAAAGACTGCACGTCTGCATTCCGTCTCAGTCACCCTAGATTTGTGCCTTCAGACAGAGACGGGATGGGAACCCAGGGTCCCTTCTAGTTTTGATTCTCCTCTATGTTAAGTGGAATTCCACTGCCTTCAGGTCACCTTTTTATGTTTTGTCCAGATTTCATGATTGTTACCTCTAGGAGAATTAGTCTGATATTACTGGAAACAGAACTCTGTTTTCTCAAATATTTCTGTACTATTGTTATTGTTAATGTTGATTGTTACCAATGGATACCATGTTGGAGTCATAGATAATGTATAAATCTATTTCAAGATTAAATTTCTATTCTACAGTTTTTCATATTACTTCCTCTGAGAGCCTATAGTTAATGTGTTAATGGAAGAGGGAACAAGTGACTCCAGCCATTACGATTGTGGCATGAAGAGCTTTATCAGGTTACTCCACTCTGTAGTCTCTGTGTTCCTGTGGTTGAAGATTTCATGGAAGGACTGGGAGTGTACCTCAGTGGTACAATGGTTCAGGACTTGCATAGCAGGCCTAGGTGTGATCTCCAGCGCTGCCCAAAAAAACCCAAAACAAAGCAAAAAAGCCAGGTGTGGTGGCACATGTCTAATCTCAGCTACTCCAGCTCCTGAGGCAGGAGGATGCAAGCTCAAGGCCAGCTTGGGCCACTTAGCAAGACTCTGCCTCAAAAGGAAATTTATAAAGGGCTGGGGATGCAGCTCACTGGTAGAGCATCCCTGGGTTCAGTCCCCAGTACCGCCTGCCCCACAAAAGATTGAATTGATACTGAAGTTTAGATAGATAACCGAAATAACAGTACACTGAATTCTGCTGTTGTCCTGATTTAGATTCGAATTACTCTTGAATTTTTGATGTACTCAATTGTCTTAGTGCTTGTAGTCTTTTTATAAAAACTATTTGTAATGCTTCCATTATCAGTCAAGTAGTTTAATTCAGACACATAATACTTTGATCGTGTTGAATAATCCCTTGCTGTATTTTTAGCTAGAGAGAAGTCCATAGTTTCTGTCTTTGAGGTTGGACTGGTCTAAGGTGGATACTAAAGGGTTCACGGGCAGACAACAGAAGTATCTTCACTTCATTTCTAGAACTGGTGTTCATGAAAGATGTCATCTTAATCCACTGACGCACCCGTGGTTGTGACTTTGCACGGTCTTGGTCCCTGTGGTGACGTGGTGTATAAGAATAGTCGTGGAAGAAAGAAATGCTCCTGCCTCACAGTGACATCCTGAGAATTGTCTTTTTGTAGTCCCTGTTTTGCTTAAGATCAAATTCCTTTTTTGTGGTTTCTCCTATTCTTAACTTCCTTTAGAGAGTCTGGAGTTTCGTTTGAAGGCGGTTTCTGAGTGCCTTCTGTTCTCTGGAAGCTATAGTCCTCAGTCTGTTCTACACCCTTGGAAGTGCTGGGGTCTGACACTGAGTTGGCCTAATACCATCTCCCTTCCCTGAACGCTTCTCATTTCATATTTCCTTTTAAGGTCATGTGGGTTACATTAGTATGTGAGAACCTCGTGACAGTTTTAATTATCTTCTGTTTATTTAATAGCCACGATGGTACTAGAAAACCCCAAAGTTGCTGAAACCTCTGTGGCACGATATTGGTGACCATGGTTGGGGTGCCTGTGGATTTTACTGACCAAGGGGCAGCGTTTGTCTTTGTTTTCATGTCTCTTCTCCCCCATATGCAGGAGGCCCTCTTCACTGCGCGCTTCAGTCCTCCGAGCTGTGGCGTGCAGGTGAACAAGCTGTGGTACAAGCCCGTGGAGCAGTTCATCTTACCCGAGGTAAAGGCACAGCGGAAGACCCTTCCAGTGTGGTCCTTCACAGGACGGGTGTGTGCTGGTGGGCAAGGCAGCTCTGCAGGACGGGAGGCGGGTGCTGGGTGAGGTGTACTGGAAGGTAGCCATCACGTCTTTTCCCTGAGGACACCATGAGCCCTCAGGTTCAGAACACACTTGGGAAGAGTCTCGCACCTGGCCGTGTTGGCTCGCTGCAGTAGACACCCCATGACTGTTTTAGTGAAAGCCCAGTGCAGGTGCTGACGGACGGACAGATACGGGCATTCTGGTAATTCAGACTGTCTGCTTATCTGAAGAAGTAATGAGAGCCAGGTGGCTCAGGAGGCCGAGGCAGGAGGATCGTGAGTTCAAAGCCAGCCTTAGCAACTTAGAGAGGCCCTAAGCAATTCAGCAAAACCCTGTCTCTAAATAAAATACCAAAAAGGGTTGGGACTCAGTGTGTCCAGTCTTGAGTGCGCTGGAGATGCCTCACCTGCCGGGCCTCAGCAGTCCTGGAGTTGGCCACAGTGTGCCACAGGGTAGGTGGCTGCAGGCATGCACACAGCGCCACCCACCACCTCAGCCCACTGTGAAGTACTTGGCAATTGAGCACAGTAGTTGAAACGGCCTGTATTGATTCGTGAATGCCAGGTATCTTTTTTTTTTTAATACCTTTATTTCATTTATGTATTTTTTTATGTGGTACAGAGGATCGAACCAGGGGTCACATGTGCTAAACAAGTGCTCTGCCGCTGAGTCACAACCCCAGCCCGCCATGGGATCTTTCACCTACATTTCAACTTCCACTTAACAAACCTCTCCAATAAAAACAACACTAAAACATTGGGAAACAGTAGAAAATGCAGATAAACTAAAGAAAACCATTAAAACCACCAAAATCTCATAACCCAGGGATAATCACATTTTAAGATTTTGACTTCTGTGCATGTATAGATGTTAGGATTATACTTCCCCCCCCTGTTTTATAGTTTAACACAGCATGGACATTTTTCATAGATGTATAGTTCACTATTTTAATGCCTGTGTAAAATTATGCTATATGAAAATATTGTCATTTTTTAACATTAGCTGCATTTTGATGTGTTGAAATTTTTCAGTGTTATGAAAAAAATTATAGTGAACATTATTCCACTTCTATGTGCATCACTGGTTGGTTTCTTAGGATGAATTATTAGACCGAAGGCATATATGTTTTGAAGGTATATGATTCTTTTTTTTTTTTTTTTTTTTTTTTAAATATTTATTGTTCAGTTTTCGGCGGACACAACATCTTTGTTTGTATGTGGTGCTGAGGATCGAACCCGGGCCGCACGCATGCTAGGCGAGCGCGCTGTCGCTTGAGCCACATCCCCAGCCCGTGTATGATTCTTTTTGGAAGGCATTTTAGCGATTTGTATCAATTTGAATAATAATTAGCATTATATAAGAGTGCCTATATCTTGTTGTTTCCTGTATCTTTTTTTCTTTCATTTACGAACTTGTTTCCTTTCTTTTTAAGGCATGAACAGCCTGCCTTTATTTTGCTTGTTTATTTTTATGTGGTGCTGAGGATCGAACCCAGTGCCTCGCACGTGCTAGGCGAGCACTCCACACTGGGCCCCACCGCAGCCCTGAACTTGCTTTCTTTTGAAGTGCAGCGTGTACCGTTAAGTTATCCTTTATTTTGGATTAAGATTGTGGCTCAGCTAAGCAGTGCTGGCCAAGCACTGGATCTCAGTTTTTGAAAGAAACTATCTTTAGTTAGTTCCTATGTTTACCCAGAAGGTTTTTGCTGTGTGCCAAGCGTGGGCCTCATCAAGACTCAACCTGGGGCGCTGCTACCCAGTGGCTCACATGCGGCGGGTGTTGCTACCTGTGCCAGGATGCTGCTGAGAGCATCGCCTAGTTACCTAGTTGGTTTGTCTCCTTTAGACTGAAGCAGGCCAGCGAGAGTCCCTCCTGTAGGCTTGTCACATTGTGGGCAGAACCTCCCGCAAACTGGTTCCCACGGGGAAGGTCACTTTGTCCCAAGGCACTAGGAGCACTGGCGTGGTGTTGGGTACTACCCAGAACCATCCGAAGCCTGCTGAAGGCCTGCTTTTCACAAAAGGTGTGAGAGGACTGGTCTGAGAAGGGATGGGGGTGCACGTGACTGAGTCGGAGCCGCCACTCTTCCACTCTGGGGCTTGCAACCCTGCGAGGAGCCTGCCTTCATTGCCTGTTTCCTCTGGGCTGCGGAGCCTTGCCACCCAGGTCCAAGGCCATTCCAGGGACCTGGTGGTCCACCTCAGGAGGCTGCTGAGACACGGCAGGAGGTGTTTGCGCGCTCCTTAGACCACTGCTCCCTGTCTTGCTTCTTAAGAGCAGTGTTTCAGGGGCAGTGTGCCCTCGGGGGACATTTAGCAATGCTTGGGGACACTGCCCAAGCTGGTGTCTGGTGGCTGAGGGTCAGGACGATGTTGCACGTCCTTGTCGCACAGGAAAGAGTGGCGCAGCCCAGTGTCAGCGGCGCTAAGGTTAAGGGAGAGAAAGAAGAGCAACTCCGGTGCTCCAGCTGGTCGCAATTAGTCTGCCCCTCCATTGTCCTGGCTGCACACTGTTCCTTTCCCCTGGATGCCCTTGTTCTTAGGAAGGCCACACTGAAATGCTTAAGGGTGTGCTGTTGTAACGTCCCTATTTTACTTTCAAGTAATGTGGCAACAGGACAGTGTGGGGAGGGGCACAGTGTGGCCTCATGGGGACTGCTGGGGGTCTCTAAGATCAGATGGTGAGTCCAGGCTGACCACCTGCTGATGCTGGTGAGGGAGGAACTCGGCTGAGTAGCGAGTGCAAGGCAGTGTGCCTGTCATCCTGAGACCTCCGGGTCCCCGTAGGCTTGCTCTGTCATGATGGTTGAATAACATTAACAGAAACTCAGTTATTTAACAGGGCTACACGGGAGATGAATGGTTTTCATTTTCTTTTATTAAATTGGTTTCCTGGATGGTCTATAATACATATTAGCTTTATTGGGAAAAAATAAAACCATGGCTTGGTGCGGTGGCCAGTTGCTTAGGAGGCTTAGGCAAGAGGATTGCGAGTTCAAGGCCAGCCTGGGCAACGTAGCAAGACCCTGTCTCAAAATAGAACAAAGGGCTGGAGATGCAGCTTAGTGGTAGAGAACCCCTGGGTTCAATCCCCAGCACCACCCAAACAAACATACACATGTCTGTGCAGGAAGCACGAGGCCGGAGTGAACATGGGGAATGGGTTGCAGACAGCTTGCAACGTCATGGACAGCACGTTTCCAACCTCTTGTCAGGCTTTCTCCTTTTCTTTTAGTTTTATGTCTTGTCACAAGTTGCCATGAAAATGTTGCTCCTCTCCTTTAGGTTCCTGGTGTTGTGACAGCTTACGTCAGAGGATGGACTGCAGGTGTGTGAGGAAGAGGGGAGGGCGTGGCACAGCCTGGGTTCGCAGGCAGGTAGATGCAGCTCCAGCGGATTCAGTATAGAAAGATGGTTTTCTGAGCCAGGCCTGGGGGTCATCTCCTTTGGGCCAGTGAACTCTGGTACTTACCTAACCAGAGTGTCAAGACAGGCATAGTGGAGTTGGGTACACTGAAGGAGCATAGCGGGAGAGGTCAGACGCCAAGCATCAGCTAGTAGGTGGGGCTAGAGCAGTCTTGGGTTGTGGTCTCCAGACGAGGAGGGACTTTCTTTGGCACGCTGGCTTTTCCTGAGGTGTGAGTCATTATCTCCCTTTTTTCTTTTTGATGCTCGCCTTCTGTTTGGCTCATTCTTCTCAGGCCATTTCATCTGTTACCACCAGTGGGCTGGTGGCCTGTCACTGCAGCCCAGACTGCTTTCGACTGGCTGCTTGCTGAACTCTACGTGCACGTCCCACAGGCGTCCTACTGGGGACATCCCCTCTGTGCTACCCTTTCTTGTCTCCTATGTCTTCAGCCTTAGGTCTGGTGTCTCCACCTGAACCAGCACCATGGGACACATCCTTGGCTCTCCAGTCCCTATACTGGCCAGCGGGCACTCTATTTTAAGGTCCTCCGTAGTGTCCGGTGGGTACACTACCTCTGTAGTGACCAGTGGGCACACGGCTTTGAGGCATTGATTTTGCTGCTGGAGCCCTGCTTCGCAGCTCTTCTGGTCTGGGGACACTGCCTCTTCTCAGGTGAGCTGATCCTGACCCAGCCCAGGCACCTCCTGCCCCTCCCTCTCCATCTGGTCACCCTAGCAGGTGCCTGCTCTTCCCCGGCCTTTGCGTGTGTGTGTGTGTGTGTGTGTGTATGTGTGTGTGTCTCTCTCTCCCTCCCTCTCTCTGCCCCTCCTGAGGCCCTCTCCTGCTGCAGCCCTCTGGCTTCTGGCTTCCTGTCCCGGGGGTGCACCCCCGCCTTGTCTGGTGCCGAGCTCTTCATGGTTTTCTGTGTGTGCCTGTGGTTGCCTCCCGCTTTCTGACCCAGAGCCCTTGGGGACAGCGCTGGAGGTGCTGGAAGCCTGCCGAGCCCCGACCCCGCAGTTACTTCCTTCCCTTGTCATGGAACCTCATCTTAGCGTGTTTTGATAATTCCATATTAGGGTGATTTAAAGATATGGGCTCTTTCATTTTTGTTTCTGAACTTGAAACACACAGTCAGAGGCCTGGTAAATCATACATACCGAAATGTTTAAGTAATGGCTCGTGTCTGGAGGAAGACTGACCCTAAATTTGCTTGTTGGTTATATGTTCCAGGTTTACATTTTTTTTTCATGATTATCAAAGTATAGAAATGTATGAAAGTGACATGTATTTGTTGTTGGAAATTTGGAAAAATGCAGAGAGGTTTAAGGACGTGACTTCACCCATCTGTTGCTCAATATATTTGGTGTATTTCTTCCCTAATCTTTTTTCTTTATCTCCCTCCTGTATATTTGTCTATTTATGGGAAGGTTTTGTTTTTTTAAAACTCAGATTTGAGCTAGAGAGTTAAGGACACCTAGGAAAAGTAGAGTCTTTGAAAAGGACAGTTCATGTCCTCCTGTGCTTCTGATGGTCAGAAGCCTGTTTTCTGAGCAGAGAGTGCACGTCAGAGCAGCCCTTAGAGGAAGACATGGCTCTCTGTGTTTTATTAAGAACTGAGAAGCAAGGACCCAGGCTGCAGTGTGTCTGCAAGGTCATCTCCAAGGAAGGGGGGGGTGGGGACAGTGCCTCAGGGGTTTGCAGATAATAAAGGTTAAGGGCACCTGAGCAGCATAACCCAGGCTCTTGCAGTGTTTTTGTCTGCTTTGGTGGAGAAGAAAAGTTTTATTGCTTTAAAAAAAAAGTTTGTAAGCCACTGACCTAGTCATGAGACAGATTCACTCTGCCTGGTTTCCTGAGCTGTTGACTGAATTAGACGGTACTGTCAGTCCTCACCTTTTCATTTCATACATGAGACTGTTGATACGTTAGAGCCGGGTCTTCATGTGCCACATGGAGGTCATCTACTTGGCTTTAATTCCACACTGTGTGTTTGGCAAGTGGTTTTCAGTTTTAGTTATGTCAAGCCATTCTCCTGCTGGGGACATGGTGGTTGGAAAAACAGCAAGATGCTTGTGTTCCATTGGGAACCATCAGTTTGACAGTGGAAAAACCAGAAATAGCAGAGCGATAAATGGCATTAAGGAAATGAAACAGGTCGATGTGGTGGGCAGATTGGGCCTTGGTGGCTTGTTTCTGGAGAAAGTGGAGTTAAGACCTGAGCAGTGTCAGGAGCCAGCTGCAGAGTTGAAAACGGACCACAGAGAAGTCAGAAGGCGTCAGGACCTTGGGGTGGGGAAGCGCAACTTGCTAAACTTGGCATTCAGCAGTGATCATCACAAAAAAGCTTGTCAGAGTCCGTAGGAAGCATTTTATAGATGTTTGAATTTCAAAAAAAAGTGGCAAACAACTCTGAAAAAATACTTCTAGTGCACACAGCATACACAGGATCAAGGTAAGTGCTCTGCAGAATTGCACAGATTAACAAAGAAGAGAAAACTCAATAACCAGGTGGCACAGAAGAGGACAGGCCTTCATCAGGAGAGAACAGCCCTGGGATCAGAAATGCAGCTGAACCAGGGGTCATTCCCTGCACCCACACCAGGCATTCTCAAAATCCGCTCATAACGTGATAGAAAAGGACTTTTGAAAAGCACCTTAGCGATGTGTACCAACACACACAAACCTCAGTCTAAGATTTCACCTCTGGGAATTTAGTTTTTAAAATACAACTTATTCGGGGAAAAATAGACATTTAAACCAAAACACTCCCGCATTGAGGCGGTAGCTATGTGGCAGCCCCAAATGTCTGCCGCAGGGAGTATTCCAGTAAACCCTCACGCATCCACCCAGGGCGCGGGCGCGCCGTGCCCACTGAAGGGAGCTGCTGGGCTGCACCGGGAGGCCTTGGGCCAGGGGAACGGAGGCATCTGCTGCCCAGCCTTATACACTCTGGTTGGTTTCTAGATGTGCATGGAAAAAGGTGTTAGAGTTGCAGCATAATAACTTAACTGATATCTTTTGGAGAAAGAGTAAGCATTTCTCTCAGGTCTGAACCTAAACACTTATTTTAACCCAAATGACAACAGTAAAGAAACTGGCTCACTCTTCATCTTTTCCCCAAAGAGCTTTGAAGGGACCGTGGTGTGGGAGAGTCAAGACCTCCACGGGCTCGTGTCGGGAAACTTGCACAGGGTGACCGTGCATGACGGTGGCGGAGTCCTCCGGGTCATTACTGTAAGTCAGCCTTCTCTTGGGCTTTTCCTATACCTAAAAGTGTCTTAAAATTTATACCATCCCAGGCAGTATTGAATAATGATTCTCATGTGCTTTAAAACATATGTAGTAGTAAGTGTTGTTAAGTCGCCATGGTGAAGACAGAATGCTCAAGTGTTCGGTGTGATTCTGCAGTTCTAACACTGGTGAATATGGAGTCAGCCTTAAGATTGGTGCATGTTTGGGGGGCTGGGGATGTGTCTCAGTGGTAGACCACTTGCCTAACGTGTGCAAGACCCTGAGTTTGATCCACATTGCTGCAAAAAAAGTGCATTGTTAAAGTACAATATTTTATTTCTCAAAAATTTTTAAATAATTAAGAATATTTGTTCAGTAGTTTAGAATATTCACTATCTCACCTTAATAGTGAAATGTCAGCTAAAATTCTATAGATACCTGGCACATACCTGTAATTTCAGCTACTTGGGAGGCTGAGGCAGGAGGATCACAATTTGGAGGCCAGCTTCAGCAACTTAGACTGTCTCAAAAACAAAAAAGAATGCCACTTGGCTTAGTGGTAAAGTACCCCTGGATTCAGTTCCTGGTGCCAAAAAAATATATGTGTAAAATAAAGTACTAGAGATAAAAATGCCGAGTCAGATGCAGTGACATGCACCTGTGATTCCCACTATTCAGGAAGTTGAGGCAAGATCACTTGAGTCCGAGAGTCTGAGAGCAGCCTGGACAACACAGTGAGACCCCATCTTAAAGGGAAAAGTGGAAAATAAGTTGGATATTTGCTTTTATTTTTATTGCTGAAGCAAATCTGATTTTTTGATTCTCCTTTTTCTCATTTTTTGAGACTTACTTCAAATTTAAAATATGCAAATTTGGCAGATTTCTGAAATGTGGAGTGATGAGGAAAATGGGGCGGCAGGCCTGTGTGTGCTGTCAGGCCCTTCTCTCCTCCTGTCTCTGGGCCAGTGGTTGGGGGTGGGCGTGGGGCCTTCAGTGAGTTCTTTGAGTACTCATCTGTTCACGGGGTTGGGTTCCCAAGACAGAGACGCAGAGGACACAGTGGCGCACTGCTGCTCGTGCTGAGATGTTCACTGAACCTGCCCTGCTACAGGTCTGTCATGGGAACTCAGTGTTCAGGGAGAGGAAGGACACTAAGCACACAGACTCAGATGCACGTCCGACAGCTCCCAGCCTTGGCCATTCACATCCCGGGTTCAGGATTCCACCCTTTTTTGAAAAGTCCTTTGGGTAGAAAGTTCTATGGAGTTGATAGATTTCTCTTAATTTCCTTATTTAAGCCAAGTGCCTTTAATTCTTGCCTCCCTATAGTATTTGAGTTTATTAGACAGTCAAGGAAATAAGTTTACTTCAGAGTTGAGAAGTGGGTTCAGACGTAGACTCCAGTGCTCTGCTCTGGAGTACACACTGTGGCAGAGGGTGAAAGGTCGAGGTTTGAGGTGGGGGAAGGGGAAGCTCCGCAGAGACACACCTGGGCAGAGGAGGATTTTCACCAGTTCTGCTCCCTGCCAAAGAATGCTGTCCTCCAAACAGGCCGGTACAGCACAGTGGAAGCGATTCAAAGATGAAGAGTGCGTGACCTTTCACAGAACTGCAGGGTTGGGAGGGAGAGGAAGTGCTGGGGAGTAGTACTGGCCAAGTTGCGTTGTGTTATTGTGTAGTGTGTACAAGTGCGAATGCATAACAACAAATCCCACCAGTAAATACAGCTATCACACACCAGCCAAAAAAAAAAAAATGGTGGTTAGAACTACGTGGCTGGATTCTGTAGCATTCCCCTGGACTAATTTCTTCAGCATTTGGCTACAAACCGTATTTTTAAATTAAATGATGTGTTACCACAGTGCCTTCAGAATTCTCTCACTGCTGGCCCTCGAAATTGCTTTACACAGTAAAACTCTGCTGAACAGATTTGTTTGAAAAGCGAATAGCCCAGCAGTATCCCTTCTGCTGAGGTGAGTTCACAGAGGAAAGGCCATGAACACTCCGACCAGTAGCAGCTGTAGTGCAGCTCTGATGGACGCTCACTCCGAGTTGGCGTGTGACACAGAGTGACAACTCAGTTTGAGTAGGGGTGTCGGGCAGCTTTTGAGGTGACTCTAATAATAAAGGCACGCCTAACAGGCAGAAAGGTCTGTTTCTGGCTCTTGACAGAATTGGCTCTAGCCCTGAAATTCACCAGTGGTCATGCGGGTTCCATCTGAACTGTTTGGGACAGAGTGCTGACCTTAGAGAAGCTTTTCTCTGCATGATCACTGAAAGGTAAAATGTGCCTATCTATTTGAACTTATGAGAATTATCAGTCTCCAGAAAGTCAAAATTTTCATTAATTTTTAAAGGGGTGGAGTTGATGTAAAATAAAGTGATTTTAGTACTATTATGGTAGCAAATATAAGAACATATGATTCCACGTTAAGTTGGAATTCCGAACACCTTTGAGCCACCGAACATATATGATCTTAAGACTGCAGTTAAACCAGGCGTGGTGGTACCCACCTGTAATCCCAGAGACTCCAGTTTGAGGCCAGTGTGGGTACTTAGCAAGATTGTGTTTCAAAATTTAAAAAATGGCTGTGGGTGTAGCTCATTGGTAGAGCACCCAGGTTCAATCTCCAGTACCAGTACCAAAAAAGAGATTGTAATTAGATAACAAAAGTAGCAGCCTGCTGCGTGCTGCAGTGGGGTCCTGTCAGGACTGGTCAGATGATGGTCCAGTGCGGTACATTCCTTTCTGCTGTGCGGCCCTGGACACTGCCATTCTCATTCCTTCCAGGCTGGGGAGGGTGCACTGCCTCATGAATTCATGGAAGGTGTGGAAGGAGTTGCAGGTGGCTTCATTTACACCATTCAGGGTAAGTCGGCCTGTTGAGAAGCACACTGAACCTCTTACACCTGATCTTTTTTTTTTTTTTTTAACTCTTGGACATAAAACGTGATCTTGTTAGTCACTGAAAAAAAAATAGCTTTACTGAGGTAGCTTTACATACCATACAATTCACCCTTTTAAGGTGTTGATTCAATATTTTTGGGAGTTCTGAGACCATCTACACTAATTCAAGAACATTTCTATCCTGCCAAAAAGAAAAGAAAAGAACCCTATACCCACTGGTCCCATTCTGTTCTCCCTACCATTAAAACTACTAATTTACTTCTCTGTGGATTTGCCTATTTTGAACATTTCATGCAAATGGGATCATACAACATGTGGTACTTGCCTAGCTTCTTTTGCTTAGCATAATTTCTCAAGGTTCAGCCTTATTGGCCAACATACTTCATTCTATTTTTGTGACTATAATATTCCATTGGATATATAATGCCATATTGCCATTTGTTAATTGATGCACAATTGGGTTGCTTCTACTTCTTGGCAGTTACGAATAACTCTGCAGTGAATGCTCGTGTACAAGCTTCTGTGATCATATATTTTCATTTTTTGTAGTTAAATATCTAGGAATGAAAATGCTGGGTCCATATGGTAATTCTGAGCAGCCATCTAAGGCCCTGCCAGACCGTTCCCAGCAGCCGCTGCCCGGTTCTGCGTTTCCGTCACTGTGTGGGTTTCCGTTTCTCCACCTCCCCAGTGTTTACATCATCTGTCTTTTTAATATTCCCCTCCTAGTGGGTGTGAAGTAGGATCTCACTGTGATGCTGAGTGGCATTTTCAAGATGACCAGTGATGATTATATATATGGCGGGTGGGGGGGGGGAAATCTCCCTAAAAGTAACAACCCAGCTGGGCAAGGTGCAGTGGTACACACCTATAATCTCAGCCACTCCAGTGCCTGAGGCAGAAGGATTGTAAGTTTGAGGTCAATTTAGTGAGACCCTGTCTCAAAATTTAAAAAAGAGCTGGGGATGTAGCTCAGTAGAAGAGTGCCCCTGGGTTCAAATCCTAGTACTACAAAAGTACAGATTCCTGGGCCCCACCCCAGACCTACTAACTCTGCAGGTTTTGGGCCCAAGAGTCTGTATTTCAGGAAGCATTCCTCAGAACCACGGATTTAGTCCGCTCTGTTTTACTGCAAGAACACTGTGGCCCAGGGGTGTTCCGTGGTGCCGCCTGTCTCACAGTGGCAGGGGCGGGCCCCACCTACCATTCCTCGAGCAGCAGAGAATGCAGTGCTAGGCTGCTCTTGTTGATCCTCTCCTAACCCCTTGGCAGCTCACTCTTGTTTTTTCCAGAAATGTTCCTTGAGGTGTTTGAGAGAATCCTGATTTACTGTGTCCTAGGGAAAGAACTGCTGCCCTAAACCCACAGGATCTGGGGAGAGTCCCTGTACATACATGATCTGTGACTCATTGCCAGCTTGTGAGCTGGTAAATAAAATGTCTTTTAATGACATTATTAATTATTTTTACTGTGGAATATCATAAATACACCAAAAATAAAGAATAAGAAACATCTAGCTACACATTGTTAAGAATTAGCAAATGCTTGCTTTTTGTTCTATTTGCTTCCCGTTGTTTATTAGAGGAGGTTTTTTTTGTGTGTGTTTTTGTTTTTTTTTTTTTTGGTGCTTGAGGACTGCCATTTATTAGAAAAAAATTTTTTACAGAGGCTAGGTTGTAGCTGGTAGTAGAGCACTTGCCCAGCATGGGCAAAGCCCTGGGTTCAGCCCCCGGCACCAGGGGAAAACCAGGTGCAGTTGAGACCTCCTCCCTGGTACTGCTTCTGGGCCCTGCTATTCTCTGCCCCTCCAAGGCTGCGTCTGCCTCGGCGACATGTGCCTGCCCCACTGTCTTTCTGCTTCCTACTATATATTAACATACCTGTAAACAGCATACTTGAGTATTTTTAAAAATTATTTTAAAGCATAATGTTGAGTAAATGACATCTGTGCTGTACATATATCATTCAATGGCTTCATCAGCATTACCTTTCAGAGCTATTCCTTTTAACCTTCAAGGTCAGGTTGATTTTTATAACTGCTATATTATGTAAATGTAGCACTGTTGGGCTGGTTTTGACTTAGGGGTCTGGTTTCCCCCACTATTATAAACACAGCTTCGATGAATGTCCTTGCACCCGGGTCAAGTATGGTCTCCAGGGTTACGTCTTGAGGTGGGCTTAGCTGAGCCACAGGACTTGCATATCTTCAGCTTAGCTAGATACCACCATACGGCTCCCCACTAGCAGTGTGTGGACTAGAGCCCCATCTCCCTACCTGAAATTCCTAACTGTCCTGATGTTGCCTTAGGCTCAGTGGTGCATCCTGTAATCCTAGTTACATGGGAGGCTGAAGCAAGAGGATTCAAAGTTTAAAGGCCAGGTGTGGTAGTCCATGCCTATAATCCCAGCAACTCGGAAGCCTGAGAGAGGAGGACGTTCAAGGCCATACTCAGAAACTTAGCAAAGCTCTAAGCAACTGAGTGAGACCCTGTCTCAAAATAAAAAGGGCTGGGAGTGTGGCTTGTGGTATATGCCCCTAGGTTTAATCTCTAGTAACGCCTCCTCTCCTTGGGGAAAAAAAGACTTTAGTAACTTATCATGCAAGTTCTGGATCTTGGCTTATGATGATTTTCTCAACTGTCTTTTCAGAAGGTGACGCTCTCTTGCGTAGCCTTCACTCTCGGCCTCAGAGACTCGCTGATCACATAAGGAGCCTCCATGAGGAAGATGCCTTACTGACAGAGGAGAGCAGTGTTCATGGTGACATTGTTTTTGTGGATGTTGTAGACACTTACCGAAATGTTCCTGCAAAATTATTGAACTTCTATCGATGGTAGGTTGGGTGGCTAGAACTTGTTTTATTGTTCTTTTGATGGAGGAAAAAAAATGTATCGACATCAAACCACTGAGATTTTAAAAAATAAAAATTTAAGGTCACTGCACACCTGGGAGGTGGCCTACTGTGTCCCTGTTCCTTAGGAAGACATCTTCTAAGATGCTGCTGCTGCTGCTTATTTTGATGAATGAATGTATTAACTGATCGAAAACAAGGCAGAAGCTAATCCATCTGGAGTCATTGCTCCTTGCCTTGGGAGTATCAGCTAGGAGTAGATAAAAATCAGTGAGTTTGGAAATGGTACCTTTGCAGTTGGATACAAACCTACCCAGATCCTCAAACTAGAGTTACTCCCACCCAGGTCGCTGAGTTCTGCTCAACTAAACACCCACTATATTTTTCCAGTCTCGTCTCTACCTGTTGAAAAGCTGCTCTTCGGGCTGGGGATGTGGCTCAAGCAGTAGCGTGCTCGCCTGTCGTGCGTACGGCCAGGGTTCGATCCTCAGCACCACATACAAAGATGTTGTGTCCGCTGAAAACTAAAAAATAAACATTAAAAAAAAAATCTCTCTCTCAAAAAAAGAAAAAAGAAAAGCTGCTCATCTTGGGCTGGCACATTGCCATGTGCCTGTTGCCCCAGCTGCCTGGGAGGCTGAAGCAGGAGGCTCCTTTGTACCCAGGAGTTTCTAAGTCACCACTTAGTTGCCATTACACACTTTTTGGGGTGTGGATAAATTAAGTCACCTTCATGTTCTTCCAAAGGGTCATATGTAATAGTAATTGCTGGAAATGGTTTACAAGGGGAAATAGATTTCAGTGTTATGACTCAGTTTTTAAAAAAATCATAAAATAGCTTGACTGGAATATAAAAAGTAGCATAGAATGCATCTTGTACAGTAATGTCCTGAGTATGATATTTGTCCCATTATGCTAGGCATTCGTTAAGAACACACTGGACAAGGTTCAAAGTTTAATAGTTACAGCTGCCTGACATGAATGCCTAAGACATTTGTTTGAAAATATATTCCTTCAGCCAGAGAGTTTTCATTGTGCTCTTTTTTCTTTACTTAAATGAGTTTGATGTTTCTGTGACTATCACCTAGTAAATATCAGTGAGGACTGTAATTGAGAGCAGTACCATTCTGAAGCCAGCATTCTGGGTGGTACATGAGTGAGACACTGGGCACGGTCACACAGGCAGTTTTGAGAGGGTGCTGGTGATGGGTCTTCCCTGGTGTTGCTGTGTTTCCTTGCACAGTTGCACCAACTCACACACCCTTTTCTGCCAACAGGACTGTGGAAACCACCAGCTTCAGTTTGTTGCTGAAGACAGATGATGACTGTTACATAGACTTAGAAGCTGTGTTTAAAAGAATTTCCCAAAAGAATCTGGATGGGCCTAATGTTTGGTGGGGAAAGTAAGTGAAACATGGTTGGCGTTGGTATTTGTGTACCTGAGCAAATGTGATTAGAGTGAAAATGTGCAAGCCATTTCCACAAGAAGAATGTGTCTGAGAAATGCAGTTCCTACTAGATGCCTGAGTTACTGTATTAGTACTCTGCAATTAGAGAGAAAAATCTTTTTAATGAAAAACCTCAGGCTGAGATAATGGTGGAGAGCAAAAGATGTGGTTGTGTCTTTGTGCTTTGATGTGATTCTGCAATCTGTATATGGGCTAAAAATGGGAGTTCATAACCCACTTGAAGCAAAGTGTGAAAGATGATATATCAAGAACTATGTAATGTTTTGAACAACCAACAATAAAAATAAATAAAATTAAATTAAAAAAAAAAAAAAGAAAATCCACTCTCTGAAATCTGAAATTAAAGTTATAAACATCCATTTTACAAAAAAAAAAAAAAAAAATACATTGTGTTCAGAAGCTTCTCTACCTTCTGTGTTAGAATGAACACATGACATGTCTCTGCAGCTGTTCTCTACTGCTTCAGGAGCACTGTAAAGAGTTAATGATTAGGGTTTTGTTTTTGAATATACACCAAATCATGACAGCTGGGCTCAGTGTTACATGCCTGTAATCCCAGCAACTCAGGAGGCTGAACCAAGAGAATCACAAGTTCAAGGCCAGCCTCAGCAACTTAGTGAAACCCTGTCTCAAAATTAAAAGGACTTAGCTTAGTGAGCAAACGCCCCTGGGTTTAATCCCCAGTACCTAAATAAATAAATGAAATGAAAACACAGTAGTACTGTTACCTTCCCATTCAGAAATTTAGAACTTAATATACCCGTCTTCCTTAAGTTTTTTTCTTATTATTATTCTCTGCTTTTCAAGCTCTTTCCTTTGTAGTGATAACAAAGGAGTCCACAGTCTGATAGTGGCAGGATACATGTCAGATCAATACAGAGAAGCCACGTTTTTTAAAAATCTCAGTTTCAGATTGAATTGGGCAGTGGACAGAACTGGAAAGTGGCAAGAACTGGAGTATCCCAGCCCAGCTTACCCTGCATTCGCGTGTGGGTCAGGGTATGTGATCTCCAGGGACATTGTCAACTGGCTGGCAAGCAACTCGGGGAGATTAAAGACCTATCAGGTAATTAGATTTCTAACCCAAGGCAACTCACAGTCCAAGTCTCAGCAGCCCAGGGTTGCATCCCTGCAGCAGCCAGCTTGCCGCGGGGAAGCATGTTGTTCTGTGGGAGTCACCCATCAAGGGTTATTGTTGCTCACATGTGGCTATCCAGTCTGCTCCTGAGTCGTTTGAGTCCACAAGTATAATCGGTGTGAATATCAAGATTGCTGTTCTTAAGGAGGAAAGCTTGGAAGAGCTTGCTCTCTGCTGAATCTGGGTATAGTGTCAATGTGCAGTTCCTCCTGGTTACTAGAGCCACAATTTGCTGCTGTTAGCCCCAGGAGTCTAAGGTTCATGAGGGAGGGGCTGTCTGCTTGCTCTGTTACCCTCTGTTACCATGCAGTGTGGTGCTTTCTGTCTGTGATAACTGCTTTTACATGTGAATCCATGTTTGGCCTTAACAGAATAATAGCAGAACAAAGAGTGGAAAGACTGTTTATTTGGGAGTGATTATGGCATTATTTTATAACATTTAAACTTTGGGACCTGTGTAGGGTGAAGATGTAAGCATGGGCATTTGGATGGCAGCCATAGGACCTAGAAGATACCAGGTAAGCAGGCCCAAGGGTGCTGGCCTTGTGGTCTTGGGAGTTGTGGCGTGAGGCCATATAGTGCACAGCTAGTCCTGGACCACAGCTGTATGCTGGATTTAATTCAGAACTATCCACCTCATTTCTTATCCAGTATTTTTCTGAGTCTACTAAAAAAGAAATGCTATGAATGAAAGTTCCCTGACCCACAAAGAAGAATTAGGTTTTCATAGAGTGGATCAGAAATTCTTTGCAGTTTTGAAACTTAGACTTTGCTGGCTTGTGTTCCTGGGAGTGTGGCAGTGTAAGGACCTCTGGAACCTCCTGACTGATGTCCATTTCTTCTGTTGTAACACAGCATTTTTAAAACAAACTGACTGCTGAGCCAGAAAAAAATGAATCTGCAAAGACCAAATCACTAAGTAGGAGCCCTGGGAAGAAAGCAAGCTTTTGTCGCATAGAGTGTTGTTACATTCTCGATTCTTGCAACTTCCACTTTGGGCACAGAAGGTGCAAGAGATGAAGGCACACATAGTGGCCGAGAGGAGTTGCAGGGACTGTCGCTCCCCCCCCCCCCCCAATTGCAGCGTGCCCTCTACTCAGTGAATGAGACCATGAGCCCGAGTCAGCCTGGCAGCTTTGGTGGTCCTGTTCTTTGTTCTGCTGTGTCCCATCTTTGATTCACTTTATGTTGAATATGATGTTTTACTTTCCATCTCTGAGAACCTGAAATGTGCAAGCCTGGCAGTTCTGATTTCCTGGTGTGCTTCTTCTACAGGCTCCTTTGTGGCTCTTGTTCTTAATGTGTTGATTTTGTGTGTGTGTGACCTCAAGTTTTTGGAACCCCAGCCTATCTTAAAATGTAGCCCAAAGAAAGGGTGTCCACTATGTTCTGCCTTGGGACTTTGTGGGCTGCACAAATTGGCCTCTCGGCCCCAGGTGCTCAGGAAGACCCTCCACTCCACTTGGCAGGACTGAGGTGGAGCATTGCCTTTGTTCCCATACACACCCTGAGAGGCTGTGGCCCTCCGGGGTGTTGGCTCTCTGGCCATTGCTGATTGGTCTCTTGTCCTGTGCACATGGCCTTTATTTTAAAGCCCAAGGATCCAGGTACCTTTGAGGCACATCTGACTTCAGCTGTTTCTTCTTCACTAACGGAGTCCATCCAAACTTTAAAGAGTTTTAATTATACCTTAGCATTTGCTTGTTCTCTGATTCAGTAGGTTTCTCTGTGTGCTTTCTGCTGTTTTGCTGGAAACAGAAGTCAGTCCATGGAGCTGAGGAACTTAGAACTTGGGCTGAGGATTCTTGATCCTCCTGCTCACCTGACCAGCACTATGACCTGGGGCAAGTTGTTTAGTGAAGTCTCTTGATTTCAGTTTCTCATCTGTAAAAGGGAAATGATCCCTACCTAATTTTATTTTTTTCAATTTAATGGCGGCGGGGGGGGGGGGGGGGGGGGGGGGTGAAACCAAGGGTGCTCTACCACTGAGCTACACCTCTAGCCTCTATTTTTTTTTTTTTTTTTTTTGAGACACCTAAGGTGCTCAGGCTGGTCTTGAACTTGCAATCCTCCTGCCTCAGTCTCCCTAATGCTTGTAATCCCAAGTGTGTGCCAGGCAACTGGCCTCACAGGGTTCTTGAGAATTAAATGAGGTAATGTTTGTAAAGACTTGGCATAGTTCCCAGAATACTGCAAGCATTTCATCCGAATTGTAGCTGCTATGAATGCTGCTATACAACCAGTTTCTCAAAGCAAATATGAAACTCACCATTTGTGGTTCCCAAACTTTTCCTTCTTCTCCACTTGCCAACCCTTTTTTAACAAACTAACAACATACTAATCGTGCATGTATGGGGTCCAATGCAACATCCAAGACGTGTACATAGGGTGCCATTTGCTGACTGTTAATCCACACACAGCTGCACAACTGTGAGGCCTGATCTTTCTTGGAGACAGAAGATATCCCTCCTTAAACCTCGAGTTGGTTCATACATGGATTTGTCCTTGAAATAATTTCATCTTCGTTAGCATACACAAATACGCCCTGGTGCATGCTTGCACAGTTCACAGCTTGCTCTCCCTCTCTGCAGGACAGCCTGTGGCTGTGTGAGAAGACCTGTGAGACAGGAATGCTGTCTTCCCCTCAGTACTCCCCTCACGAGCTGACAGAGCTGTGGGAACTAAAGGGAATGTGTGGTGACCCTTGTCAGTGTGCAACAAGGTGACAAGAGATTCATACGGGCTGCGTGAAGACAAGGGCAGGTGGATGATAATCTCCATGTAAGTCTGAGAAGAGCAGCCATGGTTGGCAGTAGAATAGATAGTCTTTCAGGAGAGCCCTGGGCTGGCACCTTCACCTGAACCAGTGTGGTACTAATTTGCTGATTTCCTTCTTTTAAAAAAAATCAATTAATAACTGTAGTTAAGTTTTTATTTATATATTGGAAAATGATTTAAAATTACCAAATTGTTTTATAAAAGGAAAAGTATTTCTAAATCATGATTAATAGTTCATCTGAGTTTGAATTTCTGCCTGGATTGCATAGGTCTGTATGGCTTGATTAGACAACACACGCCAAAAAACTCACAAATACTGTGTGCTTACTTACATGAGCAGTGATCACTTATACCAAAGTTTTGGGTTTCTGGAAATAATGTCAGATTTTGTGGCTCTTGAATGAAATGGGCAGTTTGACCTTGGAAAGGAACTGATATAATTCTCAGTCATGGACCTGGCTTAAATATGTTCATTTACTTAGACTAATATCCATGGTTTTTTGTTAATGCTTTTTTTTTTTTGGTCATTTAAGATAAATCCTGAAGATAAATGTAGTACTCCTGTTAAAACACATTTTTATGAATATACTTCTTAGGGTTTTTGTGTCATAGGGAGGATTTTGCTTTCATCATTGACCCCTGGTTAAGTTGGTCAGAGCTGGGAACCTGCGAATACTATGCTAAGTTTAGGTATAACTATGGAGAAAAGCCTGTGGATTGCCTTGTTAAGGACTCTCAAGATAGTATACCTGAGAAGAAAAAATAGCAGGCATATGATAGTAAAGGATGTGCCTCCCTGAATTTAAGGGATACTTCCCCACGTGACCAAATCATTTCGGTAACCTTTTAAAATAGTATCAGTAGAGAATTTCATTAAAACTAGTCTATGACAGACATTAACTATATTCAGATGTTATTAGACTAGCTAGTTTCTATTTAATAATCAATAGTGAGGAGCTATAAAAATACATATGAAGTAAGATCAGAAGATCATGAGTAGTCAAAGCCTTTATTACTGCTATTATATACAAGCCTACAAATGGTCTCTTCCTGGTGAAAAGTACATCCTTTGTTATACTTTGAGCAAGCTGTAAAACCTCATTTGACAGTAGAACTGTTCCAGCAAATCATTTCTTCCCAGCGAACCCCAGTCACGATGAACAGTCAAGTCACTAAATTTTTAAAGCTGATTGTTACCATCTCACTAGTAGACAATCTCCATTTTCCACAGAATAAAACTGTAATGACTGTAGGTCATTTCCTAGTTCAATTTCTCTGCCCGGCATCTAAAATTAGAACAAAGGTAGGGGGTAAGACAGACCTGACAAAAGATGACCTCCATGCCACAGGTTACTCAAAGTCTAATAAATATGTGCTCCCTGCTCAGAACTGGACCATGTTAGACAGTTTAATCATGTCTTACTGTGGAGAATTGAGCTTGACTGTCTATTGGGGGTGGCTTACCTTGGGACTTTCATAGGACAGCAGAAGTTCTGACACAGGAACTTTGAGAAGACGTGACAGGAATGCCTTCACCTTTTGAATGGTCATGGAGCCTATCAAAGAAAAGGAAGATGTCTCAAAGGACAGCTACCTGTAAAACCAGGTCACATAATGAGACCAAGCTGCAATGATAGCTGTCCCTGTCAGGTATCAATTCACTCAGGAAAATAAGTAGAGGTAGACTTGTGTCTTTCTACCACTTACTTGAGTCATTTGGGAAACTCGTGGAAGTGAAGTCAGTGTTTGACCCAGGTGCCCCTAACAGTTTTCGTGCCATTTCAGTAGGCATTATTCCTTAATCTGATAAACCAGAAATTAGATTCTCAGCTCAGAGGAAAAGACAGGTGAAATAATGGTTTTCTTTGTAAGTCTTTGTAATTACTTCTTCTGAGTTACTTACTGAAAGAAGCTTGGAGTGGGCTCAGGTGCCCTGAGGAGATAGCTCATCCTCCTCTGGGAAGGGAGGGTATAGACTGAGATGGACAAGGTCCAGCATAGCTATCCTTGATTATCAAAAATGTGTCCCATGTTACACACACAAGCAACCACCAGGCCTGGAATGTAATTTAACTGAGCAAATGCTTTGGTCTGTTCAGAACATGGTATGAACTTCTTTCCAAAGATGGGTTGTGGTAAATAGTAGAGATTTAATTATGAAAACCAGTTTCTTTGAAGCTTTAGCTGGAGGTACAGCAATAGTGTGGTGTTCCCACAAATATCACGACATAGTCAAATGAGTATTTTTCTATCAATCATTTTTGTAAAAGCTGTGTGTTTTTATGCAACTTGTGATAATAAATGTGATCTTTATTTTAGAATAAAAACTGGCCTTTTCTTATTTGTGTACTGGATACAGCTACTTGGTAGGTATTTAAAAACTTTATCATATTCACACTTAAGAGTAAATTGTAATTATTAATTAGACCTTTCAAAAGATTTGGGTGAATTGGCTTTCACTGTCGGAGGGTGGTGAGGAACTGATTCCTGCACACTATGGGGAAATAACACATTCCTAATCAATGCCAGCAACAAAGTTTCTAAGAGGTTTGCCTATCTGCACTGTGTAGGAAAGTGGCAACCTGTATGTAAATAACTATCATTTCTAATGTGATTGTCTTATTTAGAAAATATGAAAATAGTTACTTCTTTTTCTTTCTCTCTGACCAAGCCTGTTAAAGGCTTCTTGTGTTCTCATGGGGGTACCTGAGTTTTTGTATCTTTACTTGCCAATTCCTCTAGACCTGCATTACCTAATACAGTAAGCACACGTGGCTATGGAGCACCTGACAGAAATTAGTGAATTTAAACTTGCTTAGCCACATGTATCCAGTGGCAGGCACGGCGAGCAGCACAGAGCTAGGCCTGGTTAGCTTTCCTTGACTTCACATGATAGTATGTTTGTTTTGAGTTTATTCAAGTATGCCCTGCCCCGCCTGCCCCTGCCATCAAACTTTACGTTGTTTTTATCTTTACCATTTACAAGTGGTACAAGGTAGACCATTAGAAAGCCTATACAGAGCATGTATGTATTCCGTTTTTATAGCAATTACCACATAACTTAATAAAAAGGGTATACGAATTTTTCATACCAGCCAATATTACTTTGTTTTGTTAAATACCCTTTAAAAAGTAGCATGAATTTATCTACATTAGTCATTAGTTGTACCATGTGGCAAAAAAATTACAGTTAAGAACCCTGTAATCTGGTTTACTGCTGAGTTTATAGAATACAGGACTCAGATTCTGAAGTCTGAAGCAGTAATCATCACACATAATTTCTATGGTAATTCTAACCTCTGCTGGTTCATCCAAGGATTAAAAGAAACAGTGCATGGACATGGCAGGTGTTTCCAGAACAGGTGTACAGTGCAAAAGAACCGTGTTAGCACACATTCCCAGACTGCAGCCTTTGACTGAAGGCAGCATTCTTGAGTATCAGTATTCCTTAGTGATAACATTTCCATATTTGTGGGAAAGAAAAAGGAAAGACATCCAAAGCTAGTAAAACTGACAGAGTTCTGGCTCTTTTGTTATTTTGTACCCATGTAGCATTTACCTTTGGAAACTGAATATGAAAGGGAATCACTACTAATTTTAATTCATTTTAATAGTAGCAAAATTATACACTCTAGGACTAGAAATTGGATTGCTAGCAAATACTTAAAATGGAGAAACAGTGGTAGATTAACACTAAATGAACAGTTATCGATCATAAATGTACTTCTTAAATACCACCCATGCGTACCATAAGCAATGCCATGGTAAGCTTGCTAATGTGCAGTTACTGCCCTGGGGCAGACATGTGAATTTAGTTTACGGAAATCCTATAAACTGATCTGCATTTCATTCCTCCTTCAAGTTTTGACTGCTCCAGATTTAACCTCTTGGTATTTTAACATTTAGCTAATGTTTAGCTATGAATCAAGTTAATCTTGGGAATCTAGTTTACTATTATCATGGTATACTAAACAATTATTTGTCTTTTGAGTGAAAGTTTAATTTATTGATCTAATTTGTTGACATAAAAGTATTTTTCTAAAACTAATTCAGTTCTTGGGACTAAACCCAAGAATGCTATACCTCTAGCCCATTTTTATTTTCTGTATGTGTTACTTACTGAGGACTGAACCTAGGGGGTGCTTCACCAAGGAACTACATCCCTAGTCCTTTGAGACACAGTCTCAAAAATTGCCAAGGCTGGCCTTGAACTTGTGGTCCTCCACCTTCAGCCTCCCAAGTTACTGGAATTACAAGTGTGAACCACTGTGGCTGGCCATAATGTTTTTTATTAACATTTTTTAGTTGTAGTTTCACACAATACGTTTATTTTATTTATTTTTATGTGGTGCTGAGGATTGAACCCAGTGCCTTGCATGTGCTAAATGAGCGCTCTACTGCTGAGCTACAACCCCAGCTCCTGGCCATATGTTTTTTAAAAGTTCCAAAGTCATTTTTTTCCCCCAAAGGAAACCATTCCAGTGAATGTTTTCTGTGGAGTCCTGATCAGTGGGCAGAATAGGAGCAGAATAAAGTCACAAATGTGCCAGTGCCTCACTAGGACATGTCTCCTTTTCTCTTTGGACAAGAGCCTCCAGAATGATGATCAGAACTAAGCTCAATGGGCCTGAGGAATTTCTAAGAGGCTAAGCCAGTCAACCCCTTAGGCCATAAATATCACAAGCAAAGGCTCCCAATTAAAAACAAAAAAACTTTTCCAGATAAGCTGATAAAGTTATGGGAGACGCGAGCCAGGCTTGTGATTCCAGGGAGTTGGGAGGCTGAGGCAGAAAGATCCCAAGGTCCAGGCTAGCCTGTGCAACTTAAGAGTATAAGATAGAGTATACCTAAAAACAAAAAGGGATGTAGTGGTAGTATGTATCCCTGGGTAGAATCCCCAATACTTCAAAAGGTATGGGAGATCTGAATTTTGGGGGGCTAGAGGAGTGACATTAGCACAGCTGATTATATTTTAGAATACAAAAGACTAATGAAAACCTTTAAATCCTGAGGTCCATAATTCTAGATATGAATTGAATTAAAGGTTTCAATCACTGGTCTATATACAAGAGCCAACCCATCCCCACTCCAGTGATTCACAAGTGCAAAGAAGGCAAAGATGGTTTCATTCATCTTACCTGGCAGTTGCTTCTCTAAGACCTTCTGTTCAAGTTGGTTTGGATATTTTATCTTCAGTGCTTTAAGGAAAGAAGGAAGGACTACATTGATGTCTACTACAGTACTGATTTAAATTGTGCATGCAGGGTTGGGGTAGAGCTCATTGATAGAAGTGTGCTTAGACTGTGCGAGGCCCTAACTTCAATCCCAGTAATAAAACCTACAAGTTAATATCACTGCCAAATAATAGAGCTGTTTAGGACACTAACTTGTGTCAGTCCTGATAAAGAAATCTATCTAAATGATGTTAAATTTTTTTTTTTCCTGTTAACATTTCCATGAATTCCTGGTGACTACAAAACAGCTGGAGCACTGGCCATCCACTGCTTTGCCTTTTGCTTCAGCATTCCTTTCCTGACAACTGAGCTGGATTTTCAAGTGTAAAGAAAAATCAATGATTTCCAAATCCCTCCCACCTTTATAACACTATTAATGAGTTTAAAGCCCGGGAACTGTAGAAACATTGAAGGTTAGAATGTAGGGGGCTGGGTGTAGCTCAGCAGTGGAGGCTTGCCGAGCATGTGCAAGGCCTTGGGTTCCATCCCAGCAGGACACCACACCCCAAGGAATTTCGGTACAGAGAATTCCTTTAAAGCTCAAGGCATTTCACTCAGTTCTTCCTAAAAGAAATGCACATCCCTATCAGGCCTTTGCTATCCCTTCAGCCTAGAATATAAAGCTGTGTTGTGAATTTGGGATTCTTACTCAGTAGTTGGTTTTTCAGCATAAATGGTTGTTGTACTTTGAGTTCTCCGTCCTCAGGTGCACCATATTCTGTTTTAGAAGAAATCAAGAGGGACAAATGATGAGAGGTGCATGTCAATGGACCCCTTTCCTTCCCCAGGATAAGCCTAGCAACCACAGTGTGCTAACCTGAACAGTTTGCTTTTATTCAGCCGCTCTGATTTTTAGGAGATTGGATGCACACCTCCCAAGGCAGAAGCCTCCAGTGTACATCACATCACTGTTCCTCAGGACCCACAGGGTCCTGGCTCCAACTATGAGTTAACCTGCTTTCAAACACTTCAAGTGGACACACAGTTTCAACTTTGGAAAATGTTTCCTTTCTGTAAGGTCTGGGAAAAACCTGGTACTATTTGGGACACAAGTCACAGGACACCTTCAAGTGTTAACATGGTATAAGGACAGACTGGGTACCCAGTGCCCGCACTGCAGACCAGCTCTTCTGCCTGAAAATGCCGTACAGCAGACCCCTAGTTTGTGGGGGACGTTTCAGGACCTCAGTGAGTGCCTGGCACTGCAAATAATGCCAAGCCTTATATCTGGAATATACACATCTATGATAAAGTTAGGCACAGTAGACCAATAATAGCTAGCAATTATAACAATAAACTAATAAAATTATGTAAATATGCCCTTTCTTTCAAAATATTTTACTTTTACCTTTACACTTAAATGGAGCATTTTATAGCTTGTCTGTGGCTTATCCAAATTGTAAGCACCACTGCTTTTGTGCTTTGGGGGTCTTTTCAAGTAAAATAAGGATTACTTAAACACAAGCACTGTGACACTGCAACAAGTCTACAAGGACATAGTTGAGCGACTTTAAGGTGGGCAGCATATACAGTGTGGATGCTCTGGTCAAACGTATACCTGTCCTGGGGGGACAAGATAGGGAGTTCATCACGTTCCTCAGAATGGTATGCAATTTAGAACTAAGAATTTTTTATTTGTTATCTTTTTTTCTAATGAAAGTTGCAACTGCAAGCTGGGAACAGTGGCACATGCCTGTAATGTCAGTGACTCAGGAGGCTGAGCCAGGAGGATCAAGAGTTCAAAGCCAGCCTCAGAAACTTAGAAAGGTTCTAAGCAACTTAGCGAGAACCCATCTCTAATAAAATATAAAGGGGCTAGGGATGAAGCTCAGTGGTTAAGTGTCCTGGGTTTAATCCCTAGTACCCCCCCCCCAAAAAAAAAAATAATTTGCAACTGCAGATAGGGGTAACTACTGTACTTCTCTCCTGCTCTGGGCCAACAGATGAGGGAATTCCTCTACACACCCCAGAGATCTGCTTTTCTCGGCATTCTGAGCAATGAAATAGTCAACATAGCTGCCATCTGTTTTAGAACCTTTCCCTCCTCACCCAAGTGATTGAGAGTGGCCAGGAAATTGGGCCAGCTAATGGAGTAATTTGAAAGCACTCCCCATAGGCAGGTTTTCTTCCTCTCAGATAAGGTTCCAGCCTGAAGCATTTATTCAGTGAGCTTCATCTTGAATTTGAAAATATATAAAAAGGAAATTCACATAAAAGTGAAATGTGGAATAATAATGAAGTTTTAAAAAAATTAAAAGTACATCAGGGACAAAGACTCACAAATTCTTAAGCTTGAAAGCCTGAGAAGCCAGGCTGAAGAATTTAAGGGACCACACATCAAATGCCAAACTCGGAACATGAGCAAGCCTGGGGACAGAAGAGCTGAGGAGAAACCAGGTGGTGTGAACTTCTGCATAAGTTAGAATTACCCCAGGGTGATAAAAAATACAAGTCCTTGGGCTGGGGCTGTAGCTCAGTGGCATAGCACTCGCCTAACATGTGTGAGGCTCAGGGTTCGATCCTTAGTACCACATAAAAATGAAACAAAATAAAGCCATGCTGTCTATCTACAACCACAAAAAAAATTTTAGTGGGGGGGAAAAAAAATAACCCAAGTCCTATGAGATGAATTGGAATGCTCCCCACCCCCGCCTGGAGTGGAGAGTGGTAACCACTCATGAAATTGACCATCTAGAGGGCACAGGCAAAGATGAGATGACTTACATTAAGGACTGCTTTGCCTTCCTCAAATGCAACTCTCCCCCTTCAGGAACCTCAGAATCTCCCAGCTCCTCCTGCCAAGAGACACTGTGACACTGATTTACCTCTGTCTGCTCTCAACTTGCTGAAGTGGCCCCAGGAAAGTACCTATAACTCCAAGAGAAGGAGAAAAACAAAAACACACTGAACTGCCTGTGCTGCCCTGAGAAAGACCAGCAGGTCATGTGGACATACTGTGGCATAGGAGCTGGTATCTAGGATGGGCTGCAAGAAATTCTTCATTTGGTCTGTTTTTCTCTGGATCCTGATGTCCACCAGCCTTTTTCCACTCATTTCCAAAAGCTTTTCGGTAATCAAGCTCAGCTCCTCGCCGTTCCTCTGGAAGAATCTATGTTGATGTGAAATAAAAACAAGTCTATGAAAACAGTCACTTGTGTTTTGTACCTTGCCCTTCCTCCACTGCCCAAGCACAGCATAATCAAATTTAGAGGGATGACATTGACAGAACTCAAGAGTTTGTTCAAAAAGATTTCCAGTTTTATCTTTTTCTTCATGAGAACATTGCCCACAGGCTGGCTGATGCTGGATGCCTGGGGTTCCCTCTCTGGGGAATGGCACAGTGTGGCCAGGCCTGGCCTTCCCACTTCTATGGGGAGAAGCGGCTGACAAGGAGAAGAGACATGTTCTATGCTTTTGTCTTCGTTCTACCTAACTCTTCCAAAGAAACAGGAGGAAGTGCCCAGTACTCTTTGGAGTGTGCTCCTTTGCGTCTGCTCAAATGAAAATAAATCAGCAAGGGCAGTAGAGCGACAGATATTTCTGGCACTAAACTAAGTGTAGTCCTCTTTCCTGAGGAGTCAGAAAAGAACCATTATTACTAAAATGGACAAAAGCAACCTACCACCCTTTGAAGGAAAGTTACATTTCATACCCTTTTACAATATCCAAATATAATTTCTTTTTACAGTTTTTGGTAATTTACCTTCTAGTCTAAAAAATATCTAAAGCCAGGCTTGGCTGTGCATTATTGTCTCAGCTGAGGCTGAGGCAGCAGCACTTGAGCCCAGGACTTTGAGGCCAGCCTAGGCAGCATAGCAAGACACATCTCAAAAACAGAATCCTGTCATGATACCACTGCTCACCTCACATTTGTTCAGGGTCTTCAGCTGACCAATTTTGGCAATAATGAGCTGTCGAGTGGTCTGTGCTTCCTTGCTTCCTTCAGTCAGGGGGTTCCTTAGACAGGACAGAGCACGCAAGCTCTGTAATTTATTTAGCTCATTGATGAATGACCACTGAAACCCAACAAGAGGAAATAAAAGCAATGTTTCAGACTACTTTTTCAGATTTCGTGAACTAACAACAGAAAAGCAGAAGTCTCCGTTCTAACATGAGGCAGAGAAGCTTCACGCACAGAACACCCCATTAGGAAGACCACACTTTTCCATGACTGTGCCACCCGAAACCCTGGCAGCCTGCCCGGACATGCTACACCAAGCTCACTCTGAATATTTTTTACTTTGCATGAGGAGTTTCACTCTGAGGAGTTATTTCTCTTTTGATTTAAAAGGTTTTCAATAGAAGAAGGAACCTAGGAACTCCACAAGAGTGGGAATAGGCGATAATGCGCTGGGCGCACTGTGACGCAGCCCTTACTTGTGATATCCGATTGTCATTTACTACAAGGTACTGCAGGGACGGGAACATGGATGTTTTGCACCCTACAAAAAAGGAGAATTAAGTCACATGGTAGAAGTGAAAAGAAATGGCTAAATAACAGGGGAAAGGAGGCCAGGTGTAGTGGACCATGCCTATAATCCCATCTTATCAGGAGGCTAAGGCAGGAGAATCAAAAGTTCAAGGCCAGCCTTGGTAGCTATAGCAAGATGCTGTCTCAAATTATAATCTTAAAAAAGGGCTGGGGGTGTAGCTCAGTTGTAGAGTGCCTTTGGGTTAAACCCCCAGTAACATACAACAGATGGGGGGCAGGGAGGGCGGCTTTACTAATCTCATACCAATTCCAGCATCCGGAAAATGTATAGAAGAAATTCCAGTGTCAGAAAGGATTAGCTGTTCTAATCTGAAATTATAAATGTTAAAGTTGACTACACAGAACAATATAAATGCTATGGGCTATCAACCAGTCTAGGTTTATAAATTCTTTTCTCTACCCTGGGTTTTCATTCCATGTAAAATGCTCAGAAATCCAATTAAAGGCATGCAGAAGGACTCTTAATGCTGTAGCCTAGTGATTCTACAGGCCTCTGTCATTCTGTGTCCCTACTGCTGTCTCTCTTGCTAAAAGGGTCTAAGAAATAGTCTCAATTCCCTAAGTTTAACAAAGTGCAGCCTCAGTATTATATCACCAAGGTCAAATTATCCATTCTTCAAATTATCTAGTACATGATCCACATTGTATGTGGTTCACAAGTAAATTCTCCAAATGAATTAAAATGAAAACTTCCTACAGGAAATAGCTCAATTTAAGAATCTTATCACTATCATATTTCTATTGAGAAAGGTAATAGCATATGAAAATTCATTCTGTAAAAATTTACTAGGCCTACTGTAATAGCCATTTTAGGATCAAATTACCTGGGCAGATAGGCTATCAGGAACAGCTGGTTTTCATCAATTAATGGGTTAGAGGAAAGGTCTAACAGCTTGAGCGTCTGTAGAACATTACTGGGCCTGTATGGAAAACACCGTCTTTTCAGCATGTGTTGCTGCCATGAGCATGTGGCCTTAGAATACCTGCATTTGGTATTAGGGACCACTGGGATGGAAACAAGTGGGTATGACCATGAAAAGGGAACCTGGGAGACCCTCATGGTGTGATCCAAATAATCCTGGCCAAATCAATATCAGCATCCTGCTTGTGACACTGTGCCACATATCTGCAAGTTTTTATCAGAGAGGAAACTGGATTATGAGGACAGGTAAATTCTGTAAATTATTTCTTATAAATGCAGAAAAACAGCTGCATTTAGCTATATAATAAAACCATTCTGTACAATAAAATCTTACTAATTTGAATCCAAATTTGTCGAAAATTTTCCCACATGTGTTTATTTCACACAATTTAATGATGTAATAATGAGCAATTTAACCCATTATATCTAAACATCCCATTTATAAAACACCTAAAAAATAAATAACAAATTTGCCACTTACAGTAACTTTGAGATAAACATTTACATTTTTAGAATTGTACTCTTTTGAGGAAAATAATAGATGAATGATTAGTAAGAATATTTATTAAATTACTGACAAAATTATTAATAATAAGCTTTAGATTATGATTTCCAACCTATTTTAATGTACCTGTGTCAATTTCATTGAAAAAGACAAAAACTGATACCCTGAGTTCAATCCCTGGTACCAAAAAAAAAAAAAAAAGAAATAAAGAAATAGACACAGGGCTGGGGATGTGGCTCAAGCGGTAATGCGCTCGCCTGGCATGCGCGGGGCGCTGGGTTCGATCCTCACCACCACATAAGACGTTGTGTCCACTGAAAACTAAAAAATAAATATTAAAAAATTCTCTCTTAAAAAAAAAAAAAAGAAATAGATACAACTGAAAACTCGAGACTGAGTGTGTTGATAAGGAGAGGCAACAATACATATTTATTTAAAAGAACACACTTTTGGGGGCTGGGATTGTAGTTCAGCGGTAGAGCACTTGCCTAGCACATGTGAGGCATTGGGTTTGATCCTCAGCACCACATAAAAATAAATAAATAAATAAAGGTATATGTGGATCTACAATAAAAAAGAAATACATTAAAAATATTAATAATATATATATATTTTTAAAAAGGCTAGGCGTGGTAACCTGTAATCCCAGCTACTCAGGGGGCAGAGGCAAGAGGATCATGAGTTCAAAGCCAGCCTCAGCAATTTAGCAAGGTGCTGAGCAACTCAGTGAGACCCTGTCTCTAAATAAAATACAAAATTGGGCTGGGGATATGGCTCAGTAATCAACTGCCCTTAAGTTCAATCCCTGGTACAAAAAAACAAAAAAACATTCACTATTCAGCAGGGAACAACATCACATGATTGTAATCTCAGCAACTCAGGAGGCTTAAGCAGGAGAATAGCAAGTTTGGGCCAGCCTGCGAAATTTAGACACTGTCTCAAAATAAAAAATAGGAAGGTCTTGGGCTGGGGATGTGGCTTGAGCGGTAGCACGCTCGCCCGGCATGCATGCGGCCCGGGTTCGATCCTCAGCACCACATACCAACAAAGATGTTGTGTCTGCCGAGAATTGAAAAATAAATATTAAAAAAATTCTTTAAAAAAAAAAAAAAACCCACATTAAAAAAAAAAAAAAATAGGAAGGTCTTGGGATGTAGCTCAGTGGTAGTTGCATTTGGCTGTCTCCAGTATCACCAACATAAATAAATAAATCTATTATTTAAACCTTAGCAAAGAAATGGGAGAAAGTGCCCAGCATATCCCATAGAACTGCTATTGAGAAACAGCAAGCTGAACATATTTATGCAAAAGTATAAGTATTTAATTCAGGGTGTCACCCTCATGAGTTTCCCTCAATTCAACTGACTTTCTAATTGGTGAAGGCAATAAATAATCAGTATTTAATAAAAAAAAAAAATTTAAGGCAAAACAGATTTATTGAAGGTGAGGATAAGGTACAGCAGAGTAGGCTGAGTCCCAGAGGCTCAAGGCCAGTTTGTTTCAAATTCTTATCCGTAAATCCTCCTAACCATCTTGCTCAGGGTGACTAAATGACGCAGGCTGAGTTAGAGCCACCTAATACCTTTCGGAAATGAAGATGTTGTTGTAGTCCAGATACAGCTCCTCAAGGACTGGCCACCCGGGGGCACACTGCAGCACCTGGAAGGGAAATCTGTTCAGGGCTAAATGGCCTCTGCTGGTACTACTTCCTGTAGGCTCACTGCCACAGTTCCACAGCAATTCCATGCAGTTGCTGTTTTAGAAACACTGCCTCAAACACTTCTCACCAGCTGCATGTGGTCCGGGTGGGGTAGCAAATTAAAATGTTGATGGGCTGCATAACATGCTGGAGCATTTTGAACCCAGCTGGTGGGCGTCAGTAGCTGGCTTAGGAAAGGTGCTCAGAAAGTGGAGCTGGAGATGGTGACTAAGCACCATCTACCAGAGTCTGATTAGCCTAAGGCGCACAGTGGTGCTGAGCACCCTTCCTCAGTTCCAGATGTCAGTCTGGTGTGTAAAGGATGCACCACTCAGACAATGTGTCTCAACATTTCTAAGCATCCTTCCTGTCCCGAGGCTAAATCTATACCTGGTCCTATACCTGGTCGATATCTATCTTATCCCAAGAAGGAGTGTGGGAGTGGAGTGCAGGGTTGGGGCCAGGTCAAGGGTGATGGGACCCCACTGAGCCACCTCTATGGCACTCTATAGACAAAGGACACAGCTGAGCATTTCTGTGCTTGCTTTGATGGTAGAATATTTTGGGTGTGGAAGCAGAGAAACCATGACTGAAGACGGTACCAGATGCGAGTGCCAAATGCTGCTGTGCCAAGGACCCCAGAGTCCACTTCTGAGTCTGGCTGTCTATGAGGAGCAGTGGTGTGAGGAGCTGGACTTTCTACAAGGAAATCATGAGGTCTCTGCTCGTGAGACCTCTATCTCAAACCCCATATCAAAAAAGAAAAGAAAGTTGGGCTGGGGATGTAGCTCAAGTGGTAGCGCGCTCGCCTGGCATGCGTGCAGCCCGGGTTCAATCCTCAGCACCACATACAAAACAAAGATGTTGTGTCCGCCAAAAACTAAAGAATAAATATTAAAATTCTCTCTCTCTCTCTCTCTCTCTCTCAGAAAGAAAGCAAGCAAGCAAGCTCAGCACATATTTATTGTATATTACTATGGAGTCCCAGTGTTTATCAGGCCACCAGCCAGAGCGAATCCAAATGGGCTGAGGGAGAAGGACCAAGGAAGAACATGGATTCCTAAATATAAAATTCTGATTTTCTAACTCCTGTTATGCAGTATAAAGAATCCCATTACTTGGATAATTAAAGCCACATTTGTGCTTTAATTCCCTATAAAGCAAACATTTCCAACTGCTTATTACTATGTAATAAACCAAAGAAACATAATTACCTCAGCCCATGTAATTCCTGTTTGATTGAGAACTAATACCTTCAATGTAGAAAACGTTCCAGTTAGCACTGGTGAGCCAGAGGGAAACTGCAGCTTGTTTTCACTGTGTAGAAAGAGAAGATATGGTGTACTTTATTGCTTGTACAACTGAACCAATGAAGATAGCAATGATCTGGGATTTAACCTGAGAGGTTTGGTTTGTTTCAACCCCAAATTAAATGCTATTAAAAACAGTGAGTGAGCCACCGCTACCTAATCTTAATATTTACCACATACAACTTTTTAGTAGCTAATGTGCAAAAGTGTTTCCACAGGGTTAGGCATAGGTGTGAGGCTGCAGGTGCCTAGAAGCCTGAGGTGCAGGCATCTCTAAGGTGAGATTCCAGACTCACAGGATGAGTCTCTGGATGTTGCAAAGGGCAATCATGTTATCAAAAGTGTTACTGATCTCATGCTAGAACATGAACTAGAATTCTGCTTCTCTAAACATGGAGTCTGCCCCTGTGCTATTAGGATGGATAAGATAAACTGCTGCCCTTTCACATCTTTCTCTGAAGACAAAGTCTCATCTTGGAAAGTAGTCGGCCTCGACAGTCACTTTCAGATCTTAGTTCAGTCAAGAGTGGATTACACCTGTAATCCCAGTAAATTGGGAGGCTGAGGCAGGAGGATCACGAAAGTCAGCCTCAGCAACTGAGCAGGCCCTAAGGAACTCAGTGAGACCCTGAGCTGGGGCTCAGTGGTTAAGTGTCCCTGGGTTCAATCCCCAGCAGCTCCCCCTCCCCAAAAAGAGAATGAAAAGTGAAGAACAGGGTATGATGTCACATGCCCATAATCCCAGAGACTTGGGAAGTTTGTAATCCTATGATTGCAAGTTTGGGGCCAGCCTTGAAACTTAGAAACTGTCTCAAAACAAAAAGAGCTGAGAATGTAGCTCACTGGTTGAGCATGTCTCTATCATGTGCAAGGCCCTGGGGTTTGACCCCTAGCACTGCAAAATCAAACAAACAAAAAGGAATAAAAGAGGAGGCCTGGCTGAATCCTTGGAAAGTTAGGTTCTGAGATTAAAAATTATAAACTATTCAGAAAGGACTACAAAATTGTGACATTAATAGTTATAAAATAATGAAAACTTTTTAACAAAACTGAATTAAACAGTATCCCAATGAAATCACTATTCCTAATAACACTAAAAACATCCGTATGAAAAAGCACTTTTAATAATATCACCTATCTTCTCCTCCCCAGCTAAATATCACCTCCCTCAATGTTCCACATTTCATTGTCATACTTACAAGACATCTGAAGATCTTCCATTTTAATGTTAACCTATCTCACTCCCCCTCTTGATAAAGAGTCAAACACATTTCTTATTAATGAATCACCTTATTGGACCCTCTAAAAGACTATACTAATCAATGTGCCCTTAAAGAATAATTTAATTTTAGGGAATTTAAATAAGCCCAAATTTGTCCACAACCTAATAATATCTACTGGGTAGCAGCCTTACCATCTTATTCCCAGAAATACTAAGAGGGCGAAGGACACAGGAGTTTTATGGTTCTCAACAATAAGGTAACTAGGAGTTCATACCCGAGATCAAGAACCACCAGGTTTTTGAGTTGATCAGCAATACGAATCACTTCATCCCATGATGACAACAGGTTTTTTGACACATCTACTCTTGTAATATCTAAAAGCACATGTTAAGAAACAATAGTTTCAAAAGACTCATGGAAGACATAAAAATATTTACCTCTTTATTCTGGAGCACAGGCTCTTTAACTTTTCACCTTATACTCACTGTTCTACTTGAAATTTTTTTATGTGTGAACACAGCATAATGCTTTTCAACCTTTTAAATTATCCATTGTCAATTCAAAACTAAAAAGCTCATTGTCATATACTTGAAATAAACATCTACAATCTTATGAATAAGAACCAAGTATCATAATTAAACTATTATCCAACAAAAAAGAGGGGGAAACGACAGAGATGGTAACTGATTCATTAAGCACCAAGCTGAACCCGAGGCCTGGCCCTCAGAACTGCATTGTAGCTGTAGGCTTCACCATTCTCACAGTTCTCCTGCATCCTCCTATATCCGTGTTACTGTGACCCACAGGAATCTCCAAACACATGGCATCATCTGGAGGCTGGGGGGGGGGGGGGGGCAGGGGTTAGTTTGAACACAAGTTCAAAAGTATCAAGAATGATTTGGGAATTCAGAGGGTCTCTAGTACCCTGGAAATAGTGACACCCACTGTCAGTGGTACCGGGATTCAGAGAAGAGTAAGCTAGCAGGACAAGTAGCTCTGAGCAGCACCAGAGCTGACGGGCAAGCATGATTGCTAACCAGAGATGGTCACTATGCCCTAAGAGAGCCCTGGCTCCAAGAATTCCAGTGAGGGAAAGGACTACCAGCTGAAAGAGCTGGACCTTACCCTAGATTCTGACATGGGTAACCATTACTCGGTTCGCTCATCTACCTTACAAGTAATTACTGAGGGCCAGGAGGACAGCAGTGGGCAAAGAAACATCTGGGTGGGGGGAGAGTCAGGTGATAAGCATGTGTCTTCACGGTGTGTTCAAGACGAAACAGGACACATGGGAAGGCAAGGATGGCAGTTTATATACTGTGCAGGGAAGACCACCACCTCTTATAAGAGGGCATTTGAGCAGAGACCTGGAGCAACTGGGGAAACAATACCTTGAAGAAGCACAGCAAGAACAGAGGAATGACAAGAGCAAAGGTCTCTGGTTAGGATGGGTTCAGCCTATGACAGGGACAGCCAGTTTCAACATGCTAGGAGTAGAGAGGGCTGGGGTTCTGAAAAAGAGGTCTCAAAGGGGCTAAGGATGTGGCTCAGTGGTAAAATGCTTGCTTTACATGCATGAGGTCCTGGGTTCAATCCCCAGTGTCACAAAAAAAGAGGTTGCAAAAGTCTCTAGGTGCCAGACCAGTTCACAAAGGGCCCTCCCTAGGGGCTATGTTAAAGTCTTTGCCAGCCTCTGCCTAAAATGAGAATTGAGTTTGGAGTAGTGTGATGGGATCTGACCTGGGTCTTTAAAAAGTCACTCCTGCACACACCTGTAATCCCAGCAACATGGGGGCTGAGGCAGGAGGAGGACCGCAAGCTGGAGGTCAGCCTGACAACTTAGCAAGACCCTATCTCAAAATAAGGATTGGAGATGTAGCTCAGTGGCAAAGTGCCCCTGGGTTCAATCCTAATGCTGAAAAAAAAAAAAAAAAAGAGCTGAGAACACTAGGGACAGGATGCTCCCCTCACAACTAGGCACTACTGAGTAGCACACTGCTTTGGAGCACACAGGCCCAGGTCTCCCTGGTGTCAAACAGCGAAGGAGCAAGGAAAGGCCAGGCCTTCGGCTATGAGAGTTTCTGCCCCAAAGAAACAAGGACCACCCCGAAGTGAAAGCTTGTAGCCACACTGCATGGAATGCCAAACCAGTAAACATTCTAGTACCCGAGGGATCCCCCACCACCTGGCAACACAATGGCCCCTCAGCTCCGACAGATGTGAGCTGTCCCTGCTGCTGTTCCAAAGGCTCCTCTCAGGCTGCCCCAAGGTACTGACAGCCACTGCATCCTGGAGGACAGTGGTATCCACCTAGGACGGATGTGCAGGGTGCTTCTCATTGCCTCGCAGTCCTAAACTTGGTCCATCCCCGCTAACCAGGGAAACAGGCTGCTTAGAAAGAGATTAAGGCCATGGCTCCTGAAGTCCACCATGTAGGCTGGGGCGCTGGGCCGGTGCATATTTCTACTGGGCAGTACACAGCACGTGGAATGGCTCTTCTCCAATCCAGGCTGAACACTGCAAAGGTACTTCCTGCAGTGCTCCTTCTCTCTCTCCCTCTCCCTTCCCTTCCCCCCCCCCCACACACACGGTGTTCAAGGATCTCTGTTGCTAACAGTTCCTGCTCCTGCACACAGATTCTCTTCCCCAAGTTCAGAGCCAGCTGGTGAGGCAAGAGGTGGCTGATCTCTTCCCCTGGAAGAGCACTCGGAGCTGACATGCTCAGGTCTATAGCCTTTCCGCTGCCTGTCCAGTGAACGACCTCAAAGGCAGATCAACCCAGCCAGGCACAGTGGTACACGCCTGTAATCCCAGCAGTTCGGGAGGCTGAGACAGGAGAATCCAGAGTTCAAAGCCAGTCTCAGCAAAAGCAAGGTGCTGAGCAATTCAGTGAGACCCAATCTCTAAATAAAACACAAAATAGGGCTGTGGATGTGGCTCTGTGGTCAACTGCCTCTGAATGCAGTCCTCAGTACCAGGAAAAAAAAGAGAGATCAACCCAAAGGAGGATGGCTGCATTCCACACAACAGCAATACTTCAATGTCATCAGGAGCTCAAGAACTAGACAGTGATCACTTCTGCAAAGACCAATCACAGTGTGATTAACTCTTGGAACCTCTTTGAGTGTTGGGGGTCTCTTTCCCTGGGAAAGAGCAATGTAAAGAAGCAATATGCTGATTCTCCAGTATGCTGCTAACATCTCTCTTCAGCCAAACAGCCTATTGATCAGATGTTCTCTTGTACACTGAAAGAGTCTTGGACCACCCGGTTCCTGATGTTCTGAAATCATTTAGGAGTGGGGCAGGCAGAAGCCAGATGCTACAGATGTTCTGTAGCATTTTGCTCCTTACCAGTCGCTCCTCCACGTCCAACTTACACACAAAGTGACCATATTTGTGCAGCACACTGGAATCAGAGAGGGCTACTCATGACAGCAATGACCAGCCTAGATGTTACAGCATCCCCAGGTCCCAAGAGACCACCAGGGGAGTGTTTAGGGGAGGAGTTCCACTTAACTCCTGAAGTCACACCGTCAGGAGAGAGCTTGCTAAGGAGAACTCCTTTATGTGAGATCTTTATTGCAAACCAAAGTAATTAATCATAAATTGCTACATTTTACATAAATTATTATGTAGCATTCAGGCTGATTTAGAGAACTGGGAGAAAACTTGAAGGTCAATTTGACTTGCCATTTGACTTACCTTGTCCTAGTTATGGGCATAAAAGCAATACATGGTAAAAACACAATGAGAGAAGGCAGAGAAGAGGTAATGACTAATTGGACTGCAGTCAGCAGCCTGAAAGCAGAACAGCACTTCTTTGCCTCATGAAAGGACATCACTACAGGGCAGTTAAGCTGGGGCACTGGCCTCGAAGCATCCTCAAAGCCACTGGTTCCCTTTCTATGTCACTGCTCTCCAGGCACTCCAGTCTTTCCCCACACTTGCAAGACAGGTGCCAAAGCCCTGGGCATACCACCTGCACTCAGGTGTGAGGGAGGTACAGGCAATGGGTAAGTGTGTCCCCTTGCAAAGAGCCCCATCTAGAAACTTCTACCTTACATCTTACTGGCCAGAGTGAGTCACATTGCCACACCTGCAAGCAAGAGTCAAAGAAGCTAATTTATCTGGGTACCAATTGCCCCAAGAAAAACAGTTGCTGATGGGAAGGAAATTTGGGAGAATGGACATGGAGTATGCAACTAGCGATGTCTGGCACAATTATCAAATCCAAAGTCAGGTTCAGGAATAAGCAATCCATGAAAAGGATACTAGGACATGTTCTGGCAATTCCTCCTTTTTCACCAGCACAACTTACTGCACAGTTCCTTAGAGAAATCTCTTGCAAGTTGTTCAGATGACTGCATGAGAAACATATAAGAGTTCATATGTACACACAAGCACATAGGCTATCTAATAGCCCTTTAGAAAAAACACGCATTTCAGATATAAAAAGAAACCAACATCCACAACCTAAAATGAAGCAGCATTACAGAGAAGAGCGAAAAGAAAGTCTACCAACACCACTCAGGCTTCCTGGCCCTGGTCTCCCTCTCCATGCACCCCCATGCCTCCCCACCCCAGGAGAACCACACTCCACATCTGGAGGGCAACTATTCCCAAGCAGACCATATTTCCACTACACACTCAAAACGATTAAAGCATTTTTGCATATTATGAAACTTGATACGAATAACGTTCTCCTATATTAAAAGGTGCAATGAAGTAAACGCCAAAGCCATTTCTAATTACTACCGTCTTCTGACCATAACACTTACGTATTTAAATTTCTCTATAATTACCCTAAAAAATATTTTTGCTAGTTTTAAATACCCTTTCAATTTTCATTAACATGTAAACAGATTTTATGACAATCAAGACATATATGGGCTGGGGATGTGGCTCAAGCGGTAGCGCACTCGCCTGGCATGCGTGCAGCCTGGGTTCTATCCTCAGCACCACATACAAACAAAGATGTTGTATCCGCCGAAAACTAGAAAATAAATATTAAAAAAATTCTCTTTAAAAAAAAAAAAAGAGAGAGATATCATCTTTATCAAACATTTTTCTATAAATACTTTTGAACACTGCCACAGAATCATCACATTAATCACTACAATGATCAAGTGTGAGCCAGGCAGGGTAAGAGCACACCTGTAATTCCAGTGACTCAGCAGGCTGAGGCGGGAGGATCTGAAGTTTAAGGCCAACCTCAGCAACTTAGCAAGACTGTCGCAAACTGGGCGCAGTAATTACAGCACCTTGGGAGGCTGAGGCAGGAGGATCACAAGTTCAAAGCCAGCCTCAGCAAAAAGCAAGGCGCTAAGGAGACACCATCTCTAAATAAAATACAAAAAAGGGCTGGGTATGTAGTGCCCCTGAGTTCAGTCCCAGTAGCTCCCTCTCCTGCCACCCCCCAAAAGACTGTCTCAAAATAAGAAAAAAGGGCCTGGGTGGCTCAGTGATAGAGCAACCCTGGGTTCCATCCCCAATACTGCTAGAGATTTAAAAAAAAAAAAAAAAAAAAAAAAAAAAATATATATATATATATATATATATATACATACACACACACACACACACACACACACCAGGGTTGCCGTGTTGATGCCTGGTTCAGTCAGTCATCAGGGCATTACTGTCCCTTCCCTGAGTAGCCTGCCAGGTTCTGGTGCAATGGTACTGAGTCTGTGTAAACATCAGCTGCCACTCTCTAATTCCAAATCCATCACTACAAGCAGTACACCCCTCTGCACAGGGTTACCATGCACAGTTTCAGAGAAAAGAGAATGCGCTGGCACAGCAGCTGTAAAAGACATTACTTAGTGTCCTCCCAGACTGAGGCACTTCTCAGGAGCAAATTCCTTAAAGTATACACCCCCAAATTCTTATTCAGCGGGTTGGGATGAGACCCAGGATTATGCAGGTCCCAAAGCTCCTAAGGTTAAATGTGCAGAAGAGAAAACCAACCTTACAGGTGGTACCTGTTCTCTCTACCACACAGTGGCAAGTTGCTTTGTGTCCATACCTAACCTGTCATAAGCTGAACCATGAATTGGAAAAGGGCTGAAATATCAGCCTCAGTTATAGAATAGTCCACAGTGATGATATGGTGAAAATATTAATAATGGGCAAATTAGTGTTTCGATGCCAATCCAGAAAAATACAACCCTGTGCTAAATAAGGATGTTAATTTCCTGGAACACTGAATCCTCAGATTCCTCAGATTTCAGTGTGCTGTTTCCGCAGAAAGGATAGTCCAGTTTGAAAGAGTCAGGAGTGTCCACAGGCAGTTGGGCAATTTTGACCCGGAAGTTGGAAAAAAATGCCAAACTTAGCTCTACCACTATCAGCTCCACTTACCTCTGCTGTTTGATCACAGAGTCAAAACCAATGGTCTCCACAGGTTTCTTCCCAATTGTAATAATTTGCTCTTTCCCATGGTCGTCTGGTCCATCTTCTAATGCATAGCGGTTCTTAACTGCAGTAAGAAAGTCCACTCCAAAATTTACCTTATTTGGACGAATAAAGGATCCTCCCGTTGGGTGCCTGGAAAATGGAAGAAATGGAACATAAAAATTTCATCTCCCAATAAAGGCCATAAATGCAATGTTCTTAAGGTTTTCAAAACTGTCTACATGCTGAAAAATCAAAACCAGCACACAATAAAAACAATAAGGAAAAATGTATAATCAGTATGACACAAAGGATACACAAGCATATAAAATCCCTGTAGAGAAACCCACAAGAAAGATGGAATAGACAACTAACATGAGAGGGAACAAAATTAGACTCACAGGGCAAAGCTTGACTTTGCTAATGACAAGAAATACAAATTAAATGAAACTTTTCTGGCATAAAATGAAGAAAAATTATAAAACCTCAAAGACTACAAGTTGGGTAGGTCTATGATTATATGCTTGCATTCCTTGGAATTTGTTAGCGAGCAATAATTTAGAAACAAAACAAAATTGCATTTGCAAATATTTTGTGTAATATTATTTATTTATAATTGAGGAATGCTGGAAGCCATAAAAATGACCAACTAGATAGTGACTATTAAGTAAACCAGAAAGATGTAGTCATTAAAAAGTGTAATACTTGAGGGTTGGGGCTGTGGCTCAGTGGCAGAGCACTTGCCTAGCATGAGAGAGGCCCTGGGTTTAATCCTCAGCACCACATATACATAAATAAAGGTACTGTGTTCATCTACAACTAAAAAATAAAAGTGTAATACTTGAAAGTTGTAAAATATTGAGATTTTTAAAAAACTGAACAAATTGTACATGAAACAATGACAGGAATCACTTCTAAATACAAATAAAAATAAAGGAATTAAAATGTAGATGGTAGGATTATGTTCAAAATCCTTTACATGATCACTTATATATTTTTAAAATGCAGATAAATGGGAAGAATTCTACAAAACTACAGATTACCATACTTTTTATTCAGGTTTCATAGCAATTTTTAATAGTAATTCCTGGCAGAATTTCATCATCCCAGAACCAACACAACATCACTGCTACTATCCTAAAGCAAGCAGGCTAGCCCACATTTAAAGGGAGGGTGTGAGCTGCTGTGACCAGAAAGTGAACTGTGGCAAAGCATCTCTTCAGCTGGCTCCCAGGCCATATGCCTTTGGCAATGGGATTCTGCCAACTGTTCCCATCAACAAGTGGAGCCTCTCTCTCTCCTCCTCTTGCACTAGATTCAATCAGTAACTAACTTCTTAAGGGCTAAGCCTTAAGAAGGCTTGATGTTTCCTGCTTTGCCTACCTGGAGGCAAACAGCACAGACAGTAAAGCTGCTCAGTCAATGAGGAAAGTTCATGGGGGAGAGAGACTGAGCCTATTCACAGGAGACCCAGAGCCCCTCAGTCAGCAACAATACTAGACCCCAGTCGTGTCAGGCCACCCAAGGGACACACTGCAGCAAACACAACTACAGCAAAGAAAAGTATCTCCCAAGTGCTGTCCAGCTCCCAGCACAGAACAGCCATTGTGAGCCACCAGAACAGTGGTGGGTCATAGCTAATTGAAACAAGCTTGGAAGAAGAGGGGAGGTGTATTTTCAATAATCTCTAATCAAAATTCAGTATTCTGGGCTGGGGCTTTAGCTTAGTGGCAGAGCACTTGCCTCATATGTGTGAGGCACTGGGTTTGATCCTCAGTACCACCTAAAAATAAATAAATAAAAGCATTGTATCCATCTACAATTAAAAAATATTTTTTAAAATTCAGTTATTTCCTTTTAATCATAAATCCCAGGCAACAAATCAAGTAATGTCCACAACTTTATGGCATCAACAGAAAGAGATATTTTCACATCATGTTATACTTCTTGAAGATATATTTAAAAAAAAAGAAAAGCTTATTTCTATCACTACTTCAAAATTTAGTAGTTACTAGATATACTGGTAGATCTTATTACTTAATGTTATTGAATGAAGAAATATAGCTGGGTACGGTAATGCACACCTAGAATCCGAGTGATTTGGGAGGCTGAGGCAGGAAGAGTACAAGTTTGAGGCTATCCCCAGCAATTTAGCAAGACCCTGTTTCAAATAAAAAATAAAAAGGGGTAGAGCACTTACCTAGCATGTGTAAGGCACTGGGTTCAATCCTTAGCACCACATAAAAATAAGTAAGTAAAATAAAGGTATTGTCTCCATCTATAACTAAAAATTAAAAAATAAAAAGATCCGGGGGTATGGCAATGGTTAAATGCCCCTGGGTTAAATCCCCAGTACGCTCCCCCCACCCAAAAAAAAAAAAAAAAAAAAAAAAAGCAGGAGGAGGGAGAAAGAGAGAGAGAGAAATATACATTATTATACTCATTAAATATTGTTTTTTCCCTTTGGCAGTACTGGGGATTGAACTCAAGGCTTAAACAGGTAAGCACTCTATCACTAAGCTACATAGCGACATCCCTATCCTTTTTTATTTGGAACTAAATTCTAAGTTGCCCAGGCTGGCTTCCAGCTTGCAGTTCTCCTGCCTCAGCCTCCCAAGTAGCTGGATTCCAGGCACGCACCAACTTCTCTGGCTTTAAAACTACCTTGATCACTACATTTCAGTATAACAAATTTTCTTTGTAATGCGATATATTTTTTCATACTTTAAAAAATATTTTCTAACTGGTGCCAAAATCATTCATAGAACAACAACAACAAAAACCTAGAGTATATTCCATAAAGAAGTAGAAGCTGAGTTTGGCCTTGAAGGATGAAAGATAAATAAGAGTTTGGCTTTTTTTTTTTTTAGAAAAGCTTTCACACGACAGTGGCACAAATCTGTAATCCCTGAGGAGGTTGAGGCAGGAGGTTCACAAGTTTGTGGACATTATCAGCAACAAGGAGGCCCTGTCTCAAAATAAAAAATAAAAAGGAGGCTGGGGCTGGGGCTCAGTGGTAGAACACTTGCCTAACATGTGTGAGGTACTGGGTTTGACTCTTAGCACTGCATATAAATAAATGAATAAAATAAAGGTCCATCAACAACTAAATTTTTTTTAATTTAATTTAAAAATTTTTTTAAATAAAAAGGGCTAATGATATAGGTCAGTGGCTAAGCAACCTGGGTTCATTGCCCAGTAGCACACATACACACACCAAAAGAGCACTAGTTTTTTTTTCTTTTTTTGTCCTAATATAGGCATCAGGCAGAATTTGACATGTAAAAACCTATAAAAATAAAGTACTGGTATCAGAAACAATAAAGGTTACTTTTCAAAGATGTGATTTAAATGAATTTAAATAAACTACAAGAACTCACAGTAAAAATACTAGTACATTTATCTGGGTGGGGTGGCGCATGTAATCCCACCAATTTGGGAGGCTGAGGCAGGAGGATCTGCAAGCTTGAGGCCAGCCCAGGCAACATGGTGTGACCCCATCTCAAAAAAAAAAAAAAAAGAGGAACTGGAGATATAGCTCAATGTAAAGTGGACTTGGGTTCAATCCCAGGCACCAAAAAACAAAACAAAAAACACCCCAAAGCCTCACAAATCTAGTATATTTATAAGAATACAGATTACAAATCCCACAGTTTATGGAATTCCAGTGGCAGAGTTAGAGCGTGGTTCTTATACAGATGGCAGTTTATATTTTTGTCCTACATTTACACTTCTTAAAACAGTGGCAATGAAGAGTCAAAAAAAATCTTCAGGGCTGGGGCTGTTGCTCAGTGGCAGAGTGCTTGCCTAGTATGCGTGAGGCACTGGGTTCGATCCTTAGCACCACATAAAAATTAACAAAATAAAGGCATTCTGTCCATCTACAAGGAGAAGGAGAAGGAGAAGGAGAGCTCTTTATTACTGTTAAGTCTGTGGGCGGCCAGGTGAAAGAGTTAGGAACAGTATTAGGAGGCGCAAAGCAGATGCTAGGCCCTTTACAGACTAAAGGCCAATACTGAAGATTAATCTTTGATTTTTTTTCCCCCCAGTTTTGGGGAATGAACCCAGAGACACTCTACTACAGAGTTATATCCCCAGACCTTTTTATTTTGTATTTTCAGACAGGGTCTCTCTGAGTTGCCCAGGCTGGCCCTGAACTTGTGATCCTCTTGCCTCTTAGCCTCCACAGCAGCTGGATTACTACATGTTTACACCACTATATCAGACAAATAGCAATCTTTTATGGAACATACCCAGAAGGTTTCTTAAAAAAACAAAACAGCTCAGTAAACAATGAAAAATGCAAGCTGGGCACGAGTCTATCAACAAAAACAAATCTCCCCAAAAAAACAAACAAAAACTGTAATGATTTATACAGTCTCTACTGAAATTCTAGATTGACATTTACATGCTCATTGGAACACTGAAATTCTGAACTCTTGTCTAAAAAGAAAAGTCCTGGTAGAGATAGAAATAAAGGAGGAGGATCCAAACATGTTTATCTTGTAAGCACTTGGCTTGTTCAAGTTTCTTCCTCTTTTTACAACAACAGCTCCTAACTGTGGCCTTCATGGAAATGGCAGGTGCTCAAGAAATTCAAAGAGTCTCAATCTGCCTTATTTCCCCAGTAGGGCTCCCATATCAAATTCAGGAAGTCCAGTTAAATTTGAATTTCAGTCAGACAGCAAATTGTTTTAGTATACATCTGAAATCCAAGTTTCACTGTGCATCTGGGAGTTTCATTTGCTGAATCTGACAGCAACTCAAAGGTGAAAGTCCCCAACAGATTTCTAAACTCCCAGAATAAGTTCTTTCTTGTTGGGCTTTGGGTGCAGGATGCTGGAAAACGACTGGATCTCTGGTGAGTGTCTAATCAATGCTGTTGGTCTTTCTGAAAATGTCATTTGTCCCAGGCATGTTCAGCCTTTCTAGCAAATGTGTGTTAACTGACATCCATGGGGAAAGAACTCTTGGCTTTCCTGCACTCCCCGCGCTGCACTATGTACTCCCCTTAGTACTACATCCCAAGGAGCTGACCTGGCGAGTGAGGGAAGCAGCATGGCCCATAAGCATCTAACTGTAGGCTGCGTTGAATAACAATCATGACTCTGTCCATACTAGAGAGCAGCTTTCAAAAACAAAGCAGATCTACTTTTGCCTTTTGGTCAGGTGAACCCTGCCTGCAAACTAATGCCACTGTTAATGGCTCTTAACACTCTTCTAACATCATACCAGAATACTTCACGCTGGTCCATTAGTGCTCATCCAAGAGCCTCAAAACACGTCACCACAACCTGTGACTCATACAAGATGAAGAAATCAAGGGCTTTGCCTCGTGAGGTACCCAGTATGTGGACATGGTCTGAAACAGTATGTTCTCTCTGATGCTAGGGACTAAAGTTAGATTCTCCTTTTGAGTGCTCAGAAATCACATTTTAGAATTTAATTCTCACCAGAAAAGAGAAATCACACTACTGCTTGGAAATAGAACCTTTGAAGTAAAAGCCGAGTGGGTGAAATACTGACCTACACACACAGTTCTGCTTAGAGCAGTCTACAGCTTAGATTGAAAGGAGAAAACTGGAAAAAACTCTGCCGTCTAGCAACAAGGCCAACTATCAGGTGCGAACCTCTCATGTCCCCAAAAGACAGAGGTGGAGAGCAGGAGCACCTGGGAGATGTTGATACTGGTTCACAGCCATGAATTTGGGGTAAATCTGTAAGAGGCAGAAGATGCAAACTAACTTCCGTAAAATCCATTAGGCCCATGGCTGCACTGCTACATGCCATCAGTCACTTGATATTCAGACACTGAAGAGATGAGACCTTAGCTATGACAGTTCTCACTTACCTTTTGCTCATTTAAAACAGTGACACCACAATTTTGCCACCTGAACTGGCTAAAATAGCAACTAAACATTAAAAATGAAGTTTACAGTAGCAAAACACTTTTTTAATACTCATTGTTATTATGACAGTTCAAGTAAAATTTGAAATATAAAAGACTCCAAAGAAAATTTTTCATTTTTTGGAATTATAGATTGAACCAAGGGGCACTTTACTACCAAGCTCCATCTGCAATCATTTTATTTATTTTGAGACAGAGCCTCGCTAAATTGCTGAGGTTGGTCTCAAACTTGTGGATCCTCCAGCAAAGTATAGGACATATTAAGATATCTGCACTAGCTTAATGACAACTATGAGGGGTGAACTCTGTTTTGCCGATTGGAAGATTCCAAGATCCTGACAAAGTTTTCACTAGTTGAAGTCAGGTTATAATTAAAAGAAACATTAAGCAGAAGGATGAAAAGTAACATTAAGCAGAAGGATGAACAACGTAAGGACAAGTTATATTCTTGTACTCTAGACCAGTGGTTTTCAACATTTACCCCTATGGTCCCTTTTATACTGCCTCAAAACCTTTTTTTTTTTTTTTTAAATATTGTTTAGTTATCAATGGACCTTTTTATTTTATTTATTTATATGCGGTGCTGAAAATCAAATCCAGTGCCTCACATATGCTAGGTAAGCACTCTACCACTGAGCCACAACCCCAGCCCTGTACTGCCTCAAATCTTGACACGAAATTCATAGATAACTTTACCTATATAGGACATTTTTCAGCCAATAAAATGCCCATTTCAATGAAATGAAAGAAAAATAACTAGTAAGGTAAGATGCATATCAGTATGAGAAGGTGAGCAGACATGGGTGAGGTAAGAACATGGCTGTGGCAGGGGTAAGTACTAATACTGAGTCCAGACCCCTGTCTCAAGGCTCCCTCAGTGCTTCAGCATCAATCCTACATGCACCAGGGCCTCAAACAACTCTGATTTTTCTGCTCAGTGACCAAGACTTTGACACTATGGCTGTATCCAGACACCACCAGGGACCATGTGGCCAACGATCATTCGGACAAGCTTTTAGAAAAGGGAACTGGGCTGGGGCAGACTCAAAATGCACAGTCCCTCACAGGGTCTGGGAGGCCTTGGTCCTGGCTGAGATATCTCTATTTCCACACCTGGCTAAACACACACACTGTTATCTTAATCCTCTGCTGACTGTAGCCTTGGAAAAACACCTGGCTTACCGAACCTGACTTTCTAAGTTAGGAAATGGTGAACCAGAAAGCATTTGCTATCTGATTCTGGTCTTCATCTCAGATGAAGTCTGGCCTCGCTCCGGGTCAGGAAGATGAAAAAGCAGTCAAGAGGCTTCCAATTCCTAGGCCAGCGTTTTGCTCACTGTACATGCTTCAGGAAAATGGGTTGATAGTAAGAGATCCTTGTAGGACACTGAGAGTCAGGAAAACAAATGACAGAAGTGTAGAAGATGGCCCTGTCTGAAAGCCACCATGCTCAGAGCTTCAAGGAATTTCTCCAACATCAGGCAGTTAAGCATGTTAGTAGACACATGAAATCATACGTGACTCACTTTAGATAGAAACTTTAAATGCTGCCTCATCATTCCACTACTTGGATACTCTGGATTTTATAAAATCAATTTCTTATTACTGAATATTCAGGCTAATGCTCACCTCCATTATTCACTTAATGAGTGTAAATTACTGCATCATTGAGATTTACAGTCACCCAATTAAAAAGAAAAAGTCAAAAAAGCACAAAAGGCTGAGCATGGTGGCACACGCCTATAACCCCAATGACTTGAGAGGCTGGGGCAGGAGGATCACAAGTTTGAAGCCAGCCTCAGCAACTTAGCAAAGCCCTAAGCAACTTAGCAAGACTCTTCTCAAAATAAAAAATAAAAAGGGCCAGGACATGGCTCAGTGGTTAAGTGCCCCTGGGTTCAATCCCTAGTTACCCGTAGCCACCCCAAAAAAGAAAGGAAAAAAAAGGCTTCGGATCTGATTCTGTGTATATAGCTCAGTGGTAGACTAGTTGCCAAGTAAATACAATTTGTAATGTGTGAGGCCCCTGGGTTCAATCCCATTACCACACACACACAAACACACATAGGCAAAAAAAAAAAAAAAAAAAAGTCTGGGTATGGTAGTATACACCTATAATCCCAGGAAGCTGAGGCAGGAGGATGGCAAGTTTGAGGCCAGGCTACACAACTTACCAAGACCCTTTCTTGAAAAAATAAAAAGAGTTGGAGATGTAGCTCAGTGGCAGCGCACCCCTGAGTTTAATCCCCAGTACCACAAAACAGAAAGAAAAAAAAGGAAAGGAAAAAGACAAAGCAATCCCACAGGGAAAGTTAAGAGTCAGAATTTAAGCTGGGTACAGTGGCACACACCTGTAATTTCAGTGACTCAGGAGACTGAGGGAAGAGGATCACAAGTTTGAGACCAACCAGCCTCAGCAATTTAGAGAGACCTTGTCTCAAAATACATTCATACATAAATAAAAAGGGTTGAGAATGTAGCTCATGGATAGGGTACCCCTAGGTTCAATCCCTAGTACAAAAATAAAATGTCGATTTAAAAGAGGGAAAAACTCTACAAACAGCATGATTAAGTCACAAATCAAAGAGGTGTCTTTTCAGAATATTTCCCAAATTGTACCTATAACCACTCCATGAACCAAACTATGCTGTTGCTTCTCCATCCTTCCCATTCAATGCTTCAACAGGATCCTGACCAAATGACCAAGCCAACTGAGAAGGAAAGTTACCTGCATTTAAAGTACACAGTCCCTTCATGGCTCCCATCATGCTTTCCTCTCTCCGGATTGTCCCACTCCACTCCTAACCAGAGTCCTAGCAGAACAAGAAAAAAACAAATGAGTAACAAAGGATGACAGAGGGATGCTCCACTTTCCTGCAAGTAAATAAAATTTGTAATGGAAATCACATCCCACAGACAACACTGGGGGAGGAAGAATGGGAATAGACAACTTAACCTTCTGCTCAGAACTTCAATCAAAACAGCTAAGTGCAGTGACACATGCCTGTAATCCTAGCAGCCTGGGAGGCTGAGGTAGGAGATCACAAGTTCAAAGCCAGCTTCAGCAATTTGGCAAGACTCTGTCTCAAAATACAAAATAAAAAGGACTGGGGATGTGGCTCAGTGGTTAAGCGCCCCTGGATTCAATTCCAGGTACCCAAAAGGAAAATCCTCATGTTTAGAAATTAAGCAATATTCTTCTAAATCATCTTGTGTTCCCCCCACCCCCAAAAAATCACAACATAAACTAGAAACTATTTTGAACAGAATGACATAAGATTACACGTGAAAATTTGTGGAATGCAGCCTAAAGTCGTGTCTAGATTCATAAGTTAGATGACAACTGAAAATAAATCATCTGTCTCAAAATGTTCAGGGCTAAGGTAAAACTAGAAAATCAAACCTACAGCAAGCAGGAGGAGACAGACGACAATGGAGAGAAATCAAGACAGAAAACAAACAAGACGGTCTCTTCCCTACAGCACCTCAGTCGTCTAGCAGGACAGACTTGTAGACCAGCGGCCAACATGAAGGGAAGTACGGGTGCTATGGGAGCACAGGTAAGGGTGCTTATTGGTACTGCTGTGGGGGGAAATGCAGACCAAGGCAGGGAGATCCCAGGACCTGTTGTGGGAATCAGAAATCATCCAGCACAGCTGGGGTCAGTGTTGCCCAGAGTCTGGGGCAGGAGCATGGTCAGGAAAACAAGATTAAAGGTGAGGAAAGAGGCTGAACAACTGGCTGAGGTGAGGCCTGACTAAAACTCTGGTAAAGCACTCCAAAGAGCTCGTGCCTCATCTCTCTCCTCCCAAGAACCCTGTTAATAAGCAGGGCAGAAATGATCTATTTTAAAGAATGGAAGCTCAGAGAAAACATATGACTTGCCAAATAATGACCAGACCATGGCCTAGCATGCTCAAAATACACAATCTTTTTTTTTTTTTTTTTTTTGAGAGAGAGAGAGAGAATATGAGAGTTTTTTGTTTGTTTGTTTGTTTTTTTTTTTAGTTTTCAGTGAGCATAACATCTTTATTTTATTTTTATGTGGTGCTGAGGATTGAACCCAGAGACCTGCGCATGCCAGGCAAGTACGCTACCACTTGAGCCACATCCCCAGCTCCAGATCTTTTGCTTTCTAATCCCCCCCCCCCTTTTTTTGTACCAGGGATTGAACCTAGGTGTGCTTAACCAGAGACATATCCCTAGCCCTTTTTATTTATTTATTTTTAAATTTTGAGACAGTTTCACTGAGTTGCTTAGGGCCTTGCTAAATTGCTGAGCTGGCTTTGAACTTGTGATCCTCTTGCCTCAGCCTCCCAAGCCACTGGGATTACAGGTGTGCACCACCATGCCTGGCTCTAATCCATTTTTTGTCAAATAATAAGCCGTTATGTGAGAAGTAATTATAACTATTGATGTCTTCAAGAAAATTCTCAGAATAGGTTGAGTTGATGGTTGTTAACAAGAAAGCACTTCATAAGACCATTCTTTCACCTGATGAAGAATAAGTCACTTCTCAGCTGAAGCAGGTAGAAGGGGCAAGGCCAGCCTTCACTGTGATTCCCTTAACTATCTGTTATGGTTTAGATATGAGGTATCCCCAAAAGCTCAAGTGTGAGACCATGCAAGAAACTTTAGAGGCGAATGACTCTCATGAGAACCTTAACCTAATCAGTGCATTAGCTCACTGACATGGTTAACTGGGTGGTGATAACTGGGCAGGTATGGATGGAGGAGGCAGGTCACTAGGAGTACACTTTGTAGTTATACATTTTGTCCCTGGTGAGAGAGAAGCTTTTTCTTGTTCTGCTTTCTGATTGTCAATGTCCTGAGCTGCCTTCCTCTTCCACCACGATGTTCTGCCTCACCTTGGTTCCAGAGCAATGCAGCCAGCCGGTATGGACTGAGACCTCTGAAAAAGATGAGGATGGGCAATGCCAACCTTAGCCTTGTTGTTTCTTCTGCTCCTTGGCTTCCTGGACTGACCAATTCCTGAGACAACTAACATTTTTTTTAAAGACATGTAACTACATTTAAGTGATATGGGGATAGCTCATATCTAAGTAAATCTGAGCAATTCAGACCATACACCCCCATTAAGTAGCATTGCTTATCTGATTAATTCTCTTTTAATTTCTATATTACACTCAAAAAGGCACCCCCCTAAGGGCTTTGGAATATGGACAACAGCTTATCACCAAAATAAATTTTCTATACTACAATATCTGGTATCATGTTATTTCAATGTTAGTGTAAAACAATCTCAGGCTCTTGGAAATTACAAAGCAGTTTGGTTTCAACATCACCCTACACCGTCTTGAGTTCATATCTTCCAATGCCTCTGAAGATAGCCTTTTGTTTTTATAACCTATAACTTGAGAATGTTTTCAAAGGAGCTGCAAAAACACAATTAAAAAAACACAAACACTTCAAGGAGAAAGAAAAACATAATACTGAAAGATCAAAAATCATCAACAAAAAAGGAGGGGTGGAAAATCATTAGAATAGAATAACTGAGAAAGAGTGATGAAGATGTGGCTCTGAGCTTCCTTATAGCAAGATGCAATTCTCTTGACCACTGTTAGAATCCTTTCAGTTCATTAGAAAAGATGTCCTTCCTTTTCCCTGAGCCAACAGCTCAGCTCCTGTCACAGGAGTCCCTCTGTAAGGAGCAAGCTACTCTCAGAAACAGCAGCATCATCGGTTCACAGATGTTTCACAGCAGCTGTGTCTCACATAGGCCTCAATAGGGCTCAGGGTAAAAAGCTCAGTTCTGCAAAGGCAGCTAGAGAGAGGGCCCAGAGGTTCTATGCGGCTTTCTGGTGATTTCACTTTTTACCAGAATATTAGCACTTCCTAAAGGAGAAAAACAACCCCTCTCAAAGCATGGGCACTAGAATCCACTAAGGAGCATGTTAAAAATGAGGAGTCCTTAAAAAAAAAAAAAAAAAAAAAGAGGAGTCCTAGGGCTGGGGTTGTGGCTCAGTGGTAGAGTGTTTGCCTAGCATGTATAAGGCACTGGGCTCCATTCTCAGCACTGCATGCATAAATGAATGAATGAATGAATGAATGAATGAATGAATGAATGAATAAAAGTACTGTGTCCATCTACAACTAAAAATATATTTTTTTAAAAAAATGCAAAGCTATTTTAATAACCTAAACTGCATGATTAAAAAAATTAAGTATAAAATGTACATATTATTTTATAAGAAGATGTACTTATTTATAAGAAAATGTACAGTGAGAATTTAGGGATAAAATTCTACTATGTATATAATTTAAAATGTTAAGCAATGCAGGGTGTGGTGGTACATGCCTATAATCCCAGTGACTAGGAAGGCTGAGGCAGGAGGATTGCAACTTCAAAGCCAGACTCAGCTACTTAGCAAGGCTCTAAGCAACTCAGTGAGACTGTCTCTAAAGAAAACATTAAAAAAAGAGTTAGGCTGGCTGGGGATATAGCTCAGTTGGTAGAGTGCTTGCCTAGCAAGCATAATGCTCTGGGGATTCAATCACCAGCACCAGCACCCCAAAAAAACCCCAAAACAAAAAAAAAAAAACAGGAGGGCAGGGTTAGGGGTTAGGGGTTAGGGATGTGGCTCAGTGGTTAAGCACCCCTGGGTTCAATCCCTAGTGCCAAAAAAAAAAAAAAAAAAAAGAAAGAAAGAAGAAAAACCACATTAAGCAAAAATAGCAATAAAACAAATATGGCAAAATGCTGACGATTGTTAAACAGACATGACAAGTAAACACAGGTGTTCATTACACTATTCTCCTTTTCTCTCATTTGAAAACTTATTATAATACATATAAACCCTCCTTAAATCTATTCTATTTCTAAGAATGAATCCTCCAGATACATCTCTATTCACTAAAAATGCCTGGAAACAATATCATCCTGGTAGCGATGAGTACCTCTGGACCCCAAACTATGGCCTCTACATGCTATTTGCCATTTAAAAAAACAGACCAGAAGAATGAACCTTACATTCTTGACAGCTTCCTTATCATACGAGGGCAGCTCTCGAAGCTGTAGAGGGTGCACACATCCCTGGCTTCTGACCTTCTTCCACATTCAAGGTGAGATGTGGCTAGTGAACCATCCCACATCACTTCACTGACAATGCCAATGCCTCTTCTGCCTTTTCTTCCGATTCTAATGCTTCCTATGATTACACTAGGCCCACCTGGATGAACCAGGATAATTTTCCAATCTTAAAATCAGCCAATTAGCAAACTTAATTAATTCCACCTGCAGCCCTAACCCTCTTTGACATGTAACTTAGCATAACCACAGGTTTTGGGGACATCTTTGGAGTACTATTATCTGCCTCCCATAGCAGCCCATCTTTACCTCCATCTTAACAGTTTTCATGCATAACACTCTGCAATCTATAGTAATGCTTACCACGGGATATTATATCCAATCATAAGAATCCATTTGTAAAACATTAGAATTTGTTCTTAAGTAATTTTTTTAAATGCTTACTTATAACAATGGCTACCAATATGATCAATGACTGGTCTAATGACTGGCTTTAAATGATTGGCTTTAAACACATCAATGCATTTAGCTGCCATGATGGCCATACAACCACATCTGGTGAAATACCCCTGAGAGTAATGACTAAATGTATGTTCACTGTCTACATCTTTGTACAATTCCACCAGATGACCTCTAACATCAGAGCTCTCAAAGGGGAATACCGAGCCCTTTGTTGAGACCAGTGACTAGGAAGGCTCAGGCAGGAGGATTGCAACAGCCCACCCAATCCTTTTGCCCAATCCTTCCATAAGTACTGGTTCCAGAGTACTTCCTAATGAGCTTTCTGAACATTGAGCTTTCTGGATGCAAATCTCTACCCCATTCTGCTTTCCAAAGAACTTGGGTATTAAAAATTTCCAAGTACTGCACATTGATTCAACCTGCAGATGGCAATCTGCCTATATAATATGTACCTAGAGAATATGTATGTTCTTGGAAAGCAACAGAGTAGAAATGGCATGGGCTCTGAAGCAGACTCATATTTGAGTTCTGCTATATGGAAGTTTTGAGATCTGAGACTTGGTGTCTTCATCTGTAAACACGGGACTATAACATCCATATCTTAAGTTTGTTACTATAATATTCAAAATAAAGAGCATACATGACAGAACCTGGCACACAGTCATTATTATTTAAATGTTACTTTCTCTTCCCATTTATCAATCATCCTAGTCAAATGGGGGCAGAAGGAGGACCCCTTCTCCGTCTTACATGCTTGTTTAAAGCCTTCCATGGCAATTTCCAAGAAGGCAGAGTCACAGTGATCTACGCAGGGGTTCAAACTAAAACTTAATGCACAGCCAGTATGGTAGTGCATGCCTGTAATCCCAGCAGCTCCAGAGGCAGGAGAATTGTGAGTTCAGAGCCAGCCTCAGCAAAAAACGAGGCACTGGGGCTGGGGATGTGGCTCAAGCGGTAGCGCGCTCGCCTGGCATGCGTGCGGCCCGGGTTCGATCCTCAGCACCACATACAAACAAAGATGTTGTGTCCGCCGAAAACTAAAAAATAAATATTAAAATTCTCTCTCTCTCTCTCTCTCTCTCTCAAAAAAAAAAAGCGAGGCACTAAGCAACTTAGTGAGACCCTGTCTCTAAATAGAACACAAAAGAGGGCTGGGGATGTGGCTCAGTCATTGAGGGCCCCTGAGTTCAATCTCTAGTACATCCCCACATCCCCCACCCCACCCCCCCAAAAAAGGAAGAAGAAAAAAAAAAAACTTAATGCACATAAAAATCTTCTGGAAGGCTGTATTTTTATTTTTTGTGATGCTGAGAGTAAAATAATCCAGGGCCTTGTGCATGCTAGGCAAGCACTCTACCTCTAAGCTATAATTCCAGCCCTAGAGAACAACTTTATTTTTTTTTCATAATACCTTTATTTTATTTATTTATTTTTATGTGGTGCTGAGGATCAAACCCAGTGCCTTGCATGTGCCAGGCACTCTACTGCTGAGCCACAGCCCCACCCCGAGAACTACTTTTTTTTTTTTTTTTTTTTAGCAGTACTAGGAATAAAACCCCAAGGGCACTCTACCATTGAGCTACATCCCTAGTCCTTTTTAAGACAGGGTCTCGCTAAATTGCTGAGACTGACTTTAAACTTATAATCCTCCTGCCTCAATCTCCTGAATTATAGGCATGTATTACCATGCCTGGCCCTCAACAACTTCTTGAAACACAAAATTGCTGGGCTCTGTTCCCAGAGTATTTGTAGATATGGGGTAAAGCCCAAGAATCTACATTTCTAAGGAGTAATCAGATGAAGCTGATTCTAGTTAGGGGCCACACACTGAGAACTTCTGGTTTAAATTTCTCACTGAGTCTCCCTGTACCTACTCAGGCCAGTTCAGAACATATAGAAAATACTCAAATATTCATTGATTAAAATATGTGAATAAGTGTATATTACAAAAGTAAAAACCTAGAAAGCAATGTCCATAAGTGGAGAATAATCAAATAAATTATATACTCTATTAAATGTAACCATTAAGAAATCCGACTAGGGCAGGTATTGTGTCTACCTACAACTTAAATAAATAAATAACCCCAACTAAAATGCTTTTTATAGAAACATGAAATTATACACCAAATAAATGAAAATAGGTGACAAAAATTGCATGTATATTAGTTTACAATAAATACATTTACATATAGATTAATGGCAAAGGACTTTGTAGAAAAATTATTTATTTTTTGAGTAGCAAATTACAAGAATTCAAGACTTTTGATTGCTTAAGATTTCCTCAGATAACATTTTTGGTAGGTTTAATATAAAACAGAAGTACTAAATAATTAAATAGCGTACAATTAAACAAAACCATGTGTACCACATGATATCGTCAGCCAAATAAATCTACGTGTAAGTGTCTATAATTGGTTAATTTCCCAAAAATTGATATTAAAAAGTGCTACTGAGCTAGGTGCATTGGTGCACACCTGTAATCCCAGCAGCTACAATCTACAGCGGCTTCAGGAGGCTAAAGCAGTAGGACCTTGAGTTCAAAGCCAGTCTCAACAACTCAGTGAGATGCTGTTGCCGAATAAAATACAACAAAGGGCTGGGGATGTGTCTCAGTGGTTAAGTGCCCCTGAGTTCAATTCCTGGTACCAAAAAAAAAAAAAAAAAGTGCTACTGAGAATCCTACACAGAAAAAACTGCCCCCTTCCCACACACACCACTTACCTGCCACAGGAGGGACAACGCCAGAAAAACGCACTGTTGCATATTCTCCATTTACTTCAATTCTTTGACCAATGACATCTAATGTCAAAGTGTCACTCATTATAAGACAGCCAGAATCCAAAATGTGAGATCTAGGGGAGGAAAAAAAATCATAGCATTGAGTAAAATTTCTTTAAGAAAGCTAGAAGCAGTGAGTGGGGCACACCCATAATCCCAGAAATTTGGGAGGCTGAGACAGAAGGATCAAAGTTTGAAGCCAGCCTCTGCAACTCAGCCAGGACAAAGCAACGTACCAAGACCCTGTCTCAAAATAAAAAAAAAAAAAAAACACCAAAAGGGCTGGAAATGTAGCTCAGAGGTAAAGTGCCCTTGGGCTCGATCCCCAGTACCAAACAAAAACCAATTAAATTTAAAATACACACACATAGAATTCTAAAAATAAAGACAAGGTCTTAAAAGGTGCCTGGGTATCTAAAGTGTCAGGATGGATGAGGGTCTGCAGCTCAAGACATGTTGTGCATGCATGTAAACAGAAATGGGTATCTGGCCAGCACAGTGGCTCATACCCATAATTCCAGCAACATGGAAGGCTATAGCAGGCAGGACTGCAAGTTTGAGGCCAATCTCAGCAACCTAATGCTATCTCAAAATAAAAAGGATGTAGCTCAGGGTAACTCAGTGCCTGAGTTCAATCTCCAGTAACAAAAAAAGAAAAAAAAGAAACGGTACCTAGAAGCCATCAGAAACTAATACAGTAAGAGTGGATGAGACCGAAGGTGCATTGGGGGAAAGAAAAGAGGAACCATGGCAGAACCCCAATGAAAGGGAGAGGGAAGTAAACCCTAAGGAGTGAGATGAAGAAGAGCCAGAAAGGAAAATAGAAAGCCAGACTCTGGGGTCTTGGAACTCAAGAGGCAAAGCTTACAGAAGAGGCAGAGGAGCAACAGTGCCGGATGCTGCAGAGAGCTTGCAAGATCAGAGCTCAACAACCTTGGCTTCTTCTTGCTGGACAGATATGGTTCACAAACTCAGTCTCAGAATAAAACTTGATTTTTCTTATAAAAGGTTAGCAATGTAGCAGTGCAAGAATTTCCTTTTCCCAGGGCCTCATGCATGCCAGTGCAAGGATTTTTAGATGTATGCTACAGGTCTACTGAACAAAAGTTCTATATTTTAATAATATTATCATGTAATACATAAAGGTAATAAAAACTTAGATTGTGAATCACAGCTTCTTGGGTCATAATCATAGTTTGCTTGTATGTGGGCTACTGGAGGCTCTGGCACGACACCTGTGCACCTCTCCCACCACAGAGAATGGGAGACATTTCCTCTGCTCCTGGAATTGTCTATGTCACGTCCGCCCATATTCCAGAACAGTGTGAGCATTATCATCTCAGACTGCAGAACGTAAATTTATCAAATTTCAGTGTTAGTTCCTGTTAATCAAGTCCTCTGGCTTTCATAAAATATATTGTCCCCAATTCTTGTGAGAAAAATCCTATTTCAAATGGAGCTGAATTTATTGAAAAATGGGAGAAAAGGTACACATTTATGAATATGCCAAAATGAACCCCATTGCTACATAAAGCTATAATGTTCTAACAGAAACACTAAAAAAAAGGGGAGAGGGACAAGGTTGGGATTGTAGCTCAGTGGCAGAGTGTCTGCCTAGTCTGCGTGAGGCTCTGAGTTCAATCTCTAGCGCCAAAAAAAGAATAAAGGAAGACAGTCAGCAAGGAGCCGGAATCTCTAGATCTAGATCCAAACCTGCCCAATAGCACTGAAAAGCGAAAGCATCATTCCAGAGCCTAAACATGGTAGGAAAAGTTTGGACGATTTTGAGGTAAGATCCATGCGCTGGTAGGAACTGGTGGCAGAACCTTGAGTTTTAGGAAGTACAGAGACAGAGCTGCTAAGAGGTCTGGCCAAGGCTATGTTCAGAAGCTGAGTTCTAGTCCCTGAGGAGAGAGAATTAATAAGTAGTTGTAGAACTCCATTCCTACAAGGAATTTCCATTAACTAGAGTGCATGGAGTTATCTAATCAGAAACTCTTAAAGCCCTACCATCAGTCTGGAGCTCTGGATGGGGCTCAGCCCTAGCCTCCCACCTTGAAAACTGGGCTACCAGTGAAAAAGAATAGGGTGGTGATAAATGGGTGAGTAAAACCAAATGAGCAATTACAAGAGGAGGAAGACACTAGGAAACCATTCCACTGACACTCTTAACATGTACACATAATTCACGAATTATGAAGTTCCATGTGCTAGATCCTCTCTGATCTCCAGTAGCAATTTTTTCATTCCCACAAGCATGCTACAGCTACAGGACCAATTACATCAGCAGATATAAAATATCTATGCTTGGCCAGGCACAGTGGCGCATGCCTATAATCCCAGCAGATGGGGGAGGTGGAGGCAGGAGGATCGATTGTGAATACAAAGCCAGCCTCAGCAAAAGCAAAGCGCTAAGCAACTCAGTAAGACCCTGTCTCTAAATAAAATACAAAACAGGGCTGGGGATGTGGCTCAGTGCTCAAGTGCTCCTGAGTTCAATCTCTGGTATGCCCCCACCAAAAAAACAAAAAAGACACCTATGGTCAATCATCAAGTAGCTCTGCATTAAGTCAGTGTTTTGATGATCTTGCCCAAGCTCTTGACCCTTCAAATAATGTTTCTTGATGCTGTGATTTTTCTTTGGTGATGACTTGAAAACTGGATCCATGTCTCAAGAACTATGCCTCAGCTCCAACGCCTTTACCCTGTTTCTCTGACCAGTCAACGAGTCCCTGCTTCCTGTTGTTGAACCTACTTGATGCCATTACTGGCCCCACTGCACCTCTATGGCCCTCTGCTGACACCACCACTTACATCCTCCCTACTCCTACCTCCACTTTAGTGTTCAAACTGTCCTGAAGTTAGCTGCTCACCTAGATTTTCGGTAATTGCCTGCACTGGGGATCTGAGAGGGATCTTTTCTGTGGTGGCCAATCTGGATGCCTTGAAACCTTCATTAAACTGGGATGCCTTTTTTAAACACATGTGCTTGCTAATGAATTAAGACAGACCATTTAGTTTTGGAGTAACTCTCCTTGTTAGATTATTCTTGTCTTAAAAGAAACAGACGGGGGTGGGGTGGGGGTGGGTTGTGGCTCAATGGTAGAGCACTTGCCTAGCATGTGCGAGGCACTGGGTTCGATTCTCAGCACCACATATAAATAAATGAATAAAATAAAGATCCATCAACTTCTTTAAAAAAAAGTAAAAAAAAAAAAAAAGAAAAGAAAAGAAAAAGAAAGAAAGAAATCGGCAGGATGCGTAGCTTTATGCTTATAATCCCAGAAACTCAGGAGACTGAGAAAGGAGGATCCCAAGTTTGAGGTTAGCCTTGGCAACTTAGTGAGAGCCTGTCTTAAAATAAAAACCAAGAGGGGCTGGAGCTGTGGCTCAGTGGTAGAGTGCCTGCCTCACACATATGGGGCACTGGGTTCGATCCTCAGCAACACGTAAAAAAATAAATGAATAAATAAAGGTATTTAAAAATAAATAAATAATAACATGAAAAGGGTTGCGGGGGGCGGGGGGCGGGGGGCTGAGGTTGTGGCTCAGCAGTAGAGCGCTCGCCACGCAAGTGTGAGACCTTGGGTTCGATCCTCAGCACCACATAAAAATAAATAAGTGAAATAAAGGTATTGTGTTCAACTACAACTAAAAAGTAAATATTAAAAAAAAAAGGAGCTGGGGATGTATGTCAGTAATAGAGGACCCCTGAGTTCAGTTTCAATCCCTAAACACACTACACACACACATACACACACACGCGTGTGCATGCACATGTGCACCATGAAATCTACCCATCATCTTCTAGTATTGCCCTCTCCAACTGTGACCCACCAATGCACTCCCTTTCCAGCGGACACTGGAATATTTGAAGGACATCCTTATGTTATCATTTCTGCTCTCCCTCTACCTGTCTTATGTCTCAAACCTTTGTACCAGGTAAATATTCACAGGCCTTTAAACCATCCTCATAAGAATTGCGAGTTCTCGGGCTAGGATTATAGCTCAGTGGTTGAGTGCTTGAGTGTGAGGCACTGGATTCAGCACCACATAAAAAAAATAAATAAAATAAAGAGATTGTGCCCATCTACAACTAAAATTAAAAAAAAAAAAATTCCAAGTTCTCATCTGGGTACAGTGGTGCACATCTGTAATCCTAGAAGTTTGGGAGGTTGAGGCAAGAGGATCGGGAGTTCAAAGCCAGCCTCAGACTTAGCAAAGCATTAAGCAACTTAACAAGACTCTGTCTCTACATATATTTAATGTCTATAAAAGGGCTGGGAACGTTGCTCAGTGTTTAAGCACCTGGTATCCAAAAAAAAAAAAAAAAAAATTCCAAATTTTCCCCATAATTCATTTACAAATTCCACCGATAAATTTTAACACCCAGAAATGAAAATCATGTTACTAATGTTACATGTCACCTGTCTGGGTATACAATGGTCAGGATACAACTCACCCACCAGCATAGACTTAACAATACATTCGCCTTTCTCCCTTTGCATGGGAAAGACAGTTGCAGGAGATTAAGGTTGCAACGAAATAACACCAAAGCCATTTCTGATTACCACCATCTTCTGTCCATAACACTTAAATAAATATTTAAATTTCACTATAATTACATTACCCTAAGAATGGTTTTTACTAGTTTTAAGCACCCTTTTAATTTTCATTAACATGTATACAGATTTTATTACAACTGAGATACATACTTCCTTTATTAAACATTTTTTTTTCTTTTCTTTTTGGTACTAGAGATTGAATTCAGGGGCACCTGACTGCTGAGCCACATCCTCAGCCCTATTTTGTATTTTATTTAGATACAGGGTCTCACTGAATTGCTTAGCACCTTGCTTTATGCTGAGGCTGGCTTTGAACTTGAAATCCTGTCTCAGCCTCCTGCCGCTGGGATTACAGGCATGTGCCATCACACCTGGCTATTCTATAAACACTTTTGAACAGGGCCACAGAATCATCACATTAGTCACGACAATGTTCAAGTGTGAGCCAGGCATAGTGGTGTACATCTGTAATCTCGATGACTTAGGAGAATGAGGAGGGAGGATCTCAAGTTTGAGACAAACCTCAGCAATTTAGTGAGACTCTGTCTCAAAATAAGGTAAAAAGGGTTGGGGATATGGCTCAGTGATAGAGCACCCCTGGGTTTAATCCCCATTACCCAAAACCAGCCTGGGAATGCTGTGTCAAAGGACATATGCGTTTTACATTTGAGTACCTAATACCAAATGTCCCTTTATAATGGCAGTTCCAATTTACAATCCCATCAGGAGTATTATGAGGGAAGCTGAGTATCTCTCCTTTTATGTGAACTACCCATTCATGTACTTTGCCCATTTCCTACTGGTTTATTTATTTTTTTTTCTCATCAGTCTGATGTTCTTTTCATTGCTGTTGTTTCTTTTGTTCTCTGAGATGGGGTCTCACTAAATTGCCAAGGTTGGCCTTGAACTTGCCATCCTCCTGCCTCAGCCACCAGAGTAGCAGGAGTCACCACAGCTGGCTCCCTCACAGTCTTAATAATAACTACGATTCCTCAAATTAATTTTAAAAGACTAGAAAAGCATAGACTAAAGCAGCTATTTGCACTTACATGTTTATAGCAGCATTATTCACAAAGGGCCAAAAGATGAAAGTAACTGAAGTGTCCTTCAATAAATGAATATGGTGTGCGTGTGCGCACAAAGGAATATTATTCAGCCTTAAAAAGAAATCCTGACACCTGCTACAACATGGATGAATCTTGAGGACATTATGCTAAGTAATGCCTAGCATGTGTGAGGCACTGGATTCGGTCCTCAGCACCACATAAAAAATAAATAAATAAAATAAAGGTACGCATGCCTGTAACCCCAGCAGCTGGGGAGGCTGAGGCAGGAGGATCGCAAGTTCAAAGCCAGTCTCAGCAACAGCAAGGCACTAAGACCTTGTCTCAAATAAAAAAGGGTTGTGGATATAGCTCTGTGATAGGGCAATTGACCAGAATGTGTAAAGCCCTGGGTTCAATCCACAGTAACAAACATAGACCAAAAAAGAAAAGAACAGAAGGAAAAAAGCTATAGTGAAGATAAATCTTGCCTCAAACTGGTTTTTTTTTTTTTTTTTTTGGTACCTGGAATTGAACTCAGGGTCACTCAACCACTGAGCCATATCCCAGCCCTGTTTTGTATTTTGTTTAGAGACAGGGTCTCATTGAGTTGCTTTGTACCTCCCCACTGCTGATACTTTGAACTTGGGATCCTCCAGTCTCAGCCTCCTGAGCCCCTGTGATTACAAGGATCTGCCACTGTGTCCGGCTCTTGCCTCAATCTTTAGAGGAACTAGAGTGACCCTGATTAATTGTGATGAAGTAAATCACCAACATGTGAACACTGTAATCATAGTTGCTGAGGAGGCTAAAGCAGGAAGATTCCAAGTTGTAGACCAGTCTGCACAACTCAGCAAAACCCTGCCTCAAAAATGTAAAAAGATTAAAAAAATTAAAAAGAGCTAGGGTTGTAGCTCAGTGGTATAGCACTTGCCTGCCATGTGCATGGCCCTGGGCTGTATCCCCAATATGGGGGGGGGGGGGGGGAGGAAAAAACCCAAACATTATTGACTACTTTTTTGGTACCAGGGATTGAACCTAAGGGAACTTACTACTGAGCCACATACCCAGCCTTTTTAATTTTTTTTACTTTGAGACAGGGCCTTGCTAAATTGCGGAGGCTAGCTTTGACCTTGCAAACCTCCTGCCTCAGTCTCTTGAGCTGCTAGGATTACAGGCATGCACCAGAGAACCTGGCACATTATTGACTTTAAAAAAAAAACAACAAAACAACAACAAAAAAACTTTCTAACTGAAAATTTTTACTAACTTTTAACTGAAAGTTAGCACTTTCCTTAATTATGTACATAGACATAAAATATCACAAGTTGGATTAGCAGCATCTGTGATTCTCATCTTTAGAAATCATATTTTTATATCCTATTACAGCTGTTACAGATTTCTCAAAGTATAGTTTATATCCATCACTATTTCAAAACTAAAATATTTCTTAGAACTACTAGGCCTGAGGCAATAGCTCAGTGATACAGCGTGCCTACCATGCACAGGCCCTGGGATCCATCTCCAGTACCTGAGACAAACATAAAAAGACCTGACACCTAGATCTTGTCGCTTAATGTGTTAATAAAGAAACACATTATATTACTGTTTCAAAATATTTTGATAATTATTTCATGAAAGTAGTTACCTCTGAAATCCTATGTATTTTATTTTCTGTAATTAAACAGTCTATGAAGGAGTCTACAGGCTTTTCAGACTAAGAACTGAGAAAACTGGAGAACATGAGAGGAATTCAGGGGTTGAGTATCATCAACAAAGGAAAAATTTAAAACTAAATTATGCACTTTGCAAAGATGCTTTCATTTTATCTCAATTATGCAATATTAGTTGAAATTTTTATTATTTTTGTGATTGTTATTTTGAGATGGAGTCTTACTAATTTCCGCAGAATGACCTTGAATTTGTAATCCTCCTGCCTCAGCTTACCAACTGGCTGGGATTATGTGAGTGGGTCACTATGCCCAGACCATAACTGTTAATCTTTTTTTGTGTGTGGTGCTGGGGATTGAACCCAGGGCCTTGTGCATGCAAGGCAAGCACTCTACCAACTGAGCTGTATCCCCAGCCATAACTGTTATTCTTTAAAAGTAGAAGACCTGTTGGGTATCCCCAGCCATAACTGTTATTCTTTAAAAGTAGAAGACCTGTTGGGTATCCCCAGCCATAACTGTTATTCTTTAAAAGTAGAAGACCTGTTGTGTGTGGACTCTAATCTCAGGGCCTCAGAAGGTTGAGGCAGAATTGAAAGACTGAGGCCAGCAACGGCAATTTAGCAAGATCTTGTCTCAAAATAACAAATATAAAGGACTGGGGATGTAGCTCAGTGGTAAAGAGCCCCTCTGTTTTCAATTCCTGTATCCAAAAAAGAAAGAAAGAAAACAAAATCCCAGTCCCCATGAAGCTACTGGGGAGAAACAAGTGATAAAGAATAATGATAAGCACAATGGATCTGTTAAAGACGAAGGCCTCCCTGAGAAGGTAATATTCCAAAACCTGGAAGAGAGAGAGAAGGGATTGAATCACTGAGACCATTCCAGGCAGAGGAAAAAAGTGCAGATAGCCTGGGGGAGTGCTTGGGGAGGCAGGCCGGGAGGCAGGCCACACAGCAGTCAACAGATTAGTAGAGAGGACATCCAGCATGAAGGTCTCCAAACAGTTGGCTTTACTGAGTGAAATGGCAGATGATCTGATTTATTTTTTCAGAAGGATCTCTCTAGGGATGCTAACAGACTAAAAAGAAAAAAAAAGTTGAGTCCAGTTGGGTGTCCTTAGGCCAGGTGAGAGGTAACCGCAATCTGAACACGCAAAGAAGGTTCGGAGTGGACAGATCGTGCTGACAGCAGCTGCTGAAGCTCAAGGAGAGAAAGCTGAGTCAAAAGGACTCCCAAGCGAGTAGAGACAATTAAGTTCAATACAATAAACCTGCAATTCAAAAGGCAGACCGTCACCTTGATGGGGGGACCCCAGCGGCATATTGTTTATAACAGCACATCTCATATAAAACGAAAATGCCGGGAAAAGCCACGAAAACAAACAGCAAAGGGAGGCAGCCGGGCCTGCGCACCTGGTGAGGCGAGCGGCGGCGCCACCAGCCGCTTCAGCGGGCGGCGCTGCCACACCATGCTCCTCCCCGGCTGGCGCCGAGCGCCGTGCGATAGGCCGGTGCCGACGCGGGCTCCGGCGGGCCGGCTCTCCTAGCGGGGCGCCGACCGCGGCCGGGGACCCGCGCAGCCCCACCCTTCCCCAGCGACGGCGGCGTCCCCGCGGGCACCTCAGAGCCCGGGCTGCCGCCCGGGTAAGTCCAGGAAGGGAAAGGGCACAGGGCGGCCAGGCGAGCCCCCAGTCCGGCCTTCGCGGCCCAGCTCTCGAGGCTCACCTGCCAGCAGCAGCTGGTGGTCTCGGCGGCTGCCCCTTGACAGCGGAGGGCAGCAGAGCTTCCGGCCCCGGGCGGAAGTGCTATGGGGGATACCGGAAGTCCCGCCCCGCGGAGCGAGCGGCGGCCGCGGGAGCTGGCTGAAAACGTACAAGTGTTCCCAAGGCCAGCCCCGGCGCCGGCGCCGGACAGCGCGTTCCAATGACCGCGCATGCTCTGGCCCAAGGGCCCTCGCTACGCGGGTTGCCAGCCCTGGAGAGTCGGGCTTGACGTAGACAGGTGTGTAATACGTGGGCAGTGCGCAGTCGCGCGTGCCGGCCTCCCTAGCGGAAAAGGAAGGCCGGCTAGTAGGACCACAGGCGGGTGGAAGGCAGTGCGAGTACCGGAGACAGAACGGGAAAGCCGCCCCTGCGCACGACAGTCTCCACCGTCGCCGTTCTCGGCGGTTAAAAATCAAGAGACTGGGCTGGGGACGTGGCTCGGGTAGAGCGTTTGCCTGGCGTGCCGGGGTGACGCAACGCAACGTGGTGAGGACCCGGCAGTGACACTAGCGGAACGTCTTGCGCGGGGTCTGGAACGTGATTACAGCTCGCGACGCCGGGTTAAGCGTGAGCTGTTTTGGAGAGCTTGCCTGTCAGGAGCCGGGTCGTGGGTCGCCTCCGCCGCAAAAACAAGCGGGAAATTATCGAGGGCGTCACTAATCCAACCAAAGGCTGCTGCAACACGCATGCTGAACGTCAAGGTTGAGCAGAATTTCAACTGGCAAAGGAGGGAGAGACTCCCGTTGTGAAGCTGCTTTTGTTGGTTAACGAAAGGACATATACAGTGAATCTTAGGTCCTAAAAATAAACTTTCAGAAACTGCTGTTTGGAATCCTATCAGTAAGAATGCACCATCCCACTCTTGCTCGGAGAATCCTCTGAGCCAATCCTCATTGTCGCACTTTTCCAATACTGATATAAAACTTCAAATAAGGACTTCAGATAACATTCCACATTTATTTTATATCTTTAGAGCTCTATCTGTGGATACGTATGTTTTGAGACCGGGCTGGAGATTGGAGGCTGGCCTCAGACTTGTAATCTTCCTCCTAAGTATCTGAGATTACAGCCCCGAAAAAATTAACCTCATCCACTAAATTCAGATGATCCACAAAAATATAAAACATGAATCTTTCTTTATAAAATAATTTACTTTCTTTGTTAATTGTGATAACATTTACCCAGTTTTTCTTAGAATGAAAAGATGACACCTCTTTACTGTCAGTCTTCTCTCTTCATGTTGATCAGCACACTGTTACCTCAACTATGTTATCTTCTTCAAAGTGGTTGTCCTCTAAATTCTTCTCTCAGTGGTAGAGAGATTGCCTGGTATGCTCAAGGCCCTGGGTTACAGCCCCAGCAATACAAAATAAATATGCTCCCCTGAAATAAAGTCTTCCCCAAAAAAAGTCTATATGTTTGTCTCTTATTCCTCATCCCTTTCTCTTTAATCCTTTCCAGCCTGACACTTTGTCTATTCTTCCTCCAGTTCTTCCAAAATCACCTATTCAAATGTTATTAGTGACTTCATATCACCAAGGTCGTTTCTCAGTCCCCACATCCTTTGATTTTTGTACAGCATAGTTTCATAGGGTTAATTATCCCAATAGCTGTAAAAATCATACTTCAAACATTGTAGGAAAAAATTAACCCTTTGCACTGCAATCCATTCTGAGTCCCATCATTCATGCAATAAGTAAATATTTAGTGACTACTAGCTTTGCAGTGAAGATCTAGCAATGAAAAGAGAAATGCAATATTCCAATCCTGGAGAGATGTACGCTTGATGGTGTGAGTTAGACAATATGTGCTGGGTACAGTGATGCATGACTTACTATACCATTGACTTGGGAGGCCGAGGCAGGAGGATCACCAAGTTCAAGGCCAACCTGGGCAATTTAGTAAAAGTAAAATATAAAAAGAGCTGAGGATATAATTTAGTGGTAGATCACCCTTGAGTTCAGTCCCCATTTATGAAGAGGAAAATAAAAAGTAGCTTAAACCAGAGAGGTAGGGCCAAAACTGAAAGGGGGTTGCAGCTACTTTGAGAGAGAGCATTCCACGTACCCTGCTCCCTTATCTACGTGTTGCATATCACAAAGATGGCAACAAGATTAAAGCCCAGCCAATCAAAGGCCTCCTTATGACTTCACTGCTAAAGTCAAAACAGGAGCTTTTGCCTTTGAGATCATGGTACTTGGCTGATAAAGACATTGGAAGCCAGGGACCATTTTTCCTATCATGGGAAAGAGTTTGTCCTTTAGCATCAAAGAATGAGGCCAACATTAAAAAGAATAAAATGTAGAACTAAGAGGAAAAATGAGGAGAGAATAAGTGATTTAACCCCCAGGACTTAACAATAACTAAAGTAAAAAACTCCTGGATTTTCCAATTATAAGGTCTAGCTAATTCCTTTTATGATTAACTTGGTTTGACTTTAATTTCAGTTGCTTAGAATGGAAAGAGCCCTAACTACTACAGAGTTCAATACTCACAACCTATGTATCAACTAGGCTGGGGGAAAGATAAAGATTAAATGTTTTAGATAAAAGAAATTTAGAACTGGGGATGCAGTACAGTGGCAGAGTATTATTCTATTATGTGCAAGCCCTGGACAACCAAAAAATTGAAAAATATGGGAGCAAAGATAGATTATGAAAGCACATGCCAGCAACTCAGGAGGCTGAGGATTATAAATTCAAGGCCAGTCTCCACAATTTAGTGAGGGCCTAAGAAACTTAATGAGACCCTATCTCAAAATAAAAAAACAAGAAAGGCTAGGGATATAGCTCAGTGGTAAAGTGCCCCTAAATTAACTCTCCAGTACCAAAAAAAAGAAAAAAAGAAAAGAAAAGAAAAGAGAGAGAGAGAGAATTGGGTGGGAGAATATAGCCAATAAACAACAAAGGGTGTTTGCTATAAAGCTCAAGCCTCATTTATTTTACATATATTCATTAATCATATAGAAGTGACCCAGGTCAACAGTAGACATTTGTAACTTGTGTTTTTCTTTTAAAAGTCGTGGTGTAGAGCCAGGTGCAGTGGCACATGCCTGTAATCACAGCAGTTTGGGAGGCTGAAGCTGGAAGACTGCAAGTTCAAGGGCAACCTCAGCCATTTACCAAAACCCTCAGCAACTTAGTGAGACCTTGTTTCAAATTAAAAAATAAAAAGGGTTGGGGATATGACTGATTGGTTAAGCACCCCTGTTTAGACTCCATTACCAGTAAATAAATAATCCCATATTGAATAAATGTTTTCTAGCTGCCTTACAGTGAAGTCAGCAGCTTATTCAGGGCCTCTTGTGTCTTGGGAATAACAAAAAAGACTCCAGTTGAGCAAGTCTTACGCATTTGAAAAATCATTACCTTAACTGAAGGCCATATTTAAGTTGCACTTTGAAAGGTACCTATTAAATACTTAGCTAAAAGCCACTTCCACTGATTTCCTATTGGATGGAAGGGAATAGTTTGTTCAGTTACATCCTTACGATTATTTGTTATAAAGACATCTTAATTGTGAAAAATTGCTTCATTTTCAGCTTCCTTAGTTCAGTTTTTTATGTTCAATTCTCTATGGTTAATTGACTTAGTATTTGTGGCACACATCTGTAATTCCAGTACAGTATGATTGCAAGTTTGAGCCCAAGGCTTGGCAACTTAGTGAGAGTCTGTCTCAAAGTAAAAAAAAAAATTAAAAGTCTGGGGATGTAGCTCTGGTAGAGCACCACTTGAGTCAATCCCTGGTACTGCAAATAAATACATTAAACAAATAAAACCACTTGTTTCTTATAAAGAATCGACATCTGCTGGATTTAGTTGCATATACCTTTAATCCCAGTAATTTGAGAAGTTGAGGCAGGAGGATCATGAGTTCAAAGCCAGCCTCAGCAACTTGGGGAAGCCCTAAGTGACTCAGCAAGACCTTGTCTCAAAAAATAAAAAAGAGGGGCTGGAGCTGTGGCTCAGCAGTAGAGAGTTCACCTAGCACATACAAGGAGCTGGGTTCTATCCTCAGCACAACAATCAATCAACCAATCAATCAATCAAGGTATTGTGTCCATCTTCAACTAAAAAAATATTTAAAAGTAAATAAATAAAATAAAAAAAGGGCTGGGGGTGTGGCTCAGTGGTTAAGTACCCTTGGGCTCAAAACCTGGTATCAGAAATAAAATGAGACATTGACATCTATATATTAAGAGTATTTATTAGGCTAAATCTCTTGAAAACTTGTTAACTCTTAAATGTTCAACTATTTCCATTTTACAATTTCTATTGAGCAACTCATCAAGTTTTGGTTAAGATTTACAAACCACTTTTAACAGTTTACCATTACTACTACTTCACCATCGAAGTCCAAGTATCTTCTATTACTCATCATAGTAATTCTAATATCTTTGCATATATTTTTCTTTGTGTACACTGATATAATATGTAATTCAAAGATATTAAATTGGTAATTCTCCATAGCAGAGTACTTTTAAAAAGAATGTGCCAGCTGCTGGCTCAGTGGCATGAACCTATAATCCCAGCACTCAAGAACTGAGGGGGAGAGATCCCTGAGTCTTGGGAAGCAAGGCAGCCTGAGCAACACAGCAAAACCCCATCTCAAAATTTAAAAAAAGAAAAGAAAGAAAGAAATGTGCATGGTTGGTAAGACAAATGTTTCCAAGCTATCTCAGTGACAGAATGCCCATTAATCAGTGGTATGAAACACTGTACGTAATTCACTTGAACTAAAGGGTTAATTCTGAAATTTATTAGATTATTGCTTATTGCACTTTTTGTGGGGGGAGGGTACTGGGGATTAAACCCAGGGGCACTTAACCGCTGGGTCACATCCACAGCCCTTTTTTGTATTTTATTTAGAGACAGGGTCTCAATGAGTTGCTAAGTGCCTCACTAAATTGCTGAGGCTTGCTTTGAACTTGAGATTCTCCTGCCTCAGCCTCTCAAGTCTCTGGGATTACGGGCATGTGCCACCGTGCCTGGCTTATTGCACTATTTTTTTTTTTAACCAACCCATGTATAGTAAAACTATGCCATAACATTGTAGGTTATGTCCAATATATTCAATTACAAATTACTAAAATTACCAGAGTGAG